AAGTTATACCACCCACTGCAAGACATACTACAAGTTATACCAACCACTGCAAGACATACCACAAGTTATACCAACCACTGCAAGACATACCACAAGTTATACCAACCACTGCAAGACATACCACAAGTTATATCAACCACTGCAAGACATACCACATGTTATATCAACCACTGCAAGACATACCACAAGTTATACCAACCACTGCAAGACATACTACAAGTTATACCAACCACTGCAAGACATACTACAAGTATATACCAACCACTGCAAGACATACCACAAGTTATACCACCCATTGCAAGACATACCTCAAGTTATACCACCCATTGCAAGACTTACCACAAGTTATACCACCCATTGCAAGACATACCTCAAGTTATACCACCCATTGCAAGACTTACCACAAGTTATACCACCATTGCAAGACATACCTCAAGTTAAACCACCCATTGCAAGACTTACCACAAGTTATACCACCCATTGCAAGACATACCTCAAGTTATACCACCCATTGCAAGACATACCACAAGTTATACCACCCATTGCAAGACATACCTCAAGTTATACCACCCATTGCAAGACATACCACAAGTTATACCACCCATTGCAAGACATACCTCAAGTTATACCACCCATTGCAAGACATACCACAAGTTATACCACCCATTGCAAGACATACCACAAGTTATACCACCCATTGCAAGACATACCACAAGTTATACCACCCATTGCAAGACTTACCACAAGTTATACCACCCATTACTGCAAGACATACCTCAAGTTATACCACCCATTGCAAGACATACTTCAAGTTATACCACCCATTGCAAGACTTACCACAAGTTATACCACCCATTACTGCAAGACATACCACAAGTAATACCACTCATTGCAAGACATACCTCAAGTTATACCACCCATTGCAAGACATACCACAAGTTATAACAACCACTGCAAGACATTCCACAAGTAATACCAACCATTACAAGACTTACTACAAGTTACACCACTTATTACAAGATATACTACATGTTATACCAAACACAAGTTATTCCAACCACTGCAAGACATCCACAAGTTATACCAACCACTGCAAGACATACCACAAGTTATACCAACCACTGCAAGAAATACCAATAGTTATACCACCCATTGCAAGACATACCATAAGGTATTCCCCCACTGCAAGGCATACTATGTACCACAAGTTATACCACCCACTGCAAGACATGTTACATACAAAAGTTATACCACCCATTACAAGACATATGTACCAGATGTTATACCACTCACTGCAAGGCATACCAAAATTTATACCATCCACTGCAAAACATACTACATGTATATACCAAAAGTTTATTCCACCCATTGAAAGAACACCACCTAATATAAGAGATCTGAGGAGTCATACTTGTATGTCATGATTTTACCAAATGGCTGTACAGTTTATAATTTAAACCAAAATGGCAGAAACTTAAGACGTATCAAAACTCAAGACAGCTTAGTGTCATGGTAGCTACCTTATAAAATTAGATAACATTTTTATGCCCCCACAATGTGGGAGCATATAGCGTTGCACTTGTCCGTCCGTCCGTCCGTACGTCCCGAAATCTTGTGAACGCAACTCCTCTTAAACTGGATGGCAGATTTTACTTAAACGTAAAGGAAGGAATTTTTGCTGCGACAAAATTTAACAGAATTATGGCCCTTTGTTGATTTTTTTACTAGATACTATGTAGAAATTTTGTGAACGCAACTCCTCTTAAACCGGATGGCAGATTTTGCTTAAACTTACAGGGATGAACAACATTAATGTGTAGATGGTAGTAAAGGAAGGAATTTTTGCTGCAACCAAATTTAAGAGAATTATTGCCCTTTGTTGATTTTTCACTATATACTATGTAGAAATTTTGTGAACGCAACTCCTCTTAAACCAGATGGCAGATTTTGAACAACCTTAAGGTGTAGATGGTAGTAAAGGAAGGAATTTTCGCTGCGACCTAATTTAAGAGAATTATGGCCCTTTGTTGATTTTTTAGCTCACCTCGGTGAATGTCCGTTGTCCGTCGTCCGTCGTTCGTCCACAATTGCTTGTGAACACACTTATGACTCAATCATCATCAAACTTTGTAAGGATGCTTGTTTAGTCAATTGCTCGGATGAGTTCGAAACTGGGTCATTTCGGATGGAAAACTAGGTCAAAGGAGCTAAAAATAGAAAAACCTTGTGAACACTCTAGTGGTCACATTTTTGACCCAATCATCATCAACCTTTGTCAGAATGCTTGTTTAGATTATCGCTTGGATGAGTTCGAACATGGGTCATCTCATATGAAAATCTAGGTCACAGGAGCTATAAATAGAAAAACCTTGTGAACACTCTAGTGGTCACATTTTTGAACCAATCATCATCAAACTTGGTCAGAATGTTTGTCTAGTCAATTGCTTGGATGAGTTCGAACATGGGTCATCTCTGATGAAAAACTAGGTCACAGGAGCTAAAAATAGAAAAACCTTGTGAACACTCTAGTGTTTACATTTTTGACCCAGTCATCATCAAACTTTGTCAGGATGCTTGTTTAGATAATTGCGCAGATGAGTTCGAATATGGGTCATCTCTGATGAAAAACTAGGTCACAGGAGCTATAAATAGAAAAACCTTGTAAACACTCTAGTGGTCACATTTTTTACCCAATCATCATCAAACTTAGTGTGGATGCTTGTCTAGTCAATTGCTTAGATGAGTTTGAATATGGGTCATCTCTGATGAAAAACTAGGTCACAGGAGCTAAAAATAGAAAAACTTTTTGAACACTTTAGTGGTCACATTTTTTACCTAATCATGGGATGCTTGTTTAGATAATTGCTTTGATGAGTTTGCACACGGTTTATCTCGGATGAAAAACTAGGTCACAGGAGCTATAAATAGAAAAACCTTGTAAACACTCTAGTGGTCACATTTTTTACCCAATTTTTAAGAAACCTTGTCAGGATGCTTGTTTAGTCAATTGTTTGGATGAGTTCGAACATGGGTCATCTCGGGTGGAAAACTAGGTCACAGGAGCTAAAAATAGAAAAACCTTGTGAACACTCTAGTGTCACATTTTTGACCCAGTCATCATCAAACTTTGTCAGAATGCTTGTCTAGTCGATGCTTGGATAAGTTTGAACATGATTTATCTCGAATGGAAAACTAGGTCACAGGAGCTAAAAATAGAAAAACCTTGTGAACACTCTAGTGTCACATTTTTGACTCAATTATCATCAAACTTGGTCAGGATGCTTGTCTAGGTAATTGCTCGAATGTCAAGCTCGAATACGGGTCACCTGGGGTCAAAAACTAGGTCACACTGCACAAATATGGATAATCCTTGTTAACACTAGTGGTCACATTTTTGACACACCTGTCATGAAACTTGGTCAGAACGCTTGTCTAGGTAAATTGTTCGGATGAGTTTGACGGGTCAGGTGAGCGATCTAGGGCCATCTTGGCCCTCTTGTTCACTAGATACTATGTAGAAATTTTGTGAACGCAACTCCTCTTAAACTGGATGGCAGATTTTGCTTAAACTTACAGGGATGAACAACCTTAATGTGTAGATGGTAGTAAGGGAAGGAATTTTTGCTGCGACCAAATTTAACAGAATTATGGCCCTTTGTTGATTTTTAGTTTTCAACTTGTGGCACATGTAGTCCAAAAAATATTTGACCTAGAGTCATAAGATTGACAGTGGCGTGTGGGGGCATCCGTGTCCTATGGACACATTTCTAGTTTCCCATGCAATTTCCCTGCATTTTATGTTTGCAAACTAAACTGGTAACTATATTTCTGATTTCAGTATTATGACATGAAGCAATCTGAATAAAATTAGCTCTAAATAACCCACAGTTTTTTAGATTTAACAGTGACCAATTACAGAGTGATCTTTGCATAGCCAGTCATCGGCGAGCTTTCATAATTTTGAAAGTGATGCGGTTTCTAACTTTAACTCTTGGAAACCCAACACGGAGTAGGAAATTGTAACGATTTCGAGAACAAACGTGCCGTTGTCTATTTGGCCGACAGTAAAACTGGTAAAACAATCTTGCCAATTTATAATTGACTATTATTTCAAGTTAATTTGTTAAAAATTACTTCAAACATTTTTTTTTCTAACAAAAATCAAACTTCCATGGATAACAGTATTTTGATACCTTTTCTAATGCCTATGTAAACACCGGTTTGATTGCATGGCTAAAAATAGCTTTCTCGGGGAAATCCAAATTATAACGAAGGCTGTAATCAGATCTACATAACAATAATAGGTAGATCTGAACTTTAGTCATATTGCGACATGAAGATTACTAACATGAACAGCTCACAGCAGTACAGTTATCACACAACTTCAACAGTAGTAGGATTAAAATATTCTTTCCTATTGTTAAAACTGATAAGTGACTGTGATGTCAAAGTTATATATCATATATATATCAGTATCATGAATTAGTGTACAGTACATTATCAAAAATACATAACACTAACTCATCTTCAGATAGTAACAGATAAAAGACTGATAAACTATTTAAATAAACACTACATGCAGGATAGTACATTATCTTTCCACTCTCCTTTTATAATGAGTACAATGGTAAAAATTTATACAAATCATTAAAAAAGCACTAAAAATGTGAATGCGGAATTCTTCATACGCCTCAAGAACAGCCGAAATATTTCAACAAAATCAAACTTGCAAAAAAAGTGAGATTGCTTTATTTAGTACGAAAACTGAGATTTTAAGAAAAGTAAATAATTTCCATGTTTGCAGTATTTTTCATCATAAAAGGACTATTTTTGCATTGACTAGATTTTTATTCAAAGCTGTATACAAATTTAGCTGGGCAAAGGTTTCTAGGCATGGATATCATATGATTATTTAACATTGGCCTTAGATTCAAGCTTGCAATCACTTCACAAGATCAAAGTGCACAGGTCTCATGTATATTGTAAACAATGTGTCAGTGTACACACTGTTACATAGTGCTTAACACTTAAATATACCGGATGAGGTTTTTTTATATTTTTATAATAATACATCTTAATGGATCAAAACATAAACAGGAAATCACAGGATATTCTAATTAAAATCAGTGCTTTAAGAATTATTAACACCATAAATAATTGTACAAAATGTCTTTGAAAGGAGCTAGCGCAACCATTTTCACACGTAGAAATAAATGTCTTTTTTTAGCATTGTTTTCAACAGTTTTATTTTTTGTTTTATTGTTAAATATTGGAGTATTCACTAGTGTTCCGACATATACAGGCGAACTCTGTAAACTAGATGAAATACAAGTTCAAGGAAGTTTTGACAAGAAGAAATTCTCAGGGAATTGGTACGCAACTTTTACCAAAGGACTCGATAATTCCCTCCTAGCAGCTCTCCTCGACTTCTATGATGTAAAAGTTAACTTCATTCTCAGAGATGACGGAGAGTTTGATATTAAATCAGGTATATGTACACACAAGTTTATTTATGAATTAATTAATAGATATTTATTATTTTATTTTTATTTATGAATTAATTAATTAATAGATATTTATTATTTTAAGCCATGCCAACACATTTGGAATATAAATATATATTCCTTTATATTCCTTTAAACTAGATTAAAGACGCATTAGCCAGTTTCTAGCTACATTAGCTAACTACATAAGCTAGAGACATGCTCCCTACATAGATCAGGTACTGTACAACCTTACTACATAGATCAGCTGTCTGTTAACAAGCTTACTAGATAGAGCAGCTGTTCCTACACAAGCTAACTTGATAGAGCAGCTGTCCCTACACAAGCTAACTAGATCAAACAGCTGTCCCTACACAAGCTAAATAAATCAAACAGCTGTCCCTACACAAGCTAACTAGATCAAACAGTTGTGCCTACACAAGCTAACTAGTTAAATCAGCTGTTTATACACAAGCTAACTAGATAAAGTAGCTGTCCCTGCACAAGCTAACTAGATAAAAACAGCTGTCCCTACACAAGCTAACTAGATAGACTAGATAGAGCAGCTGTCCCTACACAAGCTAACTAGATAAATCAGCTGTTTATACACAAGCTAACTAGATAAAGTAGCTGTCCCTGCACAAGCTAACTAGATAAAACAGCTGTCCCTACACAAGCTAACTAGATAGACTAGATAAATCAGCTGTCCCTGCACAAGCTAACTAGATAAGGCAGCTGTTTATACACAAGCTAACTAGATAAAGTAGCTGTCCCTGCACAAGCTAACTAGAATAAAACAGCTGTCCCTACACAAGCTAACTAGATAGACTAGATAAGGCAGCTGTCCCTGCACAAGCTAACTAGATAAGGCAGCTGTCCCTGCATAAGCTAACTAGATAAGGCAGCTGTCCCTGTATAAGCTAACTAGATAAGGCAGCTGTCCCTGCACAAGCTAACTAGATAAGGCAGCTGTCCCTGCATAAGCTAACTAGATAAGGCAGCTGTCCCTGCATAAGCTAACTAGATAAGGCAGCTGTCCCTGCACAAGCTAACTAGATAAGGCAGCTGTCCCTGCATAAGCTAACTAGATAAGGCAGCTGTCCCTGCATAAGCTAACTAGATAAGGCAGCTGTCCCTGCATAAGCTAACTAGATAAGGCAGCTGTCCCTGCACAAGCTAACTAGATAAGGCAGCTGTCCTGCATAAGCTAACTAGATAAGGCAGCTGTCCCTGCATAAGCTAACTAGATAAAATAGCTGTCCCTACACAAGCTAACTAGATCAAATAGCTGTCCCTACACAAGCTAACTAGATAAGGCAGCTGTCCCTGCACAAGCTAACTAGATAAGGCAGCTGTCCCTGCATAAGCTAACTAGATAAGGCAGCTGTCCCTGCATAAGCTAACTAGATAAGGCAGCTGTCCCTGCATAAGCTAAACTAGATAAGGCAGCTGTCCCTGCACAAGCTAACTAGATAAGGCAGCTGTCCCTGCACAAGCTAACTAGATAAGGCAGCTGTCCCTGCATAAGCTAACTAGATAAGGCAGCTGTCCCTACACAAGCTAACTAGATAAGGCAGCTGTCCCTGCATAAGCTAACTAGATAAGGCAGCTGTCCCTGCATAAGCTAACTAGATAAGGCAGCTGTCCCTGCACAAGCTAACTAGATAAGGCAGCTGTCCCTACACAAGCTAGCTAGATAAGGCAGCTGTCCCTGCATAAGCTAACTAGATAAGGCAGCTGTCCCTGCACAAGCTAACTAGATAAGGCAGCTGTCCCTACATAAGCTAAATAGATAAGGCAGTTGTCCCTACACAAGCTAACTAGATCAAACAGCTGTCCCTACACAAGCTAACTAGATCAAACAGCTGTCCCTACACAAGCTAACTAGATAGAGCAGCTGTCCCTACACAAGCTAGCTAGATAGAACAGCTGTCCCTACACAAGCTAACTTGATAAATCAGCTGTTTATACACAAGCTAACTACATTAAGCAGCTGTTCCTACACAAGCTAACTAGATAAAACAGCTGTCCCTACACAAGGCTAACTAGATAAAGCAGATGTTCCTACACAAGCTAACTAGATAAAACAGCTGTACCTACACAAGCTAACTAGATAAAACAGCTGTTCCTACACAAGCTAACTAGATAAAAAAGCTGTTCCTACACAAGCTAACTAGATAGAGCAGCTGTCCCTACACAAGCTAGCTAGATAGAACATCTGTCCCTACACAAGCTAACTAGATAAATCAGCTGTTTATACACAAGCTAACTAGATAAAGTAGCTGTCCCTGCACAAGCTAACTAGATAAAACAGCTGTCCCTACACAAGCTAGCTAGATAGAACAGCTGTCCCTACACAAGCTAACTAGATAAATCAGCTGTTTATACACAAGCTGACTAGATAAAGCAGCTGTCCCTACACAAGCCAACCTTAATAAAACAGCTGTGCCTACACAAGCAAATGTGATAAGGCTGCTGTCCCTACACAAGCTAACTAGATAAAGCAGCTGTCCCTACACAAGCCAACCTTAAGAAAACAGCTGTGCCTGCACAATCTTACTAAATAGACACAAGCAAACTTGCATGGACTCAAGTACAAATCTTTATAGGATTCAGATGTTAACAGTAAATACATAGAATTACAAAGCTAATGAACATAACAATATGATCATAGAATGATGACCCTATAAATTAAAACAATTATACTATAAATTGGTTGCTGATAATGATCTAAATCAAAATTAATTTAAAATCACATGAAATGTTTTTTTTCACTGTGGCAAAGTGGTAACAGTCATTGACTCAAAGTCACTGACCTCTCAAAGTTGTGGGTTGGAATCCAGCCATGGACCTTGGCTTATTTCATGTGAGGGACCTGTAAAGCTAGCTCATAGAATGTAGGAGATTCTATTCTTTCTGCATGTGTCTATTTTAATGCAGGAAAGACGCCATATGATCTCTAGTGTCAATGTGACGCCAAACCAATATACAGTGAGTGGCACAAGTTATTTCAGTATTTTATAAGATATCTTGAAATTTGTTTTGTAGCTGTTGTAACAAATTCATAGATGTCGAAAATTTGTGAAAATATAAATATGTAATATGTAATGTCTTTTCCAATTTCCCAGATGAACATAAACTGAATCCTATCTAAATTATGTTTACAGTTGGGGGCAAGTTTTATGGAGTATGGTGTCCCCAGAAGGACTGGGTCATATGAAGGCAAAGGACTCTAAATATCCACAGAAACTATCTATATTCTTTGATACACCAACAGGGAAAAAGTTTGGCACCAAACCAGCATGGGTTTTAAAATCAGATTACAAAAGGTAAGTATTCTTTATAGGGTTATTTCTAGTTCCAATGGGAGCAATTCATATGATTATTTTTGGTTCCCATGGGAACATTTCCTCTAGAAAATTGTAACTAATCAATTCATAGATTTTAGCGATATTGCAGTATATGGCACAGGTCGTTTAATTAGTGGCTTTTACTTTTGATTATTGGAAAGATTAAAAGCAATGGTATCAAAGGAGAAAAATAATTTGTGTCTGGCAAAAATAGGCCAGCTGAATGTAAAATATTACTGCTTCCTTCTGATTTAACTAGAAAATGATTACAAAGGATATAAAGTATTTTATATGTTTGGTGTTTATTATGCTGATTTTTCATATTTTTGGTCAGATCTTGGCAGTCGGTCAACCTTTACTTCTTTTCATTGATAACTAACCAGTAATTATCAGTTTCTCCACTAGTGAAGAACAACTTATCCCACATGATTTATGAATCGCTGTTGAGAGACAAATGACCGTACGACACTTTGTCTGAGATCAATTATCACAGAGAAATTACGCCTAGCCCCAGAATCAATCTGACTAAAGCTCATATCTACTTATTTTTTCCATGTGGAGCGTTTTTTAGAGCTGATTTTAATCAGATTGCCCCAGGATCAAACCAGCATCCTCTAGATTACAAATTAAAGCTTTCCCTATTTAGATTTAGATGGACAAAAACATACAGACAAAAATATTTATAATACTAATATATGTACAAATTCACCAAACTGTCCTGTTTTTATTTTAAACTTCGTTATAGACAAGTGTTTTATTTACTGTATTTCTTAACAATGTTCTAAATATGTTTATCTCAAACCCGCGCAGCTTTTACGACTTCGTAAAAATAGTATTGCATGACCTTGTATATATTACGACGTAGCGTCATTTGCGTTATACAAACATAAAGAGGCTTGTATAATATTATTTTATTCAATTCCTTTAAATAAATTATGTATTGAATCTACACTCATTTAATATCCTCTATTTATATTTTCAGCTATGCAGTATTGTATTCCTGCTGGGATGTAACAGAAGATGGATTTTGTCAAGCTTCATCAGCGTATGCTGTTGTCATACAGCGTACACGTGAACCGTTACCTAGCAACACAATGGATGTCATTAAAGGTGTAGTGACTAGGTCGTGCATAAACCCGAAAGCCTTGAGACCCATCAAACACGACGGCTACTGTAAATCTAACCAAGATGCTATAAGCTGAACAAAGTACATAAGCTGAGCTATGTAGCACATATAATACATGGCAGGGGTACAGAAATCTTGTCATATTTATTTAAATTTTAAGAAGTGAAGTATATGAAAAATTTCTGAAGATCACTTTGGTATTGACTTACAAAAAGTTGTGTAAAAATTGGGTAAAAAATAGTGTAAAAATTGTGTATAAAAATGGTGTAAAACTTGGTGTAAAAATTGTGTTAAAATTGTGTAAAAATTGGTGTAAAATTAGTATATGCTTTTTTATTAACTGAGAGTAAAGTATATATTATCGTAAAAGCTTCAAGCAGCTTTCACTTAACAAGACAAAATTATATGTTAAATAACAAATAGGTTATACACAATTTAGTTTAAATTTAACAAAGAAATAGAACTGTAAGTGACACAGAAGAGTCATATATAACAAGTTTGTTTTACAATGATGCATTAATCACCTATATCTCACATTACTATTTATTACTTTTCCTCATTCATTTGATCCAGATTTTGTTGTTTTTCTTTCTTTTTTTTCCCCCTTTAACATGTTTAATAATGAAATTTTCTTTCCATGATAATTGAATTGAGCTGAATTAACTATATATTTCAAAATATTGACTGTTATAATGGTTTATGACCATCAATTGATACATGAAAATGTTAAGGATAAAATATAAATCTGCCTATAATATTAAAAGACAGTCCAACTCCTTTTATAAATTGATCATTATAGGTAATTTCCATTGATATTTACTGGTATTTCCTTGGGCTACACAAGTTATTTATCATTAATCTGAAATAAACAATTGTGGTAAAATGTAAACTTTTTTTGGACTTTCACCTGTTCACTCAGTAGATACCCTTCCACAGGCATGTCACTTTAAAAAGGTGTATGAAAGTAAAATGATTCCTGTCTTACAAGTGCTTCTAGATAAGTTAAGTAAAATTTAAAATTGGAAGAGTACTTTCCAAAACCTTTGGGTTTATTCAAAGTTACATTTGATTGACAATTTAATAGGCCTATTTTAGAGTAATGATTGAACTGTCAGAAACAGACAAATCAAATACATAATGACACAATCATACAAAATGACATAATATTAAGTTTCATTGTCGGCTATATTTAATTAAATTTAAATTGTGTCCATGATAGACCGTAATATTTTCCTTCCTCAGACATAACACCCACTGGTGTTTTTAGCATGATTTTGAGTACATTTAATAAGAAATTGTTTATAATCATAGCCTTTGAAATTTATATCTCATATATACCACATATATAATTATTTCACTTACAGTAAATCATATATACTATGTCACAATGTGTACGATAAGTAAGGGCTACCATATAGCATATTATTCCTATATTAATTTATTATTTAAACATGCAGTACAATGCAATGTTACATTTTTTTTTTTTTCATAATTATTTCATTTTTTTTTTTTTTTTCATTTTGCATTTCACCATTGAATTATGTTTGCACAAATTGTTCACTATTGAATTATGTTTACGTAAACTGTGTAAGGTCAGTAAATCATACTAAATGAAACAAAAAAAAAATGAAATAGTCTTCTTTAAAAAAGGAAATAATAAGAGTATTAATATTACATCTTCTTCTCCACAATATAATAATACCTGTATATAGAGAATATTGAATGACTGTAGGTTCAATACTAAATTTATTAAACAAGTTGAAAAATTATAATACGTGAGTCTCAAAAACAATATTATTTTATTCAACAAGTTCAATAAATTCAGTAATGAACCTACACGAATATAATATTCTATTTATCACATAACTAAAATACAATGTTTAAAGTGAAATAAGAGTCATTTTTCATTGACGCGCCTATAATGTAAAAGCTAATATTTAGCAAGTCTTCACACTATGTTTGTCTAACGCAAATGAAGTCACATCAAAATATATGGACAACAGTGCAATACCATTTTTACGGGTCGCAAAATCGGCATGTGTATGTGATAAATCATACAATGATAAAACATTCTCCATACATTTTTCAAGACACAGGAAAGATCTATATTTCACAATGTTGTTATTGTTTATGTAACATTAAATTTTATCTTCTGGAAAATTCCAACATAATACTCCAATTATTGCATGCTAATTGGTTTGTCCAACCATTTCTTTGTTTAATTGTAAATAAAATGTTAAAATAAAATGTTTGTAATTTTTTCACTATCAGCTCTTTCCCCAGCCCACAATATCTTCAGAGAATTCTTTATTAAAAACCAAAATGAAAAATTTGAAGATTTTGACATTTTATTTCTTTAAAAAACATTTAACCTGAGGTCTTTTTCCCCCTACAAAAATATGTCTGGTAAAATGTGAAGACAGCTTGATTTCAGATTGGTTGCATTTATTCTAAAAATGCTTTTTAAACAAGATTTTACGAAATGCAATGCCTGATAAGAATACTGTATAACATTTTTTGTTGAAAATTTTATGCATAATTTCCATAACTCTCAAAATTTTTAGTGACTCATTTTCAAAATGTGTCGGTATCAGTCCAAAGTTAACAGAGTAACAGCAGATATGGCAGTCAAACTTAAACCAAATTGGTGATAATGATTCTGGATTACTTCTCAATAGAGCTGTCATTGATATTGATTTTTTTTTTGTTGATCAATAATCAATACACATTTGAAAAAATTAATAAATTTGATTACTATTTCAATATCAATAAATTATTAAAAAAAATAAAATTCACCCAAAACTTACACAAAAGCAGGTGGCCATGTCAAATACTAAGCTGTTATTACATAAAAATGAACACATTTCATAGCAGTGATGACGAAAAATGGTAAGAAAAAAAATCATGCAAAGGACATTTATAAACAGGACACAACATATTTGTATGAACAGAACATGATTTTTACTATAATCATTTAAACATGAATGAAAGTGAATTACAAACAAGAAATAAGGAGAAATTATCGATATATCAGTGTATCGTTGATATTTGTCATCGATATCAATGTATCGTCAATATGCTTTGCACTGACTCAATGACAGCTCTACTTCTCAGTTCAAGAATTGCATATTAAACTGCATGTAAGAAATACACAAATGTACGAGCTACATGCTAACACACAAATAATTCTTGACAAGTAATCATCTGATTAAAAGTTACTCTCCCATGACAGCTCATTTATACATGTATGTCTATCTCTCTAAAATAAAACTTTTTGAATTTTATGCACTTTTATTCTGCTATTATTTAAAGATATACTCATGCTCATCCTTGAGTGAAATATTTTAATCACAGAAATTTATTGATTTATATGATATGTTTAATTTGATAATTTGAATAAAAGAATGAATAAACTATGTGCGGGAAGCTGCATTCCCTAGTAAAGATGGTCTTTTCTTAAAAATAAATTGCAATACACTATATACCATATTCATATTGTGACCATACAAAGTGTGTTGAATTTAAGACATTACATATCTACTTTGGGTGACATCAAAACAAGTTTACCTTATATTTACAAAGAGACTGTGTAAGAATTATCAATATTTTGTAATTTCAAATTTGAGCAAAGTTTAATTTCAAAATGAGTTACAACATTTTATTTTGTACAGATTGCTCTAACGTTAGATCTTAATACATCTGTGTAACTGGAGCACAGTCATCTAATGAGTACTGCTTTTTATTTTAACTGTACACACATACAGTGAAGTTCGAGGCTGTGCCAGTTGAAATCCCAATCCACATTGGGTAGGTCAGTAGTCTTAAACTTTAACTCTAGCCAAAACAAGTTGTGAATGTAGATGTTGTCATCACAGATCTGTTAGAGAACCAGATGTCGAGAAAGATAACCAGTTTATCTGTACACAACACTCAGTCTATAGTATAGTCATGAAGTTTTATATGCTCCTTTAGTGTAGGCATATTCTTCTGTTGTTTCTTGCACACATGACATCTGAAATTAATGTTGTAAATATTAGTTAATATTATTAGTACAGGTTATATGGCCCTATATAAACAGTTGTTTTTACATGTGTATAATTATATAACCGGAGTCACTAGGCAAAGGTTATATTTGAAACAATCGTTTGTATACGGCCATATAACCTGTCAAAAATCTTAATGACGAATATATAATGTAGAAAACCTACTTTTTAGAGGAAAAAAAATGATTTCTTCATAAATTGACAGCAGCTGTGTGTATAAAACTATTTAAATGTTGTAATTAACCAATGAAAAGCAACATTATAAACTTGCAGTATTATAAAGAACATTAAGCAGCATGCTCAAGATGAAGTTAAATTATTGTAAAACTCTACATGATGATAACTACAGGTATTGTAGTTAAAATAATCGACAACAGCGATCAGTGATCACATGTGTCGCCTGCATGTCAGGACAACTTTGTAGCATGTTGTAGCTACTATGTAGCAGGAAAAACAAAATCCTTAACAGGCCAAAATTTTTTTTTATTCAAGCACCATAGCTTAGCCAACAAGAGCTGTCGGTAGGACAGCAACGCTCGACTATTCTAAGTGCTTGATAGTAAAAAAAATGCTTGATAGAGTTACCTCCTCCTGTTTACAGGTTGGGGCCATGATGGTGAACAAGTGTGCAAAGTTTCAAAGCCATATGTCAATGGACTTTGAAAATATTTGAACTATTACAAAAACTTTAACGTAAATTCTAAGTTGCAAAAGGGGCATAATTCTGTCAAAATGCTTGATAGAGTTACCTCCTCCTGTTTACAGGTTGGAGTCATGATGGTGAACAAGTGTGCAAAGTTTCAAAGCCATATGTCAATGGACTTTGAAAATATTTGAACTATTACAAAAACTTTAACGTAAATTCTAAGTCGAAAAAGGGGCATAATTCTGTCAAAATGCTTGATAGAGTTACCTCCTCCTGTTTCCAGGTTGGGGTCATGATGGTGAACAAGTGTGTAAAGTTTCAAAGCCATATGTCAATGGACTTTGAAAATATTTGAACTATTACAAAAACTTTAACGCAAATTCTAAGTCGAAAAAGGGGCATTATTCTGTCAAAATGCTTGATAGAGTTACCTCCTCCTGTTTACAGGTTGGGGTCATGATGTTGAACAAGTGTGCAAAGTTTCAAAGCCATATGTCAATGGACTTTGAAAATATTTGAACTATTACAAAACTTTAACGTAAATTCTAAGTCGAAAAAGGGGCATAATTCTGTCAAAAATGCTTGATAGAGTTACCTCCTCCTGTCTACAGGTTGGGGTCATGATGGTGAACAAGTGTGCAAAGTTTCAAAGCCATATGTCTATGGACTTTGAAAATATTTGAACTATTACAAAAACTTTAACATAAGTGGTTACGCCGACGCGGACGCGGACGCCGACGCTCGGGTGACTGCAATAGCTCTACTTATTCTTATCGAATAGTCGAGCTAAAAATTATACAACCAGAAAGCCTGTATAATATGCACCAGAACTTGAACTACCTATCATCTGTATCTGTGACTCATATATATCTTAACTCGCTTAAACTAACAACTATAAGTCCTATTTACTTATAACTAACCATTTTATCACCAGAAAGCTTCATATCTACATGCTTAAACTATTCAAACTCAAGTCAAATTACCTTAACTCCTGTTCCAACAATGTTTTGGAATCCTTGACATCAAAGTGAACCTTCCCATCTTTCTCTAACATTTTTATAACTTCTGAAAAATAAGTTCTTTATCAAATAACTAACATATAAACTAGGTAAGCTAAAATTGACACATCAAATTATATAAAATACATTATAGCACAACAATATAGAGAAGATGATTTACTGATTACAGTATGCAAAGTTCCGTTATTATAAAGTATATGAAGTTTATAAACATTTGTTAAACATGTAAGAGACAATACTATTAATTATACCTCATGTAAACTTTTTACAATATACCCTAATGTGACGTCACAGGTGTTATCCTGGAAATGAATATCACCAGGCAATATTACCCAGGGGTAAATAATCTATATAAACTATATAGGAAACATAAAGTTCTAATTCTCTCCCCTGGCTGCAATCAATTATGATTGGTTCTCAGAGTAATTATGTATAGCGGTAAAAAATTACATTAAAATGTGGGTTCATATAATTTTAAAAAAATAACACGTCTCTCAGGGTAACAGCGAATTGTTAGCAACCCTTGCATCATTAAAAGGAAAACTTACCATGAGAGTCTACAAAGTATTCTGAAGTGAAAGAATTCCAGTGTTTTTTGGTCTTCAGGCTGGGACTGTTAAAATCTTGGCTGATCACATGCATATGTAAGTGGCTGAAATATTATTGTAAAAAATAACAAGAAACAAAACTTTTATAACATTTGACCTTAAAGCTAATCAACAAATTTTATGTTACTCATTACAAGTGTAATTAACACTCAGCCTGTAAACTGCAGTTGATTCTACCCGTGCCAAATTGTGCGAAATGATCATGGTCTATTCGGTCAGAATATATTTTGAAAATTTTCCATATAAATGATAAATAATTTGGTCTAAATTGAAAAAAAATGGACAATCTTATGTAAGTTTATTAAGTATGAAAAAGCTAGGATCAAAGAAAGTTATATCAATGACCAACCTTCTTAGCAGTCTAAAATAAAATAACCGGATGAGAGATTTTGTTATTTTGATTTTTGTTAATTCATACATTCTGACACGCTTCACACCATTCCCCATTAAACAGATAGGAATGCACTATCACACGATATACAATGATATATGTACAGCATAAAAAACAAATGCTTACATGTCATATGATGTTATATATGATGTAAATAAACCAATTGATGTCAGGAAAATTACTTCCATCCTTAATGTAGTTCAAAACATTTTTATCCATTCTCAATTTTAAATACCAGATATTCATTATATTCTTGCATAGTAGTATAATAATTCATGGTTTATTGTTCAAATACTTTGTTATTAAACATTCAGGCCTATCGAACTGATTATATTCCTGCGCGTTTAAACTCGAAACATGCATTTTTCTTCAACAATGCACTCAAAATTGATATTTATTTCCTAAATCTATTCTAAGTCATAACATGAAGTAAAATTCTACATTTAGCACAACATTTATATTAATTGTAAATTTCACCAAAATAAGGGCATAAAGAAATTTCTCACAGATATATTCATTTTATTCTATTTTATAATAAAATTAGACAAGACCTGGCATCTATGTGCTTTTCAAAGAAGATATTCCAAATTTTTAATACTCCATACTTAGATGATTTATATAGAGGATATTTGTTTAGTTCAGTGTCAGATTGGAATATATTTCACTGAGTGAGCACCAAAAGGTATATTTCACGAGTGGCGCAGCCACAAGTGAAATATGAACTTTTGGTGTTCACAAGGTGAAATATATTTCGATCTTACATTAAACTAAACAAATTTTCTTTTTATTGTATGCAAAGAAACCTTTTAAAAAGACATTAAACCTATTACTGAATGAAAAGCGCGCCAAATAATAATACAGTAAGTTGGTACCCAGTACAATGCACGCTGGTATTTCACTGAAACAACGTAAGGGGCTTAAATTCAAAACAGTGAAATTATCAAAGTTATATATTATAATAATTTTTTATATCAGTTTTATATCAGTGATATATTTCTATAAACCAATGAAAAGCATGTAATAAAGCCTTATATTCATAAATTTGTCAAATTACTTATATACATCCTCCTGAAAAAATTGGATGATCTTATAATTATTATCATATCAACATTATTTAATATCTAAGACATACCTCATACTAGGTACAGCATGGTATCCAAATCTAAACTTCAGTTTAGCATCCGTCCTGAAAAGATAACAGATAACAGGGGAATAATCAGCATCATGTTAAAGAAAATCCACAGAGGTCTAAAGGCATAAAAACATAAAATTTGAAAATCTTACAAATATCATGTGAAGCACTAAAAACTGAAAAATCAAGAAAGGATAACAACCAAATATATGCAGAATAAAAGAAAATGAAACTCAACTTTATATACAATTAATTATAAACCAAATTTGAAAGAAAAGGGTTGTAACGCTTTTTATATTTGGGGCTATTTTTTCACACACAAAAAGAGTTTTCTTGGAAAAAAAGATGAAGGAATGAGCACACACTTTGCACACAAGTTATTGTACATAAAACAATTGGTACATAAAACTTGGAAAAATATTTTCAATCTCCGCCATGTCATAAAACCTCAGTGAAGTCCCTATAAGAAATTATGTTAAGGATTATCTTGTACTTGTATATACCTTTGCTGTAATAAACAAATTCAGGTTGATTGTACATAAATTTGTAAAATGCTTAGATATAATTCAATAAAGACTCAGATACTGATCATTGTTACATCTAGGCCGCGCGATTGTGCGATTCACGCATATATTTTACAGATCGCGCATTTTAATGAAGTCAATGACCGCCAAGTCGCGCATCAAACGATCTTTTCAACTTAATTTAGTTAATCTTCATCGTATTTTGAATGCTTCAGCTATTTTTGTTTTCACTCGCGGTAATGACTGAAACACGAACTAAATAGCGTGTAGCAGCCAACCATTGTTGGTAAAATTAATGCTTGTCCCCCACATTTTTTTCAAATCCCCCACATTTTTCAATTGAGTGGGGGACGATCCCCCATAATTTTGAAATTCTAGATGCAACACTGACTGATATAATTTTGTTAATACGATATGATTAATTGTGGGTAAAAGTTTACATCAGCATTCTTTCATTAAAACAATCACAATAATCTTAAACAAACAAAAAATAGATATACATGTACATTTACCATACAAGAATTATATAGAAAATATCTTACTTCTTGGCAAGTGCTCTCCCTTTCTCTTCAAATTGTTTCAGCAAGTCCAAGTGATCCGGTTTTAAACTTTTCAGGTTTGGGATAGTCTCTTTAGGCATCACCAAGAAATGATACTTTGCCTGTAAATTGTAGGTAAACAAAATCAATTTAAGGTCATTATAAGGTCAAATTAGTGCAATTTAGTACAAATAAGGCTACAAAGAACTACAAGAACTCACAGGGCAATATACAACTGAAGCAAATATTCAAAGATGTATCATACACAAAAATGTGTCTTATTTAAAGATAGATAGTAAATTTATTGTTGTAAATGGCACTAATGAGCATTTTTGCTTTAAATGTAAAAACTAATGTATCCCCTTATTTTTAGGTATTTACAAGATAATAAAAGGTCTGTTACATTATAAGTAATAGTTAGTTACATTATTATATCAAATTTGTAATAAACTTATTTCAGAGAAAATCAACTTGAATTATGTTTTGATATTACATAATTGCATGCTACATGCTATATATCAACATATTCAGTGAAATTTTTAAAAGTAATTCTGTGGTAACAAATAATTTCACAGACAATTTACTGAATAAGAGGCATAACTCTAGCAAGTATAAGTTGATTGCAGTAAAAAATCAAACATAATTTGTGTTTTGATTTAACATACAAGTACTTGCATGCCGAATATACATTTGTAAACACAATTACTGAAACCTTTCAAAAGTTATTCTGAAGAAACAAATTATTTCATAGAAAATTGCTTTAACCCATTACTTCATGAGCATTTTGTGTGTGTGTGTGGGGGGGGGGGGGTGAAAAAGGCGTTAAAAGGTGTGTATATAACGTAATGGGTTAACAGAAAATGATGAAAATACTTGAAATTACCCTAAATCGCGTTTTTTTATGTTTAAACATGGCCTGTCATATAAATTTGAAGAAAAATTGTTGTTTTGTAGATTTTTTAATGTTTTTCATTAACCCATTACTTCATTAGCATTTTGTGAAAAATGGCTGTTTTCATTGAAAAGTCTCCCGTTACAAGTTCAATTGCTATAATACTATAAAAACTGCTTCAACACTAATCAAACTTGGCACAAATGTTGACTGGACCATTGCCCTTGCAACAACATGCTCAGGCTTAAATTTTCTGTTACCATGGCAACGAGGGGACATCTCAAAATTGCCAAAAATCACTATTTTGCATTGATTTTTTCCATCAAAATTGATTTCAAAGTGCTGCAACTTCTCAATGGATTGAGATAGAGTCAAATGCTTTTAAGCGTTGCTTACACGTTACCTTATGATCAGTCTGGGGTCATTTATAGCCTCTCACAAGTCCAAAATTTTCTTGGCTATGAGGGGGACTCCGCCCCCCTTCAAACCCCCCAAACAGAAGGGGGCACATCCCCCTTCTGACAACCCCGATGTATCTATTGGTAGGGGGGCCGCGCCGAAAAAGAGGTCACTTTTTTTAACAACATTTCTCAAACAAAAACAAGTGTTGGGGGCCTAAATAAGGCATTTTTTCACCATTTGAGACAACAAAAAGGGGGGGGGGGGTGAAAAAGACGTTAAAAGGCGTGTATATAACGTAATGGGTTAAAAAAGGCATTCATAAATCTTATCATCTCTGTACAGGATTATCTCAGTAGGATGATTCTGGGCTTCTATGCAATGGCTAAGGCCTTTTTAAACCCCTCTTCTTTTGCCTCTACATGTTCGTCTCATCACTATTACATATCTTTATATGCACACATATAAAGCTTTAAGTTTACACTGCTGTATATTTATAGCAAAATGCTATAGTTAACATTTTAAATTTTATATGTTACTTCTTCGGTCCAGTGTTGATCCAGCTTGACTTTAAATTCATCTATCTTCCATTAATGTCAAACCCCTCACAGGGACGTAGACATGACTCTAGACTTAAGAGACAGCTATGAGATACAAGGGAAACCGAGAACCAGTCCCTAGCTCTTAATGAGTAGACCACTACATGTAGATTCATTTAAATGCCCAGTTTATAGCACTGATACATGCGTGGATTACCTGTACACCTCTAGGTAGGTGGGAAACACTGAAAGTGTCTCTGAAAAATCCAAAGGGTGTTATCCAGGATTGAACACGGGCCTGAGGAGTAACAGACATAGCTCTCATAACCATGTGAGCTATAGCACCTTCTCAATGAACAGATGAACATTTGTGGAGTCTACTACATTTTTAGGTAAATTATAACATATATTATCATATAAACAACATAGAAAATTATCAACATAATTTAAAAAACTTTTTGTTCCATTTTTCTATGTATACAATCAAAAATTTTGGCAAAGAATTCGAAATATTTTGAGTACAAAACGCAAGTTTCAAACCTTTGGGTATTTGTCTTTTATTATAGTCATTTTGTCATCTTTTTCTACAATGAGTTCTGGGTCGTCCATTGAAGATAAAAGGCCCTGACTCCAGTGACCAGCAAATTTCTTCTTTGGATTTTCATCATTTTTGGATTTTTCAGTTTCATGTTTTCTTTTCTCGCTTGCACCTTCCGCCATATTTGTTACGTCGCCTACCGACATTTAGTTTCTCTTATCTGATTGGTTTAGAATGCAAATATAAAACGTAAATGTCCAATTGAATTTGCCTTTACATAAATCAACAAAAACTTGATTTGTGTAAACAATTAAGGAAGGATACGATTTGCTGTGTGATTTTTTTTCCATTTTAGGTAAAGATTCATTGATTTCAACAAAGTATGCGTTTATTATAAAGGAGTTGTATTTTATACAAATTCCATCTACAGAATACTTTATTACTTATTCCACTGGAGAGGGTTTATAAATTGTAAATTTGTTGATTGAATATTTTTTTGTGTATTTTGCAATATCTACTAGCTACAGTACATGTACAAATATGTGTATGTTTAGTAAAGTCTTAAAGTAGACAACCTGAATATTGAATTGCAAAATGTCATTGATTAGATTTTGAAATATTTTTATAAATGATTCTTTTTGTTAGAAAGAAAGAAACAGACTGACAGCTTTGCATGCATATAACAGTGTATAAAGTTGATGTTAAATTGACTCGGTAAGTTTTAATTATTTTTTTTATCTTATGGTTTAATTATATCGTCAACAAACCAGTTCTCAAACCTCTAAGCATTCAAGAGGACTTTTAGTATAAATAAGAATGTATCTTTATGAAAATTCTTTACATAATTATGTACATTTTACTCTTTATGTAACATTTCTGTAAAACTTGACTGAAATTCAACAATTAAAAAAGCTCTATTTCCATCTTGGAAAAGCACAACCCTCTTTTGTAAAACTGACACGGCCTCTTAATTAAAAGAAAGAACCTAATCTCAAACCCCTTCAAGTATCTCTAAAATTCTACTGTTTAGTGTAGCCAATGAAGTGATTGTCATATGAATATCACATGACATTGAAGTACTCTAAAGGATGCAGGTACCTGCTTTAAGATATTGCTGTCTCTAATATTCATTTTTACAAATAGTTAATGGTGTATTTACAGGACTTACAAAAGTAATAGCAAATTGCAATTTGTATGAAATTATGCTAAGTAATAAGATTTTTAATGTAAATATTCCTTACTATGCACTATTAATTTAACAGCAGCAGACATGTCTGTCAGAATCTAAGCTTTAATGCACACAAGTTGAGGACATCATAGTCATTTCTAGTAAAATTGTAATTACATAACAGCTCATGAATGAAAGGTTAGATAATAGGTTGGGTATGAGATTAGGTACTTACAGTATACAATAAATAAGTAACGGTTTGACAGTATAAAAAAAAAAGTTTGTAAAATGGGTCAAACCGTTCACTCCAAATTAATTAGGCTACATTGTACATGTATATCTGCTTGCAAAAATCTTAGGCCTTACCCCAGTGTTCGAAATTATCAGTAGTCCTATAGCCCCTGACTACTAAATTTCTCCTTTTCACAGTAACAAGCCCGACCAGGCTACTGTATTTTCAGAGGCAATATAAACAACTGTTTTGAACAAATGAATCGTGCTAGTGAAATGTCTTTTGGGCTAGCTAGTGAATATTTCAATCTGGTAGTCCGACCAGCCTAGTGGATTCAAATCCTAATTTCTTACACTGCCTTACCCTTCTTATTATCTTAGATGGATTTCTTCATCATTTTATTGAAAATTTTTAAAGTAAGTACTGAACTGTGAAAACCTGTCGATCATGCAGAATTCTGCTGACACAAGTATGGTCGCTCATTTTGGTATGCGCTGTTAACATGGGTTACAAATTCATAAACAGGATAAGTAATAGTTATAGTATTTGAAACTTGTTAAAAGTTACTTGGTTATAACACTGGCTGGTATGACATTGAGGGAAAATCAAATTTGTGAGTGTTAACAGGAAATACTACAACACTCGAAGTGCATAAACCTTTGTTTATCGAAAATATAAACAATATACAGCAGTTAATTCCTCTGGTCAGTACAAAAGCATAGTATGACATAGAGTCACGAAGCTTTATCTAATTCATGCATTCTGACATTTTATAACACCTTCTTTTAAGTTCTTTGATTATTGAGATTCTAATCAGTTTGTCCAATTTTCATGAAACTTCTCAGGAATAAATATATATGAGGCTCGCCAGTTTGATTAATGGATTAATCGATTTGCTGTATATAAAACCATGGTTATTCATGAAGTTCCACTCGCATTTGTTGGAATTTCATTCCAAGTTTTCCCCCTTTTCGGATTTATCGTCATATATTTTCCCCTTCGGAAAGTCACAGGTTGTTTTGAAAATTGAAAAAAATATCACTGCCATTAGTTATAAGTAATTTCATAAAAATGCTCTCAGACCTTACACATTTGTCATACATCAATTTGATTCTACAAATATGCCATGACTGTCTAGTATTTACAATGTTTACTTTCAGTAATTTTATATATTAGTATTAATTATATGTACATCAAAAGCTCTGTAGTAGTTAATACTTGGTTCAATATGTTAATGGGCTCTACTGATCAAATATTTTTTTCCAGATTTTTATACAATTGGATGTTGGTCTATACCAGTCAATATAAACTTGATTCAAATGTTCAAATCATTCGCTGACAGACACTAATTTGCCAGAATTTTGATACTTCAAAACAACCCAAAAATGAACAGTGTTCAAGATCTTTTACACAAATCAGACTAAAAATTGCCCTAAATATTAATTTCCAATTAAGTTCTTAGTATGTTTGATTATTTTTATATTCAAATTTTTTTTTCAATTTTGAATTATGTAATTGATCTATGTAAGAGTATTACATTTTCCACAAGGTGTGCTTTTAATTTCAATTTTGAAGATCTAATATCAAAAAAGTAACCCAAGTTGGCAGCAAAATCAATTGTCCATTTTGCACAGATTGTCCCACAGGCAGCATGAGGCTGTATGGACAAGTAGGAATTTTCAAAAGTTTACTATATAAAGATGATTTGAACAAGTTAGAAATCCTTCAGAAAAAAACGGACAAGTCAAAATTAGATTTTGCCAGCCCTGCTTTTATTTAGTATTTGAAGCATTTAAAGCATCCATTATATTTATATGTACTATACTTACCTGTGTATTATGATAAACCTTCTATTATCATGAAATTGCATGGAAATTTGAAGTTGTAAGTATTTGTATAAATATTTATATAACATTATTTACATAATCATTGCACTTATAGTTGATATATTGACCACAAAAGTGTCTTTGTGACCAAAACAAATCGTCCAAAATGTAAATAAATTGTAATATTGATGTGATTTTTCATTTCAGTCTGCTGTATAAGTAAAGTACCTAAGTTAAGATGGCAAATCCAAAGGTGATAGCTGGTCTAGTGTTTGCTGTTGTCATTGTTATCATGATCATAGTTCTTGTCTCAACATCCCTGAAAAAACTCTCATCTGACCAAAGTAAGTAACTTAGTCTTACCTCTCTCAAGTTCCAAGTTTATATTAGTCTTATCTGAACAAATTAGTTTCTTTTAGTTTTATCTGAACAAATTAGTCAAATTAAGCAGTAAACTTGCCTTAGTAGTTTTGACCTCTGACCAAAGTAGATATGAGTCTTAATTGGCCAAGGCAAGAATTAGCAGTATCTGAACATAGTAAGTGTAAGTCTGTTCTGACCAAGGTAAGTATTAGCCTTACCTGAAAATAGTTAGTGTTAGTCTCTTTAGGATAAAGCAAGTTCAAGACTACATTGACTAAAGAAGGTTTAAATCTCATCTAGAGTGGTGGTTGTTAGTTTTTTCTCACAAAAGTAAGTTTTAATCTTATCTGATATATACAGAAAGATAAATACAATGTATTAGTCTCTTCTGAGTATGAACTTAAACTGAAGACATAAGTGTAAGTATCTTGTAACCAAAGTACCGGTAAGTTAGTTTTTTGGACTAAAGAAAGTGTAAGTCTCTTCTGATCAAAGTAAGGACCAAAGTAAATAGAAAGGTCCAATGTTAAAGCAGCATGCCTCCAGATACATGGAAGCCAAACTATTTCAAGAAAATAAAACTTGAGAAAAATGTCTTAAGATTTTTAGAAAAGTAAAAAAAGATTCAAATAATAATTTACTTATGTGCAAAAAAATTACTGTTATTTTCTGTATTTATCACTACATCTATATTTCTATATAGTTCTATATTAACTAACACAGTAAGGGCTATTTTTTCATATTTTGACCCCTTTTTTGTGAATAACTTTGATTGTAAGTGCTGTTTGCAAAGTGTAAAGTAATAAATTTGTTCGCTTCACAATATTTTACTTTTAACTACATTTTCAAAATGCTCATGACGATAAGCCTGAATCTGGAGGCATGCTGCTTTAAACATGACCTATAAAGGATATTAATTATACTGTATATTACATCTATACCAAGTACATAATGTACATTTACTTAAAGATACATTTAAGTTAATGACTTGTCACTTATTACAATGGCTGGAGAGAGCAGGGCTATGTAATTACATACTGTAACATTATATCTCTATTTTAGTTGGTCTTGCCTATGACACTATCAACAAAAATCTGGACAAAGAAGCAAAAGGCGAGGGCCTTCACAATGGTTCTCCTGGCTTTGATTTTATCATCTTCCCAAGTGTTTATAAAACACTTACATTCAATGATTTAAGGGTAAGTTGTTCATGGTTTTCCCAAAATTTTAATAAATGAAAGACTTCTCACTTACAAAATTTTGGATTTGGGATGATATTTATTCATTTACATTGACATTGGGTGTTATTGTCAACAGCATGTACTAAGATGACAATTTAAAGATATAAAGGAATATTTTTCTTAAATACTCATCTTAAGTCATACTGTAAAAAATTGCCGTTGTTGTTTTCCATTTTAATAACAATCATCAAGTAGAATGAAAAATATATCAAGGGGGGGTGACCACAAAACTGCAGTAACTTAAATGAAATAAAGTAGGACTTAGAACAGTTTTGCGATCAACCCTCGAATTATATCCCTTGTATATTTGTTTACTCTCCTGTGAATGAATTATCAATTTGAGGTTTGAATGCAAAATTGCAGTTACTTACATGAAATAAAGAAGGGCTTACAACACTTTTGCGATCATATCACAATCAATCGATCATTGTAATGATAGTTGTTCCTGTAAGGAAGTTATTAAATTTACTGATGGGATCTGTACGTGTGTCTGTTTGATAACTATCACTTAATAACATCCTGTTAAATTATAATAATGATAATTCATTAATTATCACCTCAGTGTAGTAACAAGTTAACTCTGTATTTAGAAACAGGAGTTAAGTCATTACTGCATTAAGATGGTGGAGTGTATCCAAGTTACAATTGTAATAAGATTTGATTTTGGAATTATTTATTTTTTTTGAAATATGTGAAAATAACAGTTTAACATGCAGAATAAGAATGAAATGTTCACATGCATAAATCAAGTAACATCAGGTTTGACATCATTATATCAAATGATGTAATGAAAATTACTTCTTTTGCTCAATGCAGTTCAGCATAACTTTTATAAATTCTATTTCTATGGGCATGTTAAAATAGATATTTTAACATGCTTCACACTATTCCCATATTAAACAGATAGGGCAATCAAGTGCATTATTACACGATATATGCACAGCATAAGAAAAGAATGCTCACGTCATATGACATCAGATAAATAATTATATGATGTGAATAAACCAAATGATGTCAGGAAAATTATTTCTATGCTAATGTAGTTCAACACATCTTTATTAATTCTTTTATATTAGCATGTTGGACTGGAAATAGATATTAATTTTGCTTACATTATAGTATTATAAGGCATGGTTCATCATTAAAATGCTTTGTTATTAATCACTATGGCCTATCAGTCTTCGTGATTATATTCCTACGCATTTGAACTCGAACTGTGCATTATTCTACAATACATGTACATGCAAATTGATATGTATTTCTTAAGTATTACATTTTTGCAATAATTCATGGTTTATCTGATGTATTATCATTTAAATGTAATAAATTATACACATTATCAGTCTTTGTGATTATATAACTGCACATCTGAACTTGAACCTTGCTTTATTCTTTAACAACACACTCAAAATAATTAGAATAGTCCAAATAGTGCAATAAGCAGCATGGCAAGGCATTACATACATTTTATAGCAGTGTAAAGTTTAACGAGAAGTAGAGACATTATATTTTTTTATATACATGTTTTTCAGTGTTTAAATGCTGATGGTGTGATAATCACATTAGATGTAACATACCAGTATAAAGCTAAAGCTCCTAAACTCTATGACATTGTGATGAACTTCAAAGATTATGATGGCTATAAAACTGTCTTACAATATACAGGTAATAAAAAACTGTCTTATAATATACAGGTAATAAAAAACTGTCTTATAATATACAGGTAATGAAAAACTGTCTTACAATATACAGGTAATGAAAAACTGTCTTACAATATACAGGTAATGAAAAACTGTCTTACAATATACAGGTAATGAAAAACTGTCTTACAATATACAGGTAATGAAAAACTGTCTTACAATATACAGGTTATGAAAAACTGTCAAACAAAATAAAAAACTGTCTTACAATATACAGGTAATAAAAAACTGTCTTACAATATACAGGTAATGAAAAACTGTCCTATAATATACAGGTAAGGAAAAACTGTCTTACAATATACAGGTAATGAAAAAGTGTCTTACAATATATAGGTAATGAAAAACTGTCCTATAACATACAGGTAAGGAAAAACTGTCTTACAATATACAGGTAATGAAAAACTGTCAAACAAAATACAGGTAATGAAAAAACTGTCTTACAATATACAGGTAATGAAAAACTGTCCTATAATATACAGGTAAGGAAAAACTGTCTTACAATATACAGGTAATGAAAAAGTGTCTTACAATATATAGGTAATGAAAAAACTGTCTTACAATATATAGGTAATGAAAAACTGTCTTACAATATACAGGTAATGAAAAACTGTCAAACAAAATACAGGTAATGAAAAAACTGTCTTACAATATACAGGTAATCAAAAACTGTCTTACAATATACAGGCAATGAAAAACTGTCCTATAATATACAGGTAATGAAAAACTGTCTTACAATATACAGGTAAGGAAAAACTGTCTTAAAATATACAGGTTATGAAAAACTATCTTACATTATACATGTAATGAAAAAGTGTCTTACAATATACAGGTAATGAAAAACTGTCTTACAATATACAGGTAATGAAAACTGTTTTACAATACACAGGTAATCAAAACTGTTTTACAATATACAGGTAATGAAAACTGTCTTACAATATACAGGCAATGAAAAACTGTCTTACAATATACAGGTAATGGAAACTGTTTTACAATACACAGGTAATCAAAACTGTCTTACAATATACAGGCAATGAAAACTGTTTTACAATATACAGGAAATGAAAAATTGTCTAATAATATTTTAAACAGGAAAAGATCTTACATGCAGAAGGAACATTGTAATTATACAGTAAATATTTGTAGACTGAAAATATTGTAAGAAATATGTTTCAGGTTTATAAATGTACATTATGAGATTTACATGTCTTTCTAAAATTGTGGTATTTTATATGAATAGCATTTTTAGAAATTATCCCAAGAATCCTTATTTAAGTTTTTGATGTTGCAGTTTCAACATTCTCCTTCACTGTAACACTAGAGGGTTACTTCCCTTGATGTTATGTTTTTTTTAGATAAATAAGATAAACAGACGAGCCACACAAACACGAACATTCAGTAATTATTTATTGCATACGTTTAGAGTCCAATTTTTTTTTAAATAAAGAAGATGAATAATTTCGTAATCGTTTACAAATAGATGTGAACATGTTGACATCTAGTTATGGAGAAAAGTAGATTTGTATTGACTCATACTGCAGAAGCACTAATTCAGCTGGTTAGTACATCACTGATATGTTTTTCCCCAGTGTCAAAACAAGTCCATATTTTTACCATATTCATTCCCAATTGCAAATACGCTTTTTTTCCCCAATCTCTAAAAAAATCCCAATCTAACTGAAATTCCCAATATTAAAACTGACAAATTTCAGTTCAATCCAATATGGTATCAGACAAATGTTTCCACATATTCCATAGTCAAATTTTAATGTATTTTTTATGCTTTGAATGATATTTGCATTGGTTGGAATAAACAATTTTGCACAATTCAAAATACTATGCCATAAGAGCATGAAGTGGTTTTAAAAGATATCAAATATTTTTCCCAATATTGAGGCAATTTCATGACGCAAAATTTCAAAAACTTGGCTTACGGTACTTTTTTCAACCCAAAATGGCTAGGAAAAGGCCTGACTGAAAACAAAAAATAAACGCTGAAAATAAATCAATCTAATGATATGATGTGTAACTTTGTACAATATTTTCAGGAGAATCCGCACTACACGAAGCTTGCAGTTATTTTAATACATCACAGTTTCAAGCTGAGAGAGGTGCCTTCCAGGAAAAAGTGCGAGACAAGATTTTAGAAAAGTATGCTGTCCTCTATTGTGACATCACTGATCTGCAGGTATATATTTCTAGATTTTACTTCTTGCGTAAGATAAAGGCTTAGAAACATCATAATCTTTATAACTGACTATCATGTTGCATCAGGGGTCAGACTTAGGTTTCTGAGTTGCATTTCATGGAAAGTCCCAAGTCAAAAAATATGTCTGAAGACCAAACTGAGTCGATTTTCATTTCAAAGAAAATGTCCTAACTTGTGACTCTTATGTTAAGACTCTTCAATTTCTGTATATAGCGATGCAGATGAGCCTTTAAACATTGCAGATTGAAGCACTTGCCATTGTATTTTGTCTCAGGAGAATTACTTATATAAACGTCTAAAACTTTTACTAAAAATGAAAATTTATTGAAACGGTCTTAAGTTAGTCCTATAGTTCAATATAAGTCCTAGGACTTAGGATACACATAGGACTTTCTGTGGAACGCAGTCCTGCATAATTATATCTCACTGAATTAGTACAGTGTTTTTACTCCGGGGCCTTAAACAACACAAAGAGGGTAGCGTATGGTTAACTTCTACAAAAAAGAAATGAACCCCTTTATATGACCTAAACCATGTTAGTTTGATTTAAGAAGCAACAAATAAAATGAAAAGATAAATTGGAGGATATAGTTTGAAATTTCTGAGGCTTTGAGAACAAAGGGTTTATATTGATATACAAAGCAAATTGTATGAAAAATAACCCCTGTGTTATAAGTGTGTGTGTGATATGTTATTTCTGTATAAGCAGTAACCTTATTAAGAACGAAACTGTTTTGTAACTAACAGTTGGACAAGTAATATGGTAAATTTGAACATTCTGGATTTTTGAAGACATTTTATGATGCGAACTGTAAAGTGTACTTGGTATATTATTGTTTTAATAAAAAAATAAAAAAGCACACACACATCAAAAAACGGGAGCTTATGTGACTGATTTAAAAGTGAAAATATTTTAAATGAAACAGGTTAATGAATTTGTTATTGTTTGATTGTCATATGAATTTATGTTTGTAATTTTAAGGTGAGCAACATTGCCAGACCAAGTGAGTACGAATCAGCAATCAGAAGTAAGGAGCGTGCTCGTGAAGATATTCAGGTACTGTTATTTCCAAATAAATGTTTATGAAATACTGTTTATAAATAAGTGATGGTGTTTATGGAATATTATACACAAATAAGATATGTTTATGGTATATTGAATACTAATAAGGAATGTTTATGGAATACTGTGTACAAATTAGGGCTGTTTATGGAATATTGTATACAAACAAGGGATGTTTATGGAATATTGTATACAAACAAGGGCTGTTTATGGAATATTGTATACAAACAAGGGATGTTTATGGAATATTGTATACAAACAAGGGATGTTTATGGTATATTGAATTCTTATAAGGAATGTTTATGGAATATTGTATACAAGGAAAGGATATTTATGGAATATCATATACAAATAAGGGATGTTTATGGAATATTTTATACAAACAAGGGATGTTTATGGTATATTGAATACAAATAAGGAATGTTTATGGAATACTGTGTACAAATTAGGGCTGTTTATGGAATATTGTATATGAATAAAGGGTGCTTATGGAATATTGTATATGCAAATAAGGGGTGTTGATATAGGAATTTTGTATGTTTGTTGAATATTATACTGTAAAATCATTATTATTCGTGGGGCACGAATTTTCGTGGTTTTCGTGGGTAGGTCAATCCACGAATTTAAGATCCCACGAACTTTTATCCCAACAAATACTTCTTACCCAGTCTTTGTTCTATATATTACAAACATGCGTCGGCTCTTTTCCGGCCGATATTTTGTGAAATGGATGTATATACAGATAGATAATCAGGCTAGTGACATATTAAATCTGTTTACAATATTTAAGGAACTTGAAAGAAAACTCGATTATATGTCTTCAATTTACTGTCACAAATGTCGCATATACATACTTGATTGTTGTAGTCTGCTAGGACTTGATTGTGTCACATAATCGAGTAAATATGGGAACCCAGGCAGTGCAATAATAAGGGATAATAAAAATTGTCAGTTTGCTCTTATTTATTTTTAAAAAAATCTTTGATATTAATGTCGTAAGTACACAAAACTATAAAAAAAAAAATACGATCGCTAAAACAGATTTATTGTACATTCTTTTGTCGTTTTAAATGATCAAGTTTATTTGAATTTTAATCTGTATTTGTGCCAATGCTATTCCGTCAACATCAAAGACGCCACCGACTTTTACAAGATCCACACATACTTGTGTTATTTACCGAGATTAATTTATATGCATGTAAATTTACACAGTCACTGTGACATTGAGTGTAGTACTGTCAAATATGTTAAGACCAATTCAGGGTGAAAACTTTTAAACTCGCTGGTTAAAACCTGTCAGGTGTCGCATAAATGATGCAATGTTTGCATCGGCGAATTACATTGCATATCATGTCACATACAGTCATGTGTTAATTGCAGTCAATTATCGGCAGTAACTGTGCTATATTATTTATGCCCAGAGGCAAGGATTAAATTAATTGACAAGCGCTGTGTGACAAGTAAACAGGTAAAGATATGTTCATGTTGTAAGTAAAAATGTTCGGCGATTAAGTTTAAGATTATTTTGCATTAGGTTACTGAATTATTTTTAACAAGAAAACGAAAATCCACGAATTTAAGGATCCACGAAAATGCCCTTTTTGATAAAACCACGAAATTTCATGCCCACGAATTTAAGTGAATTCGCAGTATACAAACAAGGGATGTTTATGGAATATTGTATACAAACAAGGGATGTTTATGGAATATTTTATACAAACAAGGGATGTTTATGGTATATTGAATACTTATAAGGAATGTTTATGGAATATTGTATACAAGGAAAGGATATTTATGGAATATCATATACAAATAAGGGATGTTTATGGTATATTGAATACAAATAAGGGATGTTTATGGTATATTGAATACAAATAAGGAATGTTTATGGAATACTGTGTACAAATTAGGGCTGTTTATGGAATATTGTATACGAATAAAGGGTGCTTATGGAATATTGTATATGCAAATAAGGGGTGTTGATATTGGAATTTTGTATGTTTGTTGAATATTATATACAAATAAGGGATGTTTATGAAATATTGTATACAAATAAGGGATGTTTATAAAATATTGTATACAAGTAAGGGATGTTTATGGAATATTGCATACTAATAAGGGATGTTTATTACTTGGAATTTGAATCATAGTTGTAGGTCAGGTGCATCAATGCATGGAATTTAATGTTACTATACTTAGAAAGAATCATAAATTATCCAGTTTCTTGTTTGTCTATCAAAACACAAAAAAAAAGACATGATTTATATCACGAAAGAAATGCTACATCCAAACATAAACTATTTTCGGGTTGCATTAAAGAAGCCCAAGGTTTTGACACAGGGGCGAAAGAGAAAGGGGAGGAAATACTACCGCACAAATTTTTGGGAAAGGGCCAACTCTGATGCTAGAATTCTGAAAGCAAGGTGATACATAAAAAATATCTCATAATTCTAACCTCTTTATGACAACTGATAAAAAGTCTTTTACATAATGGTGCTTATTATAATGTATAAAAGAATTTCACAATTCAATTCACATAAATTAGTGGTTTAAATTGATATTTTTTTGTCATGTATTTTGAATAGTCTAGCAGAGTATTAACCTACAAAATGGCTGCCAATTTTTGGCAAGGGAGGTAAATATTGTAAAAATTGGGAAATTTTGTTATAAAATTTGATTATGACCTAACCTTTCTCCCAGCTTGTGAATGAAGTAATAGATTTGCAAATGAGACCTTTGTTTGATGTAATGAATGGATAGACACATCAGCCCTTTCTTTGTCAAAGATCAGTTGCTGAGTCTTGGAAACAGATTTTAGATAATTTTCATTTATTAAAAGGAATTTTTTTTATGATAAGTCTTAGACCATTTAGTTATCACAAAATATATTACATTACAGGGCAACTGTATGTACATGTTTTACATTTCAGGGCCACTGCATGTGTATATTTAACATTACAGGTCAACTGTATATACATGTTTCACATTACAGGGCAATTGTATGTACATGTTTTACATTGCAGGGCAACTGCCGAGGCTGAGGGTATTATACAACAATATCTGAAAGAATCGGAGGCTTATCAGCAGATACTAAGTCCTGATGGTCTTGGTTTTACTGTTGACGGATTTATATCTTACATGGGTGTTCGTGTCATCTCTTCAGCAAAGAATCCAGTTTATATCGGCCTACAAAGTCCAGCAAAATCTTCATACCATACTCCTTAATTGTCGTTAACTGGAATTCTCATAAAATGTCACCTCAATGTGGAGTTAAAGTTGATTTCAAAATTGTGTGGAAATTTTTATTCTTTGAAAAATCATAAGCGGTGTTGAATTTTCTCTAACTGAAATAAGTCTTTTACAAAAATTTATTTGAAATAATTCTTTTTGTGACAACATCTTTTTTATTGATTTCAAGGGAAGAGAATTGTAATAATTTATTACAGTTTCATAATATCTGTTAAATTTACAATAATTAATTATAAATTTTTAAGCAATTCATTAATATGGTATCAAATAACCCTGTTTGTAGTCATAATAATAAGGGGAGACTATTCATATTTTGCTGATAAAGAAATTTTGTGCCTTCTTCATACATAAAAAACATGAGAGCACCTTTAATACATCAATTTTTGCTTTAGCACTGAAAATTGCTTCTTTTATATATTGTGCAATTTACTCCACCTTAGCTTAAATCTTGTAGCTCTATGTATGATAAAGAAACAGAAGATTTTAATACAAAAAGCATTGGCAGTACAAAAGATATGAGCTCAAAGTGAAATTAAATGAAACAAAAGAATTTCACGTATTTAAATAAATGAAAGAAAAGGTTTTTTTACAATTAAAGATTTGAAAAGACAAAATATAATTACAAAGAGAAATGAAAAAAAATTATTATAATTTGATAACAAAACTATAAATGATAAAATGAAAAAAATCAGGGTAATTTTTTTTAGAAGTTTTTTTTTCTTTTTTTTTTTTTAGAATTTCAATGTAAATAAGGTCTAGTAAATGTTAGTTATATAATGATGTACAGTTACTGATAGTGTTTGATCACAAATGTCTCACTCCAAAATTGTCAATCACTTTTTTGATGTACTTTTTTTACTATATAGAACATTGTTGTTATAAAGCATTTAGTCCTGCAATTTTATTTCTACAGTTTGAATGCCGGTAATATCGAAAATATCTTTGACAAGTTAAAAGGCCCATGATGCCTCAGAAATGCTATCGTTTTCATTTTTCAAAGAAAAATCTATTTTTGGTAACTTGTTACAGTTTTTCTTTAAAAAATATACTCATTTGCCACATAGATGAACCATGTTTTGCTCTGTTGACAGTTGGTATAATTATATTGAATGAGCATTTTGTATGGAAGTCAAAATACTACTTTGTTTACATTTTCCTACCTTTATCACATGTTACTGACTGCACATTCAACACAACTTTCTTCAGTTGTTAAATATCTAATATGCTCTAAATCCATTATTAAAAAATTATTAAATACATATTTGAAATTTCTAAACAATTACAAGAATATGGATTTCTGAGGCATGATGTGCCTTTAATATAAGTCTATAATGTAATGATGATGAATATTTGATTTTTTTTATCACTTTGTATGATATAGTAAAATATTTTGAAAAACGGTTTAACATGTGTGCTGTGTTACTTTATATGGAGTAAATGACATCATAAATTGTTATTTTAGATGTGTATATATCAAAGAAAAACATGATTAGTTTTACATTGAAAACGAGGCACGGATTTAGTCATTTTCAGCTTGGGGGTGCTAAAATTTAAAATAACCAAAGTACCTTTCTCTTTACTAAAAATAAAATCTGCATGTTAATCAGTGGCTTCTGGTGCATTTTAGGTGTACATTTAAAAATACAAGTGTCTACATATTTTTCACCAAATTTCAGACTTACAAACATGCAAGTCTTGAATGTCTACATCTGAAATAGAAGTTTCTGATGTAAGTTCCCGTACACAAAATTTTCCATAAAATTTCAGACATGCAAAGGTAAAATACTACATTATTACTAAATTTTTCTTGGGATTTTCTCTCCATAATGTAATGAATTATGCTGTATAATCAGAACTTTCTTCACAGACCAAGAAAGAGCTTCCATATTTTAGGTTACTAAAAAAAAAAAAGAGTTCGCAAGAAAGACACTATTTGAATATACAGGTAGAACATAATCATCACATTCCAGTGGCTATTTTTAATTTACTTGTGTATCTATTAAGGGGTTGTTTTCCTAGTCTAAATTACTAAATACTCTGTAGACATTTGAATGAACCAAGAGATATCAAATCTACCAGTCTACCAGTCTGCTCTCTATACATGAACATTGTATTTGAATTCGTTTTCCGATCTTTTTTAGAAACGAGTCACTGGCATGCTATAAATAGCTCTGGGGACGCTTTTTGAAGAAGGCTTACCAGTGATATGATGCACCTTTCCAAGATAAAGTTATTGAAATACTTAAGAATGGTTTTTCCAACAAAAATTTGAAGCTGTAGGCTGCTTTAAGCCAGTTTCAGCTGATATTTTACTCTTTTTTTCTTGTATACTGTATCCCTTTTGTTTGACAAAAATAAAAATCAATATTGTGGGTCCGTGCCTGCAAACCAGTGAATGATGTCATGTATTTAAATGAAATCCTTGTTGTTGTTTCTTATTGTCTGGCTATAATTTTATCACTTTGTACAAATTAATACCAAAAATGATATCTATTTAATGTATTTTATTTAGTGTGTTATATAAATGATAAAATACCAGTTGTTATGTGTGAATTAGTGAAATATTGGATTTTTTTCTTGTTGTATGTGAATTAGTGATCTCTTGTATCAGAAGAGACATAACTATTTCTCAAACTGAAAAAATTATGGTTAAAAAAATGTTTTATTTGTGAAATAGCAAAGAGTGATTTGGTATATTTTGTTTGTATTTTGTGAATTTGTAATAATTAGAGGTGAATTTCAACATTTTTATCGCTTCACTGTTTAAAAATAAAGGCATCTCTTTTGAGTCTGAAGTTTCTCTGGTGTAATAATGGCCTATCAAGTCTAGGGGTTCAAATCCCAGAACATAATTTAATATGGGAGAATTCTATTCAGTTAGCTTACTTCATGTTAGTAGAACTACTAAAATGTTGCTAAGTGCATGATAAAAGAAAAGTTCATTTGGCAATCGGAAATTTTCTGTCATAACATGAATGTAGCTCGTGAGTCTTATAACATGCAATATCAGTGCAAATTAAAACCTAAATGAAGCACTAACTCATAGTTAGTCATAATTTACATTATTTAGTGTATATATAAAATTTTAACAGACAAAAACCTCAATATAGCAAATACTCCTGTAGTTATGATAGTCCTTGTGTTTGTTTATATAGTGGTTATATATATAAATAATGGTTATATATATATTAAGTAAGTCGTCGAAAGTTTTTTTGTTTTTTTGTTATTTGATTTTTTTTCAGAACTGTTCTTGTTTGATATTTTTCAGTTTAACAAAATGGTTGAATGCTGTAAGGCACTGACAACTTTTAAGTCTAGAAATTTGAGTGTCCTAAATTCCTGACAGTAGCTTTCTGTTACATATTAATCTATTTTTTAATTGAAATTTCACAGACTTCCATTTATGTAATGATTTTTGCTCAATTTCAATTTGTTTCATCATGACATACAAATAACCTGTCAGAATTTCATGTTATATTTTGATACAGTATATTATATTCTAATTAAAGACCAACATTTATATTAAATTACCACTTGGGCTTACTTTCCAATATTAGTGAATAGTGCTTGTTTATTTTAAGTTCGATAGCACTTCTCTAATTAGTTTTAAGTCAGTAACTTTAAGGAGTTGAAGGTTATGTCTTGCTGGCCTGTAAAATAATGATACACATATTTTAATTTAGTGAAATAAATTTGATATCACCCACTAAATAACAGTCATTGTTAAATATAGAGAAAGACAATTATTTCATAGTGATTTTTCTATAGTATTAATTTTCTTTTGTCTTTTATACTTTATACTATGTTGACTGAAACCTAGTTAATGATATATCTTATATCTCACTGAAACCTTGTTAATGATATATCCTATATCTTACTGAAACCTAGTTAATGATATATCCTATATCTCACTGAAACCTAGTTAATGATATATATCCTATATCTCACTGAAACCTAGTTAATGATATATCCTATATCTCACTGAAACCTAGTTAATGATATATCCTATATCTTACTGAAAGCTATTTAATGATATATCCTATATCTCACTGAAACATATTTAATGATATATCCTATATCTCACTGAAACCTAGTTAATGATATATCCTATGTCTCACTGAAACCTTGTAATATTCTGTATATACATGTATATATCACTTATGATACTACTAAATTTTCTTTTGTTAATTTGATTTCTATATCTCAGGTATTAGATTTGTCATAAACTTGTTAGAGATGCAGAAAATACTGGGGTCTTTAGTTTCCATTAACTTTAAACTGTTTTACCTGTTGTAGCCATCTTGTACCAGAAACAATGCACAGAGAGTTATCAAAGAGTTATCCTCTAATAGTAAAAGCCTTTAAGTTATCATATGGCAATGAAAGCGTAAGTGTAGGTTAAAAAACTCATCACATAAATGCTTTATTTTTATTACTTTATGTGCATTTTCCATTAAACAGTTGTAGCCTAATTATGCCAGAATCCATGTACAGAGAGTTGTCTTAGAGTTATACTCCAACAGTTAAAACCTTAAAGTTATCTATATGGCAATAAAAGTGTAAGAATAGGCTTCAAAAAAAAACACATAAATGTTTTATTCTTGTTACTTATGGAGCATTTAAGTACATGTTCGGCTGCATGACCAGTGATTGACATTTGTATTATAATTATTATGTGATAGGTTTATATACATGAAGGTACGAGTATAATTTTTGTATTATTGTAAATCCATTATTTATTTTTGTATCTTGTTATAATTTTATATATCCACTTACTCATATTATTTTTAAGAGATTTTTGGAGAACTGGTGAAAAACAAATATTTGAAATTCTCATTATTACATTATTTATACCCTAACATCATCATATGATAAAACAAAATTTATAAAGGGAATATTTTTCTTGGACTTTTCATTTCCTTATGGTGTATAAATGCATAATTACTTGAAATTTTTGTTGGTAATGAAATTGAATGCATTTGATTTTAAAAATCTCAATGGGAAAAAGCAATAGTTTTGAAGCTTGTAATAATTTTATCCTTCTTTTCTTGTAACTTGTATTGTTTAAGTATATGTGCTGTGTATCAAATTTCTTTTCTTAGACCTAATATTATGTGCTGTCTTCTGTTTTGATCTATTTCTGTGCATTTTTACTTTTTAAATATAATATTTCTAATATTTTCTATATAGATTTTAGAACATTTTATTCATATAAAACTTAAATTTATAGAAAAACTTGCCTTTGTTATCATTCAGCACATACCTAGAACCATATGGTCAGCTGGTTTGTAGTTTTACATAGGAGCTTATTTGTACTTTTAATTCTGCTGTGAAAGCTGGAAACTTTTCAATATGACTGTAACAGGGTGACTGTAACGGCGTGACCGTAATAGCATTGACTGTAACAGCGTGAAGATAACAGCATTGACTGTAACAGCATGACGGTAACAGCATTGTCTGTAACAGCGTGAAGATAACAGCATTGACTGTAACAGTGTGATGGTAACAGCATTGACTGTAACAGTGTGACGATAACAGCATTGACTTAACAGCGTGACGGTAACAGCAATGACTGTAACAGCGTGACGGTAACAGCATGGACTGTAACAGCGTGACGGTAACAGCATGGATAACAGCGCGACTGTAACAGCATGGATTGTAACAGGGTGATGGTAACACATGATGGTAACAGCATGGACTGTAACAGCGTGACAGTTACAGCATGGACTGAAACAGCACTGACTGTGACAGCGTGACGGTTGCAGCACTGACTGTAACAGCCTTATATATCATCTCCATCTTTTAAAGCCTGGTCACAGAATCCCATAACCCTCTACAAATGTGACTTTTGGACACTATTACGCTCTGTCTCGTTTTGGAATTTTTTTAACCATGTGACCTTTACCCGAAAGCCGATTGTATATCACTGATAGCCTACCAGCATATAATCCAGATGCAAATCTATGGTAATTTATGCAGACTACATGATTATTAAGATGATATTTAAGGATAACGCTTTCAAATTAATGAGCCAAAAAATAACTTCCAGTTTTCAAAAGGTAGTACTGTTTACACAAGTAATACAGATGCACAAAATTGTTATTTCTATCTGGAAACTTTCGAAACTGTTCCTAGACCCAGCCAGGACTAATGAGCAATTAGTGTAAAGATTCTTGTGCAAGGAAAGAGGGGCAAGAATTTGAATTCACGCGGCTAGAGATCCTTAGGTTACTAGTCCGACACATTAAGCAACTGTCATAAAACCGTGTCGAAATCGGCGTAAAAGTGAACAAATCAAATTATGAAGATGTAATTTCAATGCATGTTATCCGACACTGAGTTGTGATATTTGATACGTGGACTGACGTTTTTGACTGAAATTTCTTTGTCCAGAATAATGTTCAACTTAATATAGGTCTAGAATCATAACTTGTGTGCAAAGTTTCAGACAATTCGCACATTCTGTTTTTTCCAGAATAATTATTCTAATTGCAAAATAACCCAAACTTGAAAAGCAATGCAACGCTCTGGCTAAGAACAGAACAAAAATACGATTTTCAATTTATTTCGGAGAACATGTCTTACTTACCTTTTGCATATCGTTCCTTTTCGGAGTCCTTCAACCCCCCCCCCCCCCCCATCCTATGTAAGAAATTCAAATATTATGGTTCAAAACATATGACATTATAGACATAAGAAAAACAAATATAATACTGAACAAAAAAAGAAACTTCCCCTGTATTTCAGTGCAGTGCAGATATACACAAAAAGGAAAATCGGGATTAAAGTAGATTTATATGTATTGAAAAAGTATTTGATTGCGATTTCTTTGTGCAAAAAATTATTACTGACGGTTTATCCAAAAGTAGTGAAATGATAGTTGAAATGCAGAAGGGGTCGCCCAATAGTCACAAATTAATATCGGGCATAACCACCTTCAGCATGAAGGATTGTTTGGCAACATTCTTGGCGCATAGAACATATCAGCGTATGGTTTAGGCTTGTGGTATGTCGCCTCAAAACACAACCAACGTATGGTCTATGTCCATGTAGGACACCCTCGCGCAAGCGATTGTGCACAGTTTGGGCAGATATACGGTTGTTATGTGTGTTAGTTTTATTGGGTTTTACGTCACACTGAGACTGTATAGGTCATATGGCGACGTTCCAGCTTTATTGGTGGAGGAAGACCTCAGGTGCCCTTTCGTGCATTATTTCGTGCGGGTATCTGAGATAGCTTCCTCACATGAAATAATTCAAAGTCCCAGTCGGGATTCGAACCCACAGTAGTGAGGGGCAAGTGGTTTGAAGGTTGTTATGTGTACCAGGGATGTTAGCAGCCGTAGCTGTGTCAGTTTGGAAGCGATTGCGCGGATGGGTGTTCCAAATATTCCCGTCAAGACGCGTGGACGTCCACAACGTGGTTGACAATCTGTACGCCCTGTTGCCTTGAAACGTTGCCTAAGGTGTGAAATAGCACAAGTAGATCATACAGTAATCTTAGCGACGGCATTCTTCGTCATACCAGCATTCAGCATGCCAATGGCACGTTCGCATAAATTTTGCGGAATTCTAGGCACATCAAAAACAAAAGTTTCATAAAATATAGACGAATCTACTGGCCCGTGCATTGCCGTGAAAATTGCGTTCAGCAGGTTTCCTGCAAAACGAGTTAAAATTCGAGTTAGACGACTATACCCACGCATACCTATTCAAAAAGTATCCTCTTACGTCCATAAGATAACTGTTACCTTTCAAGTGGATTTAGTGCAGCTGAAATATACGGTGGCCTGCTTGGGCCAGAAAAATGACAGTTATTGACATGCGAATTTTTTTCTCTTAAAGTCTTGTGTCGCCCTTCTGTATCTTTATAAATAAAGCAGCGAATAAAACTTTTGACGCCTTTCAGCGTTGAATTTGACGCATTTATGTTAAAACTCATGAGAATCAAAATGTAAGAAACTTCAAGATGATTTACCATAACTCTCACATTGTAGCTTATTCACGGAACGGGTGACTATAGCGAAAGTTCTTCGAAAGAGAATGTTACATGTATATATTTTATCTATTAACAAGAGCAGTGCTCTTGACTATTCTCTGCGCTTGATAGTAGAACAAGAGGCTAGATAATGAAGAATGTTCTAAGTTAAATGGGCAATAGTTCTGTCACAATCCATAATAGAATAATGAGCATTGGACAGTGACATCCTATTGTGCTCTTAAATAAGTGTTTGAAGCCCTTCAGCAGTTTTGGATATACCAACTTGCAAGTAAATACTTCACCAAAGTGTGACGCCGACACCGTCGCCTGTGATAACAATAGCGCTCCGTATTCTTCAAAGAGTCGCGCTAAAACAGGCGATATTTTAAATGCCCCACCCAGGACACCATAGAAATTGACAGACGGTAATAACGAATTTTCCAGCGCAACTCAGATGTAATATTCAGTTTATCGGAAAAAGAATAAAATAAATTGAATGCCTATTTCCAGGAACTTAGTATCTGTTGATTTTAGCATTGTATCTGCTGAAACTTCTTTCTTTTCTTTTATAATAGAAAAAAAAACAATTTCATAACATGAACTCCACACCCCCCCCCCCCACCGCCAAAAAAAATCAAAAAGGCCATGTATGTGAAATGTGAATTAGGAAACTTACCAAAATAAAATGTGAGGTCCGAAAAATACAGGTTTAGTGTCTGTGTTAATGATGATCGACATAATCGATTTAAGTGCACATGTCTTTCTATATTGAGGGCAGCCATTGTAATATTGTTAATGAATTATGTCCGATTGAATTAAGTGCACGAAAAATACAATTTGCCCACACATTGCACTGCCTAAAGCTTTTAGGCCATATATATATTTTCTATAGTTTTATATTTTTAACAAGAACATACCTTAATTTTAATAAGATATATTTAGTATTACATGTGTTTATTAATTTATCTGTTCTTTATATTTAAACGTCGTATACAGTTACTCGTATTTTCTTCAAAAGTGTCTTCTTGCAGACGTGAAGAAGACAGCTTAACAAAAACAATTTATCACACACTCGTGCCGATTTTGCGACTCCGTAAATGCGGTAGGCTCGCATAATATAATTTTATTCAACTCGTGCAATAAATTCAGTATTGAACTTACACTCATTCAATATCCTCTTTTTTATCGGATAATTTGGTGTTTATCCTAGCAAACTGTCTTCTAACGTCTGTAAGAAGACACTTTTAAAGAAAAACTCGTACTGTATCCATTACTTTAAATTTGTTTTATCGGGCACGGAATCGTTCGCCCGAGTATATGTAGCTCATTTGGCATTTTGACTTTTTAAAATAACACTTATATCTCTACTTAAACACAGGGAAAGTTTCTTTTTTTGTTCAGTAAATATGTAAAAAGATACACGATGTGGGGTAAATTATTTTAATGAATTAATATTATCATTAAATAACATCTAATAAAAGTACAACTTACAATTAATATGTAATATATACATAAATAACATAAAAGATAAGTCAACTCTAAGAATAAAATATATATACATGTAAACTTGAATATAATAACAAGGTTTTTAAACAAAACGATGAAGGATAAATTTGTCTTGACCTATTGCACAAACGTTTGTCAACATACAAAAATCTTGATTTAAAACATAAAATCAACAAAACAATTTGAACTATATCTCACAAAAACAAAATACTCTGTACATTGTTGCCACTATGGTTTCAATTGATTGAAATTTTAGCGTTTTCGACCATTTATAATGAAATATATACGAAAAGATAACAATAGATGCCTATACAGTAAAAACTCTGAAAACCGGACTCTGATCGGACATGGCCTACTGTACGGTTTCATGAGGTTTTCTGTTTTCAAAGGTTTTATACAGATTTTAATGATCGTTACAATGTGAAAGCTCTATTTTCACATTCTAACCAATTTTTTCTTGAATGAGCTCTTCTTAACGTCATGCTAAGTTGCAATGGTAACTAGGGTATTTGGTATGAAGATTTTGCTGGACTTTGTAGGCCGATATAGACTGGATTCTTTGCTGAAGAGATGACACGGACACCCATGTAAGATATAAATCCGTCAACAGTAAAACCAAGACCATCAGGACTTAGTATATGCTGATAAGCCTCCGATTCTTTCTGATATTGTTGTATAATACCCTCAGCCTCGGCAGTTGCCCTGCAATGTAAAACATTATTATTATAATAACACTGTAACTGTAATGTAAAATATGTACATATAATTGTCCTGTTATGTAAAGCATGTACATACAGTTGCCCTGTTATGTAAAACATGTACATACAGTTGCCCTGTAATGTAAAACATTCACATGATGATAATGTAAAAAAAAACAAGTTTGTCCCAAGACTTCTTGTAAGGGAAAGTAATTAAACGACGTTGTTAGAACATCATAATTTTGATAAGAGCATAATAATTTGCAAAGACTAAAGTTGGTGAATTAACATAAGGGAATGTTCCCATATTCATGTAAAAGGACACAAATCACTCTTGGCGGTGAGCTAGCTTTTCACCGACAGGGTTTGTGTGCCTCACCCATATTCATGTAAAAGGACACAAATCACTCTTGGCGGTGAGCTAGCTTTTCACCGACAGGGTTTGTGTGCCTCACCCATATTCATGTAAAAGGACACAAATCACTCTTGGCGGTGAGCTAGCTTTTCACCGACAGGGTTTGTGTGCCTCAAAACGTTGTAATATTACCTTGCTTTCAGAATTCTAGCATCAGAGTTGGCCTTATCCAGTATAATTTGTGCGGTAGTATTTGCCTCCCTTTTCTCAGTTTCAGCCTCTGTGATCAACCTTGGTCTCTCATTGAAAGCAACCTATTTATGTAATACAGAAATAAATATTTGTATTTGTTCTATCATCATCTTTATATCTCTCATCCCCAACTTAAACGCAGGGTTAACTCGCTCACGTTCAATAATTCCATTACTCATCGTGAAAACACAATGGCGCGATAATACGATGGTGAAAACACAATGAAACGATGGTGAAAACATAATGGCGCGATGATACGATGGTAAAAACACTATGACACGATGATGATAACACAATGGCGCGATGAACCGATGGTAAAAACACAATGGCGCTATAATACGATGGTGAAAACACAATGGCGCGGTGGTGAAAACACAATGGTGCAATAGAACGATTGTGAAAACACAATGGCGCGAAGGACCGATGATGAAAACACAATGGCGCGGTGGTACGATGATGAAAACACAATGGCGCGGTTGTACGATGGTGAAATATAACATCGCGTTTTCACCATCGTATACAATCACGACATTGGGATTTCGTCATAATACCATTGTGTTTTCATCATATGTCAACGTACCATCGCGTTTTGGCCATCATACCATCGTGCATTGCGGTTAAGAACGAAACAAAAATCATAATTGTCCAAACGGAACACCGTACTTACCATAATATCCTCTCGTGCGCGTTCCTTGCTCCTTAAGGCCTTTTCATACTCTTCTGGTCGAGATATATCACTCACCTGTAATTAATTTAAAATAAGTACGTACATGTTTCATTAATATATTTTTCCCCGTTTGATGTTGATGCATTTGCGAAAAGAGTTCTTTGTTGTTTAAGGCATTCTTAAAATTTACACTTTGTCATAAGCTAATAAGAAAATAAAACATTTTGCCTCAAAAACAAAGACAAAAAGCAATAGCCAGGCCCCAGTTTCAGTTTTTATTAAAACAAGGTATATAATATGCAACTGGTTGTATAACAAGAGCTGTCCGTAAGACAGCGCGCTCGACTTTTTTATTGCTTGCCAATAAAAAAAGTTTTTGCAGTAAAAGGCAATACAAGAATCTCTGTATTTTTAAAGTGAACAATGGCCATGAGCATTAAGATATTTAGTTAAGGGCCATAATTCAAATAAAATCTTTGACAGAATTACCTTCTCCTGGACATGTTTGGGAATCATGATTGTAAACAAGTATTCCAACTTTCAAATTAATATCTCAAACAGTTCAGTCAAAAAGTGGACTGGTACTAAAAACTTAACCAAGATTGTAAGTCGATAAAAGGCCTTAATTTTTAAAACAAATCCTTGACAGAGTTACCTTCTCTTGCGTACAGATGGGGGTAATGATGTGAAATAGCATTAAAAGTTTCAAAGCAATATTTCAAAGGGTTAAGGCAATAAGTGGATTTTACCCATATTCAATGTATTTTCTAAGTCAAAAAGGGGCATAATTCTGTCAAAAACCTTGACAGAGTTATGTCCTCTTGTCTGTTGATGAAGGTCGTGATGGTAAACAAGTATGGTCAGTTTCAAAGCAATACCTCCAATGGTTTTGAAATAAAGTGAGGTGGTACAAAAAACTTAACCAAGCTCAATACACTTTCTAAGTCAAAAAAGGGCCATAATTCTGTCAAAAACCTTGACAGAGTTATGTACTCTTGTCTGTAGATGGAGGTTATGATGGTGAACAAGTATGGTAAGTTTCAAAGCCATACTTGTAATACTTCTGAAATAAAGTGGGGTGGTACGAAAAACTTAACCAAGGTGTGACGCCAACGCCGACGCCGACGCCGACGCCGACGCCGACGCCGGGGCGAGTAGGATAGCTCCCCTTTTCATAGAAAAGTCGAGCTAAAAACAAACGAACAGAAAAATAACAGTCAAAAATCACTAATATCAAAATAAAAGAATACAATTATGACTAGCGTGAAATTTTCTCATTTTCTAACGCTTATTTAATACACAATAATATTTATAGATTTATATGCAGCAACAGGACATAAAAATACACTCTAGTTTTTATCCTTATGTTATACTAACAAAACTGTTATTATATTTTGTATAACTCATGGGATACCAGTGGCTATGATTTCGTATCAATTACGCAATAAGACACTGTCAAAGAATTTAACAGAAAAGATACCTGTAGGTCAGTAATATCACAGTAGAGGACAACATATTTCACGATAATCTTATTACGTAATTGTTCTTGGAGACTCCCTCTTTGTGACTGGAACTGTGCAGTAGTAAAATAACTACATGCTTCATGTATTGCTGACTCGCCTGCAACATGTTTACAAGATTAATATTCAAGATTTTATTTTCAAAGAAAAATACTGGAGGCATATAGCTTTAATATTTCACCAAAGGAAGGCAGAGCAACAAAAAAATAATACGTACACCGCTTCAAATTATCTAGTAGACTACTAGTAATTGATTTAGTTTTAAGGGAACGCTGGTTTATGGCAAATCAAAATATATGTCAAAGCTCTTTAAAATATATAAAGAAATATACATGTAGATCTATATTTTGGTTATGACTTTGAAGGTACTGACAAGACATATTCTACTAGCTCAATTATCAACAATGTTCTGTTGGTAAAGTTTGTTATACATTAAAGCTGCGGTATCACTTACATTCCGGCAGAGCCCCGGTAGACGCCCGGGGTGATCCGGGAACGAGCGGGAACAACCGGGGCACATCCGTAATTCTGCCGTCAACGTCCGGGATGATCCGGGAACATCCGGCATTCGACCCCGGATGGAATGAAATATTTAATATCACCCCGGTCCGGGAAAGTATAGCCGAGAACGGCGGGGTTACAACGGGGATGCAATGCAGCTCTGCCGGCACAAACCAAGGATGATTCGGGGAATGATATACCGGTAGAGCTACTGTAGAGCCCCGGTGAATGCCGACAGACCCCCGGTGAATGCCGACAGAGCCCTGGGCTACGGTGATCCAGGTAGAGCCCCGGCAAAGCCCGGTTCATTTCATGTCACGGCAATTTTGCGATGATAACACTTTTTTGTATTAAAACCCTTTCCTATTTCCTTCTGTCCAGTCTTACATAAGAATTATCCAGAAAATCATAATGAATTACTTTTTAGATAGGAGAAAATATCATCTAAAATTATATTAAATGAAATTTAGATATCAACGTCATTATTTTCGCGCGTTTTCAATCCACCGGGGTTCTACCAGGACCCACCTGGGCTCTGCTGGGACTCTGTCTTGATCGACCGGGACTCTGTCTTGGTCAACCGTGTCTCTGCTGCCGTCATCCGGGAACGACAGAGGTAGCACAAGCATGAACCGTCCAGGGCGCATCCTGGGTGTTGAATGGAAATTACCATAGTGCTGTCGATGTACGTGTGACTGCAATAATTATTTCACTCTGGATCGTCCAGGATCATCCCGGTGGTCCTGGTCCCTGCCGGGAGTAAGTGAGACCGCAGTTTAACATCAACTCATGATTACCAGTCATGCAGATCTATAGTGTAAGACAGTTTTTCATTACCTGTATATTGTAAGACAGTTTTTCATTGTCTGTATATTGTAAGACAGTTTTTCATTATCTGTATATTGTAAGATAGTTTTTCATAACCTGTATATTGTCAGACAGTTTTTCATTACCTGTTTATTGTAAGACAGTTTTTCATTACCTGTATATAACATGACAGTTACCTGTATTGTAAGACAGTTTTTCATTACCTGTATATTGTAAGACAGTTTTTCATTGCCTGTATATTGTAAGACAGTTTTTCATTATCTGTATATTGTAAGATAGTTTTTCATAACCTGTATATTGTAAGACAGTTTTTCATTACCTGTATATAACATGACAGTGACCTGTATTGTAAGACAGTTTTTCATTACCTGTATATTGTAAGACAGTTTTTCATTGCCTGTATACTGTAAGACAGTTTTTCATTACCTGTATATTGTAAGACAGTTTTTCATTACCTGTTTATTGTAAGACAGTTTTTCATTACCTGTATATCGTAAGATAGTTTTTCATTACCTGTACATGTATATTGTAAGACAATTTATAATAACCTTTATATTGTAAGACAGTTTTTTCATTACCTGTATATTGTAAGACAGTTTTTCATTACCTGTATATTGTAAGACAGTTTTTTCATTACCTGTATATTGTAAGACAGTTTTTCATTACCTGTATATTGTAAGACAGTTTTTCATTACCTGTATATTGTAAGACAGTTTTTCATTACCTGTATATTGTAAGATAGTTTTTCATTACCTGTACATGTATATTGTAAGACAATTTATAATTACCTATATATTGTAAGACAGTTTTTTATTACCTGTATATTGTAAGACAGTTTTTTCATTACCTGTATATTGTAAGACAGTTATTTATTACCTGTATATTATAAGACAGTTTTTATTACCTGTATATTATAAGACAGTTTTTCATAACCTGTATATTATAAGACAGTTTTTATTACCTGTATATTGTAAGACAGTTTTTTGATTACCTGTATATTGTAAGACAGTTTTTCATTACCTGTATATTGTAAGACAGTCTTATAGCCCTCATAGTCTTTGAAGTTCATCACAATGTCATAGAGTTTAGGAGCTTGAGCTTTATACTGGAATGTTACGTCTAATGTGATTATCACACCATCAGCATTTAAACACTGAAAATATAATTGTACATAAATATATATATATACATATACAAAATTATGTTTGCAAGATTCATACTCTTAAGGGGGTATTTACAAGTAAATGGATATTCAAAGAAACTGAATTTAATACGGTTTTGGTTTCCATTTTATCATCTAGTTATATAAGAGTACTATATTGTTGGCTTTTCATTGGATAATCGTAAAGTTTATATTATTAGTAATGAAAAATACATTATATATTATTAGTTATCAAGATTATTGACAGGTTATATGGCCCTATATAAATGGCTATTTGTAAATATGACCCGAGCCGCAATCTTTATAACGAATTTATAATACAGCAAGCAGCATTTTTAGACGTTACAAACGTGCAGTATTATAGTTCCCTGTATAAACGGTTGTTGGAAATATAACCCAAGTCGCTAGGCGAATGTTATATTGCAAACAACCGTTTATTTACGGTCATAAATCTTTTGACGAATAATATATACGTACATTGTATACAATATATGAAAGGGTTGGGACGAAATGTATTTCAACATTAAAAGCTGCCCTTCCATCATTTTACTATGTATTATATAATCCCTATAAACTTGAACAACGCATATAGTTACTGTACCTTTAAGTCATCAAATGCGAGTGTCTTGTAGACGCTTGGGAAAATTATGAACTGATATCCGACTGGGCCAAGATGGAGCCCCTCTGTCATTGGCTCTTTCTCGAGATCTTTATTTATCGTATCGTATACAATACCAACTGTAAATTGATAAATTTATTTATCGTATCGTATACAATACCAACTGTAAAATAATAAATTTATTTGTTGCATCGTACACAATACCAACTGTAAAAATAATCATGTGCCATCTTTACTGATGAGCAAAAACAATCATCTTCATTAATAAGTAAAAATATCTTTTTTAATTACTGAGTGAAAACATCTAAAATATTTACTGACATATTACAGAGATTTGTTAAATTGTTCCATATTTCTGTAATCACTGCATCAATCTGTCATTACAGGTGCCAGTTATACGGTGTGAATATGAAAACTCCAAAAATTGACAATTAATAAATCAGCATATTCTCATTGGCTAATACAATTATAAGTGTGAAATAAATGATGTTTTTTTACCACCCAGAATATACCTTTAAATAAAACATTTAAAATCTTGTAACAACAAATCAGCACAAGTATGCCCCAACTCTATTGAAGAAAGGCGTGAACTCTTCAGATTTCAGAAACAGAGAGGGCGGGAAAAATTCTGCCAGATTTTCCATTTTCCTGACAATTTTATCGGTACATATACATACATATGTAGTAAATATATATAGTATGTAATAAAATATAAAGTAAACTATGACCTTTGTAACCTTGGATACAGCATTGGTTTAACATTTTTCAGTGTCCCTGGATATATACCGGTACGATTTTCCGAACTATCTGTCAAATTCTCATGCATTTGAAACAGTCATAGTGAATAAATACAAAACAGACATTGTATGACAGTGTTGAAAAGCAAATGCATTGTTTATAAGATACTGTTTCCTTTTATTGTTTATAAAAAAAACCTCGGATATAACAAACTATTGGTCATGTTCCGAACGGGTTCCTAAAACCGAATTTTACTGTACTATATAAAATAGCATACTTAGTCCAACTAATTGTACTACACGATGGGTATGCTAGTTTGTGTCTGGGCAATATCTTCCCTCTAAAAGCCAGATTCTCACCCAAAACAAAATATCTCAGAATCTAGCTTTGGCACGTCAATATATTTTGACTTACATAGACTTAATTATCACTAGCTTCATAGTTAAGGTGTGGTCAGGGTAAGAAAATGTTTGATGCAAACCTTGGTCAGATGACAGCTTCTTTAAAGAACTTGCAACAAGGGCCACAATCATGGTAATAACTAAAACAACAAACACGCATGCGCAACCCGCAACCACTTTTCCACTACCCATAGTTGTCTAATTGTAAGTCTGAAAGAAAAAAAAATTACATAGCAATGGTTTTACGAGAATACCGATTTTAAAGCTCACTCGGTGAATTAAAAACTTACGAATATATAAAATAGTAGCATGAGTAAAGCATAAAGAGCACAATACTTATTTAAGTGCAGGAAAGAATAACATACCAAATAATTTGTACATGTTAATGCAACCCGTATAACACATACATAATTTGAACAAATACATATATTAATGCAGCCCATAAAAACACATTTCGTACCAAAATTATCATATTTTCATTTATAATAGTTATATTACTACAGCATTTTTATCTCTATTTAATATGTGTATTAGTTTAGACAGTTAAACGAGCATTGAGTTCAACAGCCGTGCATCTCCGTACCGCCTTACCAGGCTTTAGAATCCCCACAATTATAGAATGAATTTTCACAATTATGGATAATAATAAGCTAGAAGTCTTTTAAGTTCCAAGCAATTTATACATTACACAATTATACAATAATTTTCCCAATTACGGATACTTGAAGTCACCAATTCCAAGCAATCTGTAAAACAAGCATGATATTATAACACAAACATATATAACAGAAACATATAAAACACTAACATATAAACCCGATGTATCAGCTATAGCTCGTGTTCTTGTACGTTCATAAAGTAATACCTGAAGGTAAAGTTAGTGCACGGTAATATTTTTAGATCAATCAGCTTCGTCAAACGGTAAATAGCTTTCTGGAGTTTTTCCAGAATATTGAAATATATTATTAAATACTCGTACAAAGAAACAACGACTGGCGTAAAGTGTGTCTGGTAGTTTCATAATATAAAGGATGTTGTTGTTTTTATTTTATCTTAATTAGTCCAACCCAACAAACTGCCCCAGAGATATTTTTTCCTCTTTAGAAAAAAGGCATACATGAGTTTCATGAAGCTTAAATAATGGTTTAAGAGCATTTTCAAAACGATTCAAATTCATTAAACATTTTTATATATTAATTGTTATTGTTAAGTTTAGAAAACCCATTTTTCTAAACCAAAAAAGAAATTCGTAGCAAGTACGTGCAATGTTTTCAAGGTCTACCGTGAAATGTACACATTATACAGGAGAAGAAAATAAATCCTGTATTTATAGAAAAACAACTTGAATTTTCCATTTATTATATACTTTTTTTCTCTTTTTTGACCTTACAATTCGTAAAAATTCTCTTTTAGTTTTGTGTAGTGGCTGAATTTAGAACAATTTTTACAGTGAAAATATGGAAAATGAGAATACGCATTTTACTTCATCAATATTTCTCAATATTTCATGTAAGTATACATGTATAATAAAGATATAAATCAGCTTACCTTGCACATACAGCATATAAACGGCGTAAATTCTTCAACAAATCCTACTTTTACTCATACTGAACATCTTTGCACTATATTGTTTTCACATAGTTTCCTATTATTTGATACAGACATACAAAGTTCAGGCAAAGTTCAAACTGTACTACACTAAAGGTTAGGTCATATACTATATTATACTATATGTTGTTACCTATGAATGAATTAAGTTTTTAAATGATGAATAAATGATCAATGTTAAAAATGTTATGGGTTTTTTTGTTTTGTTTTGTTTTGTTGTTTAATTTATTTATTTATTTGCTTGTTCTCGAATAGTTAAAAATCTGTTCAAAGTTAACGTCTGAATAATCTTAGATTTGCTGTAGCCGAACTTGCAGAAGAAATATAAAAAAATCAGGTTAATAGACAGGACTGATTTTGAGAATTTGGCTCCCTGTAAGATGCTAGAGGCATTTTGAAGTACAAGTGGTATCTTGGTGTATTTTACCTATTTAAGGTATGCTGAATCCGATAAAGGTGGATACCAAATTGAAAAACTTGATCTTGACCATTGAAATGGCCATTTAAAATGACCACTAAAATGGCCGCCAAATTTCTTTATTATAAATGGATGATATATCAAAGAAAGGAAAAGCCTGAAATTTGTCAGAAAGCATGTTTACGTATAACCAAATTAGACACCAAAACTAAAAAGAATTAAAAGCACAAAACAATCCAATATGGCCGAAAAATCCAAGATGGCAGACATTTTTCTATAGGCTAATATAATAGTAATATAGAAGTAATATTAAAGATAGTACTGAAAATTTAAAGGCATTTAAACATATTTAGGGTTTACGCAGCGAACACTACACTCTTTCCTGCCCTATATGCTAGATTTTATCTGGCACTCTATGCAGGCATATAGAGTGGCTACTCGGATGCCTTCAGCGTCAAGATGTATGAGGGTGTTAAAACGTGTGCATGCAAAATATACATTAACTAAAAGCCAGTTCTTCTGTTATTGGTCGTGATCTCCGTTCTTCTGTAATCGGTCCTGGTCTCAGTTCATTTGTTGTTAGATGTTCTGTTATCGGTACTCGTCTCTGTTTTTTCTGCTATCGGTCGTCGTCTTCGTTCTTCTGTTATCGGTTCTCGTCTTCGTTCTTTTTCGTTCTTATGTTATCCGTTCTCGTCTTCGTTCTTTTTTGTTCTTATGTTATCCGTTCTCGTCTCTATTCTTCTGTAATCAGAGTCTGGCCTCCGTTTTCTTGTTGTCAATTTTTCTGTCATAGGTTCCCGTCTCTGTTATCGATCCCCGTCTCCATTCCTCCTTACTCAGTCCTGGTCTGTGTTATTTTGTTATCGGTCCTGGTCTCTATTTTTTGTTATCAATCGTCGTCTCCGTTGTCTTGTTGTCAGTTCTTCTGTCCTGTTGGTTCTCGTCTTCGTTCTTTTGTCATCAGTTCTTGTCTCTTTTCTTCTGTAATCAGTCCTGGTCTCCGTTTTCTTGTTCTGGTCTCGACATCTCTGTTTGCTTATTGTCAGTTCTTCTGTTATCGGTCCCTGTCCTGATCTTTTGTTATCGGTCCTCGTCTATGTTCGCTTGTTGTCAGTTCTTCTGTTATCGGTCCCTGTCTCTGTTCGCTTGTTGCCAGTTCTTCTGTTATCGGTCCCTGTCTCTGTTCTTATGTTATCGATCCTCGTCTTTGTTCGCTTGTTGTCAGTTCTTGTCTCCGTTTTTCATTCTGTTATCGGTCGTCGTCTTCGGTCTTGTACTTTCGGTACTTGTTTCCTGTTCCGTTAAGGTCTTCTCTTGTTTCTATCGTTGACGTCATTCTGTGTCTATGTCCTGGTTATGTCAATCTCGTAGTCATTTATTCGATCGTTCAGTGGAGTAGCGGGGGATCGAACTCACGACCCCTTGATTTGTAGGCAGACAGTGTTACCACTGCACCATAGCGCCCGCTCTGAATAATAACCATTTTTGAAAATCCTTTATACATTAAATACTATTTCAATGGCTAACAAAGGGTGTATTACAATTAAATTTTAACACCTCTACTATGTAGCCTACCCACGTGACTTTTATATGGTCAAAGAAAATATTACTCGATTTACAACAAATAATATTTTTATAGATAACTTTGCTGTTACTTTAAGATATCCTATTTTATTTTTATTTTATTTTTCGGGGGAGGGGGGGGGTAGGAGGGGGTGCAGTATATATTTTAAAACACTTTTTGTCTCGGTTTGTGTTGTGTTTATGGCATTGAAATGACATTTTTTGACATTTAAAAATAATTTTTAAATATTCATTTTAAAACATAAATACCATAATAAGTGCAAAATATATGAAAACACAATGAACAACTTAAAAAAATATCATAGCTACAAATAATGTTGAAAATTACGGAACACCTGAAGTGATATTTTCCACACTTTCTCCCGGAATTGAATTCGTTTTTACGTCGAGATAATAATTCCCAATTAGAAATATTATTTCGTTTTAACGAAATATAAAATCTTAATTACGAAATGTTAATTCGTTATTACGAAATATTATTTCGTAAATACGAAATGTTAATTCGTTATTACGAAATATTATTTCGTAATATATGGAATATTAATTTGTTATTACGAAATATTTATTCTTTGGTAATATTTATAAACTAAGCTTATTCTTAAATATAAGTCAAGTAAAAAAAACACAAAAAGTGATTTTTTCAATCTTATTATTATACCTTAACGCGCTTGTAAAACATTACTCTATATACTGTTAATTGAGACATTAGGCTTATAATCGCTATATTTGGTGGCCAATCTCATTAAAATCTGATCATATTAAATAATAATTTGATTTTGACAAGAATAATAAATTGCATCATATTGTATCATAGTTTTAATGACCTATTTTAGTATTTTTAAGCGGCCATTTTGAATTGACCTTTTGAAGGACAAGGTCAATTTTATTTTCTTGGTATCCACCCTCATCGTCTTTAGCATACCCATATTAGGTTAAAACACTCAAGATATAACTTGTACTATAAAATGCCTCTAGCATTCATATTTTCTTAAAATCAGTCCTGTCTATAAATAAAATTCAATCCATCTATACATATCAAGAATCCCAAATACATACTAGCTATCAATACACAGCCAGATCCATCACTAACATAGCTAGATTCATCACAACATAGCCAGATTCATAAATTCTTAGCTAGATTCATTACTATATAGTTATATGCATCGATACATAGCAAGGTTTATCAAGACTTAGCTAGGTTAAAATGCTTAGATATGTTCAACAATACATAGCTAGATTTATCTATTAATAGCTAGATTCATCACTACGTAACTAGATTCATCAACATTAAGCTAGATCCATCAATACATAGCTAGATTAATCATAAATAAGCTAGATATCTCAATACTTAGCTAGATTTATTAATACTTAGCTATATTCATCAATACATAACTAGATTCATCAATACATAGTCAGATTATCAAAATTTAGCTAGATTTATTAATACTTAGCTAGATTCATCAATTCATAGCTAGATTCATCAATATATAGTTAGATTTATCAATGCTACGCTAGATTCATCAATACGTAGCTAGATTCATTAATAATTAGCCAAATCCATCAATACGTAGCTAGATTCATCAATACATAGCTAGATTCATCAATACTTAGCTAGATTCACCAATACTTAGCTAGATTTATCAATACTTAGCTATTTTCATCAATACATAGCCAGATTCATCAAAATTTAGCTAGATTCATAAATACTTAGCCAGATTCATAAATACTTAACTATATTCAACAATCATATCTAGATTCATCAATACATAGCTAGATTCATCAATACATATAGCTAGATTCATCAATACATAGCTAGATTCATCAATACATACTTAGAATCATCAATACATATCTAGATCCATCAATACTTAGCTAGATTTATCAACACTTAACTAGATTCATCAATACGTAGCTAGATTCATCAATACATAGCTAGACTCATCAATACATAGCTAGATTCATCAATACATAGCTAGATTTATCAATACTTAGCTAGACTCATCAATACATAGCTGGATTCATCAATACTTAGCTAGATTCACCAATACATAGCTAGATTTATCAATACTTAGCTCGATTCATCAATACATAGCTAGATTCATCAATACATAGCTAGATTTATCAATACTTAGCTAGACTCATCAATACATAGCTGGATTCATCAATACATAGCTAGTTTCACCAATACATAGCTAGATTTATCAATACTTAGCTAGACTCATCAATACATAGCTATATTCATCAATACATAGCTAGACTCACCAATACATAGCTAGATTCACCAATACATAGCTAGATTTATCAATACATAGCTAGATTCATCAATACACGTATATATTTAAGGATAGCAACAAATTGCTAGCACATGTTGATAAACACCTCTAACTTCCTGTCAATTTTCCTCAACAATCAACACATGTTTTCATAATAAATCAGACGCAAGTAGTCTTAGAACAGTATTCGAAAACTATAACCCTCCTTTGATTTTTTGTTCATATAGTTTCATTTATATATTTATAACTTGGTGAATACAGTTTTAAGCACGTGATTCTATTGTAATCACATCTTTCTCTGGCTCTTTGCTTCACCTTCCTTTTCAAGATATACTTTAAAATGAGCTGGAATCGTCCGATAAGCTAGTCGACATATTACCCTCCCCCACCCGAACATTTAGTTCAGACTTATTACAATTTGTAAAGCTTCATCTGCAATGTCATGCTTGATGACATGGCATGTCCGCACTAAGAGGGACCCTAGAGTCTTTTTTTTAACATGGAAGAACACCTTATTGTACAATTTCTTGGTGAATATCTTTGAGAAAATGTATTTATTTTTTATTTTTTTGATATTCAGGTTAAAAGAACAAATTCGTTATTAGGAAACTGAACAGTATTCAAATATGCATATTTTGTGTTATCACACAAAATGGGGACCTTCATAGAGGACCCGGTAATGGGGACTCTATAATGAAGAACAGTTAAAGTTCATAAAAAACAACTTGTAATTTTAGTCTTTTATTAATAATATTTTAGGTGATTTTTTTATCACAACATACAAAATACAATATCACATATATCAAAGTAACGTCTTTACACTTAGTAATCCATCTTGTCTGGTTTAAATATTTTCTTCAGTCAGTGGCTTGTGATTTAAACTCATCAACATAAACTTTTGTTATATGTAATCATACTATATGTGTTATATCAGGCCCCTGTTCACAAAGATTTAAATTCATATGTTTTGTATACCATAAAATTCATTCTTATAAAACAAGTACTCGTTGTACTTTCAAACATATTCATGTACACACATATACACACTGCCAATATTTAGCAAATAAAAACTAGGATAAGACCTATATATATAAGCATCAGCTTTCGGTTCTGATCCTTTTTCATTCATTTCATGTGTTGTAAAGTTCTATTTGTAAATTGTAAATGTGTATACTTGTTTGAAATAAACTATGTTTAAACTAAAAGATTTAAGGATCAGGAAAAGATCAGGATCAAATTTTAAAACTCTAGTATTCTTCATTGTTTATCCTCATAGATTAAATATCTTACATTATTTTGATAAAATGGACCTATGAAATTTTAGAATAATTTTATTGTTATTTTTGCAAGATATGGGCATTTTACAGTTGATCCAAATATTCATCCTGATCCTAAAAATTGATACTTATTTTGATCCGATTTTTTTTGTATTTGTTTTGTTATTTGTTGATTTTATCCCAAAAAAGTTTGGTTTCTTTGCAAATTAGCAATGTTCTACATTTTGAATATTTACCATTTAATTCTAGCAAAATACGATTAATTTTAGTAACATAAAACAATGAAAATAAAATAAGGATCCCTTGATCCTGATCCTGATCTTTTCTTAGTGAACACGGGGCCAGGATTTTCACTTGATGGAAAAAGAATCAACCAAATGTTTATTTGAATAATGAATGATACAATTTTCTTCATCAGAAGCCGATACACTCTTGGGCAATTGGATATGTTCCTTCGGGACACTGTTGCACGCATCTAAGTCCATGTCGATAATTTTTACACATCTGAAAATGTGAAGAAATTTTTAGATTAATGTACAATTTCATGTAGGTCATGACAAAAAACAACTTGTGAGCGTAATTGCAGATCGTTCCACGCTACGTTTGTCCTGAATTATTATTAAACTGTAAAAACATACCCAAATTAAAAAGCGTTGCAACGCTTTTCACTCAAATAGGCTAAGAATATCACAAAAAATACGATTTCGATTTATTTCTGTGGAATTTTTCCAGTAGTCTTTTGCATATATTTCTGTTTTAAGTGCCCCACTTGATCCGTTTAAAAAATGTGTTCCGGCTTTTGGACCCCGGTGGAGTTCCTTTATGTAAGGTCATGTTCATTACAAGTTAATAAATACATAAACAAACTACAAAAATACCTCGCACTCTGTATCCAACCCACTTCTACAACCAACGGCACACTGTGGATGACAACATCCGAGAATTCCTTCCTTGAAACATTTTCCTTTGCAGGTAGAGTCACACTTCAAAGGCTCAACTATACATATAAAAATAAATATATGTACATGTATAGGCAGAAAAAAAAACAATACAATTTAAATGTTTTATTGTAGTAATGTAACTGAACATATCCGAAACCCAAAGACAAAAGTTCAGATTATATCGTTGACTACATTAAACAGCCTTATACAAATTTATACGACCGTCTATAACTCGTACTTTCCGGCATATTATCAATGTCGCTGATCAGGCTTACTGGCCTTGGTGTTAGAAATAATTCTTTCACAAATATCAGGAATTTCATTGGTCAGTGTTCTGTGGCAGTTTCTGGCCAATCAAATGCCCGAGATCTGATTTTGGGTTTAGAAAAGATCTTTATAATCTCAAACCTTGGAGCTCGGAAAGTAACAGAATTAGTCTTTGGGTCATGTGGTTTCCACAAGCAGATTTAAATACTAGTACGTTTCCTATGAAGGTCTGTGTCAAAAATTAACACCCCGGGCACAGCTACTCCTCGTCAACAAGCTAAAGGGGAATAATTTACTTTGTGACCATGTAAAATAACAGAACGGACGTAATAACTAATGGACGCTTAATGGTTTTACCTTTAGTCCCCATTGTTCTTTTTAATAACTAATGAACACCTAAGTGGCCACCCTTCATTGCGCTTTTAGCCATATAAGAGAATTTTCAAGATCGATAGCATCCATATTAAAACTATTATTATGAAAATTTAGACTATTATGAACAGATAAAAGAGTTTACTAAGAAATCTATTTAAAAGTGTATATTAATATGAAAATCATGACTTCTCTTATGACGATGTTTTTTTTTAATTTATTCTTATTTTGGCATATTAAACGTTATGCGGATTGCGTAAACAAAATTTGTAAATATAATTTTTTTTTTAATTTGTTCACGCAGCTCTAAATGCGTGACTGTTACCCATCTTTGTATCCATTAGTTTGCGTGCCGCCCGGTTAGCTAAATAGGTAAAGCTTTGGACTGTGAATAGGGTGACCCGGGTTCGTTTCCCGGACGGTGCAGGTCACTTTCGTTTCGATTGATCATGAAATCCTTACTTTGGTAATTTTCACTGTACTTCTGCTCTGACATATACAAAAGTTATCACTACCTCGCGAAAGTGAAGGCAACTAGTACTGGAAAACTTCAGTTTGTCCGGGAACAATGCGGTTGCAGAACTGTGCTCTGGAAAAATCAATGTGGCTTTCTGCCGTGATCTGGAGTGATAACTACCAACACCTATGCCAAATACTCGATATGAATAATATAAGTATTATCTCTAAAACGTCAATGTGATAAATCATAGCCTTACCTCTCTGACACATGTTTAGTCCTCTTCCCCAACAATGAGCAACACCATCAACATCGTTACAGTCCGAGGAACATCCTGGACCTACATATGTATAGAAAATGTATAATTTTACAGATCATATGTTGTCTTCATAGTTTTGATCTAAACATAAGCATGGCCATATCATAAACAAATAGGTAACTACCGAGACACGCCTACCTCCTGTTAGCGAGAGGGGTTGCTTTTTAACACTTATTTAGAACCAATGTCACCTAGCCATCGTGGATTCTATTTCACTGGAAATAATCTTTTCCAAAGTTTGACGGAAGGGGCCGAGAAGATACGATTGAAATAGTGAAACTGAAGTTGAAACGTAAGCGGAGCTTGTTGAAATGCAGAATGAAACAATTTGTAAATTAGAAATCCTTTAAGAAAATTATGAAGAAAACAAACAACAGCGTATGCCATTTAAAATGTTGTTGTGACTTCAAACCAAACCTACTATTGTGTTCGAGGTCCTTATCCGAAGACAGACGGAAATGGCCGAAAAGTTCCGATTGCAGGTAACACGGAACGGTTTCATTTAGTGTTTTTTATTGTTTAGTAGTTTATTTGTTAAGTGGATGCGATGTATTATAAATCCGCATAAAGTAGGTTGGTCCGTAATGGAAGGTCTGTTATGTAAAAATGATTACGTTGATAGTATTTAGAATCAAGCATGATAACAAATCACAAAAGAACCATTTGAGCCGCGTCATGACAAAACAAACATAGTGGGTTTGCGACCAGCATGGATCCAGACCAGCCTGCGCCTCCGCGCAGTCTGATCAGGGTCCATGCTGTTCGCTTACAAACCCTATTAAACGTAGAGAAACTGATAGCGAACAGCATGGATCCTGATCAGACTGCGCCGAGGCGCAGGCTGGTCTGGATTCATGCTGGTCGCAAACCCATTATGTTGGTTTTGTCGTGACGCGGCTCATTTATGGATATTGTTGGTAAATGTGAGATAATTGGTCCGGTATTATATATAACCATCTTTATACACAGGTATTATATATAACCATCTCTATACACAGGTATTTTATATAACCATCTTTATACACAGGTATTATATATAACCATCTTTATATATAACCATCTTTATACATAACCATCTCTATACACAGGTATAATATATAACCATCTCTATACACAGTTTATAAGTTAATCTAGAACAAAATGTTATTATACATCATGTAAAAGTTCATATTAAATCACTAATTGAACTCGATCACATTATTTTTTTCATTAAATATGACAAATCCAAATATCCAAATGTGACCGTTTTATTATTTTTTAACAATATTTGAAATACTTGCGGAAAATTTGTTCATTGTAGATATAAATAATCGAACCTAAATAACAAAATGCAATATGATAGCTACAATCATGGATCCCTGCTATAATTTAAGATCAAATGGTACATAAATGTTGCTGTTATTTCCGCCTGTTATAAAACATTAAAGGCGCCTCTAACGCGTGACTGGTGTAAATATGAGATGCACACTTTAAGCATTAATTAAAGTAGTAGCTGAGAATTTCCGGTACTTGAAACAAGTAAATAAGTCACCATTACTGCGTTATTTTGTTCTCACTGACCTTGTATCAATTCAATATGATAGTTTATAAATCGCAACTTTTCGGCTCTTCTCGTAATACTTCGGCAATAAGCAGTGCGTCTTTTGACATCATTTCTTGGTTATACGGCAAATTCAATAATGATCAAGATCATTTTAAAGGTAAAGGTCACATTTGAAATAATCATCATGTCAGTGTTGTCTTTAGCGCTCTTTTGTCAAAGAATGAATCAAATCAAGAAATAAATAACAAATTACTGCAATTTAAGCAAATTTCAGAAATTTGATCATGACGGTTAAGGTCAATTAAAGGTCAATGTCATTAAAGAATAATTCAACATGTCGGTTTCGTCATAGGTGTTCTTTTTTATCAAAACTGTAAATAAATAACAAAGATATGACAATTTAAGCCAATTTCAAGATTTTGACATTGTCCAAGGTAGTTGCGCTTTTAAGTATAATGACAATCCATAAATAAATAAAAAAGGTTATAGCTAATTGTAGCAAAATTCAAAAGGTCAAAATTGTTAATAAGTGAAGGTCATAATCAATTTGGTCTATTTAAATTTCTTGTCAAAATGTTAGTTGTGTCTAAGTTTGAAGACAATCCATTCATAAATAACAAAGATTGGTCAATTATACAAAGTGATGGTCAATTACAGCAAAAACTTCAAACATTTGACCTTGAAGGTCAAAGTTATTTCCGAGTCAAGTTCAGTGTGATCTATTTGAAGGTCTTGTCCAATGAGTCCATGTGTCCAAGTATGAAGACAAAATATAATGAAATAAAATGAAAAAAAAAAACATGACGATTAAATAACATACAACTTTCTGGATTTGCATTGTTCTTCAGCTCAACTCCCCCTTTCGTTATAGAGCTCCAATCGATCGTGTCTAGATAACACAGCAACGGATTCTGGGTAAATAGCACTTCTCCTTGCGAGATTTCTGGAAGCAAATAATACAAAAACCTTTTCGAAAAAGTAAAATAATTGCCCGAGTGTTTCTATACAATACAGCACTGTTTGTGTTTTATTGGGAAGTTTCCTTGGTATAAATACACCCATGATTATTAATATATCAACTTTCTGATTTTTATGAAAGTAGGATACAAAGAGAATGTACTTTTGTTTCACCTTAATGAAATGGTTGCCAATTTAAAACCAATTGCAACAACTCGGCATAATTCCGAAGTTTGACTATAAACGTGAGCAAGAATTAGTCACATGTTACCTGCGTGAGCCCAAGCCCTACCCCCAGGGGCCAACCTATGTATAAAATAAATTACAGATACTATAAACTATGAGTTGTATTCATAGTTAATAGTGTCAGTAAAAAAATAATGTTGGAACTGTTTGATTTTGTATTGACAAGTATTTTGAATGGGTTGAAAGATATTTGGGTAAAATAGACTGTTCTGGGGGTGGGCTCCGTCCCACGCCGATAACCTGTGGAATTTATAAACTGTTTGATAACATTTTGAAATTTACATCGCCAAAACCTGAATTATTAAATTTCCAAAAAACACTCATCATTTATATTATACAACCTCTTAAGCTTGGCATCTGTATTTCCTTCAGCCCGGGGGTGGGGTTATCAGCAGTTGGTTGCCCCTCCGAAGTAAGTGCCACCAACAATGCATATTTCTTTTCTCCAAGTTTTAGCGTTCGATCAGCCCTGGTAATAAAAGGGTAAAATATTTCGATTACCTCCTCACTCAAGATAAGATAAGCATCTATTTCACTTACTGTAAACTTTTCAAGGGCCGGGTTCATACATGTACATATGAGCACAAACCGATCCCAACTTCATATGGTTTGTTTTTCTTTAAATACCTTTTTAACTTCAAGAGCCATTATATTTCTGATATCGTATATTTGTAGTGTTATTGGTACACATTTTCTCGAATTCTAAGAAAAGTGTCCCTGTGAAATTTACTGGCACTTACCCATTTAAATCAAAGTATTTTGCTTTATTATATACTTTTAAATGAAATATTGAGAATTTTGATGAAATAAAATGCTTATTTTGTGATATTCCGTGTAAAAATTTATTTTTCACTGCAGTGAAACATATTTTCCGTATTTTCACTGGTGTCTTGCCGAACTACTTTCTTCAGTTAGCCAATACATAAAATTAAAAGGGAATTCTTCCTGACATAAGATTAAAAAAGAGAAAAACTTTGGCTTCTGCCAGTCGTGAAATATTTATTTTCATACCACTCAATGAAAATAAATCCTGTATTTATAGAAGAAACTTGAATATTCTCTATTTATTATTTAATAGGCGTGATTATATATTATACAGTATAGTAACCTTATATCTTGTACGTTACCTTATTAAACGTAAACTTGTCAACGGCACAGTTTCTACGTTTAACAGACCAATAAGAACGTAACCAGTCACCACTTTTATTGTTGACAGGAAACTAAGGTCAAAGGTCATATTTCCACTGTCAAATAAGTTCGTGACCTCCAGGTTTCCTTGGACATGAGTACATCCGATGTATCGTCTGCGTAAAGCCTCATAATGGTATTCGCGTGTTCCAGAAAAGCTGAACCCCATGTTCGAGCCATAACATTCTACAAAGACATTTTTACCGAAGGTATTTTTATGTATTAATGAAAAAGCAGTAAATAATTTAGAAGAAAGTATATGAATTTGTTATACCCTCAGAAGTTAAACCAATAAAAAAATGATACACACAAATTAAATTTATAATATGAGAAATACATATGAGTTATTCTATGCTACATACAGTTCGGCCAATGAAATATAATATACCACTTTTATTTGAAGAAGTGTGCCCTTTTCACTGATTAACAAAGAATAAACATGTTTGTTATATTTCTCGTTGATATCAATTAAAGGCACTTCATGCCTCAGAAAAGATTTTTTTATTTCTCTAGAAAGGGCAACATTAGTTTAACAATTTAACGTTGAAATAATGGGTTTACAATGGTTTAGATGATTCCTACCTGAAGAAATAGCGAAATAGCTAAATGCGAAATTGTTTGTCATAAAAGTAACAAAATTCAAACAAAATCACTATAGATCTAACTTTACTGTCAATTTTGAAAAGCAATAGAAGACAAAGATGGTTAAGGTAATTGGCCGCAGAGTAACATTCTGGAAACTATAAAAGTTCACCAAAAATAAAAACTTTTGAGAAATAAAAACAGATTCAAATGCTGAAAACTATGAAAGTATGAAAAAAAAGTTAACTTTTTGATAAATAAAAAATAACATTTTTGAAGCATAATGGGCCTTTAATAAGTATTATCACTTTTGATACATGTATATATGTTTTTATATATATTTCACTTTTACGAAGGTATCAACAACTTAACTTACCCTTTTCTTTCTTTGAACGTTCTATATCCAAAATATCAATTGCTCCAACGGCGTAAATCAGCGTTAATCCAAATACAAAAATTTTGGTAAACATTATTCTAAAGATATTTCTTTCATATGTATTTTTCAGTTTTATATGTTACTTTTACTTAAACAGTGGAATTCGGAAACGTATAATACACATATTGTTTTACATATGTAAACAAATTCTAGAGGGGAACTATTAAGTGGATCACGTGACATAAAGCACTTGATGGGTGTTCTCATAACAACATAGGTTGTTGCTATGGTTACAACGTTATATTTTCGTTAGTAGCCTGATTTTACGATCAGACAAAAGCAGCGGATGCACGCAAAGATTGTTGAACTGCATTTAAACATTGTTTTGGCACGCCTTGAAACAATTAGAATGGTGTTTTCGATTTTCATAGATAATTGAAAGTGAAAATGTTAAATATCTCTTAAAATATGTTTCCATAATAAATTTATAACGAGAAAATATAATTAAACATTGGTTTAAACATATTTATTTTAGCTCCATTGCGAAAAAAAGATCTTGCAACTTTCGAGTCCGCTTCCTGAAACCAACCAGTACTGGTGTGATATGAAGTGAACCGATAAGGGCTCGAACCCATGATCCCTGGGTTTGAGAGGAAGACATCCGAGTGTGGCGCGGAGTTACATACAACAATAGGCAGATATGATTTTTGTGTGAACACAAAAAATACCAAAATAAGATTGGTTTAAACATTTTTATTCAAGCTCGATGGCGAAACTTATATTAATCACTTTTGATGTCATATGAAAATATGGAATACGTCCTGAAAATAGTACATTTGTAATTACCTTATGTGTATTTTTAGACCACTACATGTACTGATGTCATGACAAATGAAATATTGAATAGTATACAGTGATTCTAAGTATGGTACGTGTTACAGTAAGACGGTATTATTAATCAATTAAAAAAAATAAAGGCTCATTATGCCTCAGAAATGCTATCATTTTTATTTCACAAAATGTTTTTATTTTTGATATCTTGTTACAGTTTTGAAAGAAAAACTTGATTTGCCACATAGATGAACTTTTTTTTACTTTTCTTGCTCTGTTGGCAAGGAGTATGATCAAAGTGAATGAGTATTTTGTACGGAATTTAATAAACTACTTTGTTTACATTTTGCTACCAGCTCAACTTTCTTCAGTTGTTAAACATCTAATATGCTCTAAATTTATTATTTAAACCATTATTAAACGCATGATTGACCTATTTTAAGAATTAAAATAAATATATTTCTGACGCATGATTTGCCTTTGGAGATAATATAATAATATGTGCTATATTTTTCTCAACAAGTTTATCTTCTACATATTTCGAAATGTTTATTTTTTATCTCTTATTTCATGCTTTTCTAACATTAAATAAAAGCGTTCCTTCACCGGCTATTTATAACAGTAAATGCTGTTTATATAATGTCATACATGACACCTCTAAAAGTACTTGTGCTCTGAAAGTCGATTTGCACGAAATTCACGCGCTTTTACATGGTCGGTATAAAAGACCATGGAAAAATACTGTTTTAAATATAATATGTACTATTCACAATGCAATTTTGTTTTTATGCAACATCATGTTTTTCGACGCAAAGCATGTCTACTGTATACAAAAATTGCACAACATAATTATTTAAATAATTTGAAAACTTTGTAAATTTTTTACATTCTACGGCAATCGTTTAACTAGAAGTACCCTAGTTATCAACCTCACTTTAAAGGTGGATTCATGCGTTTTTTTAAAAAAAAAAAAAAATATTTTTGTAAAATGTCTGTAAAGATAGAATCCTCAATGATTGAAAGTGAAATGACATTGCCTCATGTTAGGAGAACTAGAATGAATTCGCCTTTGGTATTCCATGTCGCTGCACAGCAACACGACCGTGCGATTTAATTTTGGCGGGAATTGTTTTACTCTAATATAAACTGATCTTTTCAATGCAAAGTAATTTGAATCAAATACATTCGATTCAATATATCATATGTTTCTTTTGCTGTTGGCAAAGATTAGAATGCTTTCCTCGTGTATAAAATTTTAATCTCCACGTCCAATTCGAATTATCAGATGAGTGAATTTCACTACCGTCAATTTGCGTGGTTAAGTCTATTATTATTTTTAGGGGGTGTCGAACGTATAGAGGTAAGATACTTTTTTAAGCGAGGTGAAAAGGTACGATACGGAGTAATGGAGGATTTTAGCATGTTAACACCCGTCGGCGTGGGTATATTTTATAAAATTGCTAGAGTCATTTACTATCAAAATCGGAAATTTTACGTGGATCATGTGGTGCTCTGACCTACGCATATTATCTCGAAACCATAGTGAAAATGATATTGAAGGTAAATTGGCTGTAACTGATTTTGTGTTGGTGAAAAAATGATAAGATGAGAGCCCATACCGTAAATTGCAACTTATTTAAATACTCATTATAGCGTTGCATAGCAAATGTTTGTATGCAAAGGTATTTATTGGCGTCTTGTTGTCCAAAAAATTAATATGTACGAAGAGTTTTGGTACGATAAGATTACTGTACGCTGCAAAAGGTTCGAAAATTTTGGCAGTGGTAATTATTACTTAATTAATTATTTAATGATATTGAAAAATTATATATATCAGCATTTTTTCTTACTCTTGAATTAGTATTTAAAGCTACATGCCTCCAAATGAGTCAAATTATTTCAGGACAATCAAGGTTGTAGTACAATTTTTAGAAAAGGAAAAGCATTGAGATTCATTAAGGACTGATTTCATTGTAATTATCACCATATTTCTTTTGTTTTGCTTACATTGCAGCATTATGAGTTATTTTTGCATATTTTGACCTTTTTTTGGTAATTTACATGAATTGTGAGTGTCTGCACTCTTTGTCCACTTAATAATATTTTACTTTGAAATACATTTTCATGGAAATTGGCATAAATCTGGAGGCAAGCTGCTTTAAGGATAGAAAATCCTTCCTTTAAGAGCAGAAATTCTCGGTATTTTACAGGGGTTTAGGTTTGCAAAAAACATTTTAAAAGATATAAGTAAAATATTAAGCAGGGGTCTGTTTTAGAGCCTAAAAGTAAAATATTTATAATTATTTCTTTTTCATGTATATTCTATTTTAAGGAACTTGGGAATGGGACTGCAGATTGCGGCTTATATTTCCTATCCTGTAACGGCTTTTAAAAATGTTTCTCACATCACATTTCTCTTATGCCCAAAATTAAAAAAAAACATACCAGATTTGCTACAATATTGGCCTATGTTATAATGTTTTTTGGCAGGAAAGCATTACACTAAGACCTTCAAATCGCCAAAAATTCATTAAAATTTGAAATTCCTACATAGAGCATTTTGGGCACTGAAAATGGAAACAATGTGAGAGTTAATAAAGAAACACACTTGAATTTGATAGAAAATAGATTTTTTGTGTGATTTCGATGTCCTATTATTTGAACAAACAGCGTCTGCTTACCTTATCATGTTTTGTTCATTTTTCACTCTTATAATAGGAAATAACTGATTTGCTACAGTATTGGCCGATGGTAGAATTTTTTTGGTGGTAAAGAAATTTACAGTAAGACTACCTTAAGGAATTTCAAATAAAAAACTACTAACTGATGAAGAAATGATACAAATAATTATTTATACAGTGAAAAGATAATTTTTTTTTTGTTTTAATTAATAACAGCCTGGTAACAGCATTGAACCTTCAAATGAATTTTTTTTTTCGACATGCAGGAGGTGGCGCATTCCCCTCTCACCCCAACACATATTACAAATGTATAGCACTTTAAATAAAATCCTGGGGAACTCCCTGCTCATGGAATAGAAAGCATGTGTGAAAGCATGACACAAGTTGAACTACACAAACTTTGTGTCATTTTAAAGTCTCCCCCACTCTAAAAATGCTCTTAAAAAGTGTTTTATCCTAAGTTATCGTCAATGAATGGATTTTAAATGCATCCTTGTGTTTATTCAGATGATAATGCGGAAAAAAAATAACCTTTAAATATTTTACCATCTTAGATTTGATTTGCACAGAGACCACCATTTTATTTATTGATCAAGCATTCTTAAAGGGACTCCACTAAGATTTTTTGACATGATGGGACAGGAAATAATTTTTCAAGATAGATGTTTCATTTGATGTATGTTTATTCCATTAACTTTTGTGCAAAATTTCAGATTATTTGCTCACTTTTTTCTTCCCAATTTCAACAATTTACCCAAAACTGAAAAGTGTTACAACACTGAAATTAGGATATGAATATCACATAAAATACAATTTTCAATATATTTTGGAGTTATTTAATAATTATTTTTTGCATATCTTTCTGTTTTAAGGACCTAAGCCCATCTATGTAAGAAATGATATTCATAGCTTATCTTTTTAGGCTTTTGGAGTTCCTTCAACATATATTTATATTGTACATTTTTTTGTGTGTTAAGAAATGCTGTCCTGTTTCTTAGTCTTTCTTAAACTAAGAATATTAATAAAGAAAATTCTTATAATAATTTCTTTTGAATAAATATGAATATTGATAATACATTTATGGTATGATTTATATGTCCTTTGAAAAAAGAACATATTCTTTTTCTTCTCTGTTTTATGATAAGCTGATTGATATATTAATGTTTGGAAATATATACAAAGTGTTGTAAATGAATAAAATTGACATAACATGAGTGATATTTCATATTGACTCATTATTTGTCCTCAGACATTTGTATTGATGCTTGGCTTATGGCTAATACAAATATCTTTACCTGGTGAAAGGGACTCAACTGTGTTTTGTTTTTGATATAACGGGACTGAAAATAATTTTTTTGTGATTATTACTCAATTTCATGTACTTCTATACCAACAACTTATGTGCAAACTTTTAGACCATTTATAAGCTTGATCAAATTTTCCAGAAAAGCTAATCTATTTGTGAAAAATGACCCAAAAATTGAAAAGCGTTGCAATGCTTTTCACTCAAATCGGACAAAGAATGGCAAAAACATATGATTTTCAATGTATTTCTGAGTATATTATTTATTTAACTTTTGTACATATTTCTGTTTTGAGTGCCCCAGTTGATCTATGTGAGAAATTAAAATTTTATTTTTTTTGATTTTGGAGCTAAGTGATCCTTTAACTGATCCAGTTAAAGTCATTTATTTATACATCTACTATTATTACTTATCTGAAGAAGCTATTGTGATTGCTGGGCATTGTTCTCATTGTACAAAAAAACTTGCCCATTATTCAAACATTTTAAAGGGTATCAACATGAAGCTGTAAACAACATTAAATGTTTGGTTAATTTACTTTAATATTCAAGTTTTCAAAAAAACAAACAAAAACATATTATGTAAGGGAGAAAACTCTTGCACAGCAATACAAGTTTTATTTTTCAAGGGGAAACAACTCTTTTGTGCTTATCTGATACTTTCCAAATTAACTGTTGTTCATTGTTAAATGGTCATAAGAGTCAAGTCAATCGTTTCACCTGGTTTACATTCCGGAAAAAGTTTTGGAGGTTTGGGCCCTTTACCTGCTGGAAACTGAAAGTGGTTAGCCATCATTATAGAGACAGGCCCTATGTTCACTAAAGTTCAAGGATCAAGATCAGGATCAAATTGAAAAATCTCAAATATTTTCCATTGTTTATCCGCATTGAATTAATATAAACTTGATAGAATTGGACTTTAGATTGCCTGTTTAAACACACCCTGGAAAAAAATTACGAAGTGAGTCGCTACTAGCTTTTTTAAAAGCTACCTTGTACTGCATATAAAACAAAGTGAACACAGGGCATGGCCAAATTTTGCACAGGTTCATTATTTGAACAATACTAGTAGAGGTCCACTAGAGAATGCTACAAGCTCTACAATGTATGTGTTGTGGTTTGGGAGATTTTATATAGGTTTTCACTATTTCTATCGTAAAATAATGTTAAATTAGTGTTTGTTTTCAATGTGGTAGAAACAGTCCAAGAAAAGAAAAATTGCTGACAATATATTTTACATGTTAAAATGAGAGTATTAGAAAAAGATTTATGCCTGGAGTTTGTAATGTTTTCTCTTGTTGGCTTTCATATGGACTATATAAGACTTATCTCCCTTTACCACTATTCTAGTCAACATCATTTTTGTCTGTTTTATGTATTTTGCACGATACTTTTATGATTCAGACATTTTATTTTGCACTTCACACAATAATGGATTGTTAGACTGCTTCTGTAGACCATGATAAAATACAACTAATGTATATGAAAGAACCCGACTGAATTATGACTTAGAAATCTAATTTAAGGGTTACTCTTTATTGTTGATTGTTTATTTGGTTTTTGCAATAACTATAAAACATTTTTGGTCATCTCTCATTGGTCAGTCTACCTTCAAACATATTTAAATTTCCTGTAGAACTTACAAATGACCATTAGCTTCCATGTCCGAGATCAAGTCTCGTGGAAACTTCACCATCGTCCGAGGATCAAACTAGCTACCCCTTGCTTTCAAATCAACTTATATATCCTCAGTAGAAGACCACAAGGTGATGCAACATGCCCAATACCTAAGCTTTAGGTATGGTAGTTTCTGAGGAAAAGTCTTTCACTATATACAAGTCTATATAAATTAAGTGACACCTGGGGTGCTGCCAATTTTTACTCCATATATAACACTTTTGTAGAGGTCCACTTGACAATGATACAGCCAAATATCTAGGGTCTAGGCATTGCTGTTCATTAAAGAAAACTTTAAATGTATTTTCTATATAGGCCTATGTAAACTAGGGCGAGGCCACTTTTGACCCCTGCATGAGGCAAGATTTATATAACTTTTCTGGAAGACACAAGGTGATACTACCTACCATATATCTAAGCTCTAGTATTGTAGATTTTGAAAAGTCTATTTTTAGCTAATGTGACCTACTTATGCATCATACTGGAACCATTAAGAAAACTTTTGTAGAGGACCTGTCACCACCTATAGATCATTCCTGTAAAATTTGGTACATTCATCAAGTGGTTTAGGAGGAGAGATGGGTTTTTTTTAAAGAAATTGTGGACAAAATGAACCATGGACACACTGCCATCACAAATTCTCAACTCTGAGCACAAAAGTGAGCTAACAACAAAAAACACCAGAAAATATTTTTATCTAATTTTATTGGGTCAAAGTTCAAGGACAGTGTATGCAGCTGATTTTATATGTTAATAAACATAACTTCATGTTAAAGTTAATCTACAAATCACTACATAATATAAGTTAACATATTATCACAATGTAATACTTAAAATGTTATATCACAAAATGATGTCATTTTGTTTTAATACAATACAATGCTGGTTTTAATCTTTCCTTTATCTTAATAAAAAAAAGAAATTATATTAATAAATACTTCCATTACACTATATACAGAATACTATTGTTACGTAAAAAAATCTTATAACAGACTCTGAAAATATCTACAACTACTTTTGCATATAAATTTTTATAAGTTAATAACAATTAACAGTAAGAAATAAAAAAAAAAATAAAAAAATATCTACAAACATGAAAAATATATATTTTAAACAAAAAAAAATTGCACATTTTTTTCAGCTGAATTCATTTGTCTGTGAAATGCTTGTCAGGGTTATCCGAGGGTCGAAATACGAAAAATGAATTTTCACGAGCATACATGTACATGAAACTTGGGTTGTCTGGTTTGCGGATATAACTACAAAATCATGAACATGTAGGGTCAAGTAAGAATTCAAACAGAAATAAATGGATTTTACAAGCATCGCAGAGAGAAATAAAACTTTATAATAAATCATACACTGTTCACAAACTTATTATACGATAACTAACATCAAAGTTTTATAATTATAATAAACTTTCAACTCCTTAACAATAAACAAAGCTTCTTTACAGTTCTTAACAAAATCTCAAACTTTCTTCCATAATTCAAGATGGATAATAAAACAAATTCATCAAATATAATTATAAGTAAGTTATGATATTCATGTAAAAACAGTAAATGTTTTTCTGTAATCATATAAATACAGTAAATGTTATTTCTGTAATTTGTTGTTTTAAACTTTAATGTTGTTGTCATATTTTATTTTTAACTAATGACTAATATCTAAGAGGCATTGAGCTAAGGTTATAAGGTCACAAGTCGTGTTTGTCGCACTTTGATTGGTTGTCATGAGTCAGTCAACAGTTAAGACTGGACTGAATTTTGATTGGTTGAAATGTAACAGTCAACAGTTTTAAAATACTGGACTGATTTTTGATTGGTTACAATAAATCAGTCAGCAGTAAATACTGGACTGGTACTTTGATTGGTTGAAAATAAATGCTCAGGTGGATCAACAGACCTTGATAGAGTTCGGTCTGGATCTAATGACACCTATCAATGGTACAAGAATGTACCAAGTAATGTAAAATGTGTTATCTCAATCGCGCTCTCTTATGATGTTTGAAAAAAATGATTTCATGAACTCAAGTTAATTTGAACCAGCGTATGATTCAATTAACGAATTCCAAATAAGATTTAGCTTAAAACATTTACATGGCACATTAAAAAATCAAATTTCAGAATGGTAAACAATCACAATGCGCCATAAACAATAAGTTCCGCCGAGCATGTTTCTTCTCCGGAACTGTTCATGATCTTACACATATATTCACCGTCATCGTCTTCGCAGACATTTTTTATTATCAATGAGCATACACCATTGCCTGATTGTTGAACACAATGGTTTATATCTTCTATCAAAAGTTCATCTTCAAAATACCAAGAAACGTTTGTATTTTTGTCTGCGATAAATTCAACGTCAAACCTAACGACATCTCCCGGAAATGCTTTAGAGTCTACCATTTCCTTCTTAAATACCGGAAGATGTTTTGTCCTAGAATCCTCTACTGCATTTTGATTGGATGAAGCAGTAGTTTGACAATCGTTGCACACATTCACAGGATTCAATGTATTTTCAACACTTTTTTCACTGTTGTTACTGTTACAACTTACAAAGGCAGATTTGCTTTTTTCATTAGTTAAATTCAAGTTTATATCCACGCCATGTCCATTCACATCTGAATTCTTTTCTTTGATTTCAGTTGTATTCCAACTGGATGTATGTTTTTGATTGAAATTTGATGATGATTCAGCGGTTTTTCCACCATTTTGATTGGTTGTTACAATGTCTTCATCAGGGATGACCTTTAATGGAGTGGAAGCATTTATGACATCAGAGATGGCATTTTGAGAGCCCATGGATGATATACTACTATTTGAACTAGACGACCCCACACCAGAAGCAGACGACAAACTATCAGCACCTGGAGAACCAGTACTGGTACCCGTCTTCATCAATTTCTGAAGAGAGTTCCTCATGCGACCCAAAGCACGGATAGCATTGCCAGTTTTCTGTTGGATAAAAAAATACACAAAAACCATCACCAAAGTAGCATATGAAAGCTAAACAAGCAGACACTCTGAAATCTAGCTCTATTTTCACAGCAAATATACATGGAAAATAAACAGCAGTCAATAATATCTTTTCCAAATACAGGAATGAAACAAATATAAATCTACATGATCTGAAACTATTTTAAAATAAAATCTCATTTATAACTTATTTATTTACAAAGATAAAACAATTTCAATTTTACTAACAGGCATTAAATAAATGAAGAACATTTTATTTTATAAGTACATTGTACTTGAATGTTGATATCATTAGTTAAGGTGTCCAAATAAGTCTAATTAGGGAGTGTATATCAAACTTGAGTACATTGTTGTATAATAGTTCAAATGCCCAGGAATATAATCACGAAGGCCGATGATTAATTTCAAAGCATTTGAACAATAAACAGTTCATTATTGTACTATAATGCAAGAAAAATTAATATCTATTTCCAATCTAACATGCTAATACAGTAGAGAATTGATAAAAAATATGTTGAACTATATGGAGCGTAGAAATATACTTCCTGACATCATTTGATTAATTGATGTCATGTAAGGTGTAAGTGTAGTATTTATGCTGTGCATATAACATGTAATATGCACTTGATTGACCTATCTGTTTGATAGGGGAATATTGTGAAGCATGTTAGGATGAAAAGATTTAGCATTAAAATTTCAAACTGTTCAAAAAGCTAAAATAATAAGTTTGTTACAATGTTGCATTCTTTGATCTGTTTCTATTCTAGTCTAAGCTACAAAAACACACATCTACTGTGGTGTAACTTCAATTTCAAAAACATCATGCTTCATAAGAATTTTAAATCTTTTTTTTCTTCAAAGTAACATTTCTCATTGTGAATGGTTTTATAGCGCGACCAAACATTTATGATGGTGCAAAGGTAGAAGAGAAGACAGTCATGCAGTGTAGACTACAGAAGATAAAACAACTCTGACACAGTGGTCATCTTAATACATACCTGCCATTTTCTGCGGGCCATGAATTTCTTAAGATTTTTTGTATTAATTCTGTGATTTTTCAAGCGGGCAGCATCATTTGCGAGCCAAGCATGTTCAAGGGCTTGCAAGCTGGTCATTCTGTTCCTATAATTAACAATAATATAATGTTATATATTTTCAATTTCATTTCCTAACATATTTACAGTTACTTATTCAAATCTGTTATGTAAAACAATAATGTCAAACTTTGTACACAAGTTTGTGTAAAAATCAGAACCCTAATTGATACAAATTGACATCTGTGCTTAAACTTAAACAAGTTTTTAGGCTGGTCTACGATGTGCCAAAAGATTTTACTCAAAATATTGAAGCTCTGTGACTACATTTAGGTTTATTATGATCAAAGTCATATTAAGTCAGTCAACAGTTAAGAGCCTATTCAGACAACATGTAAGTGCAGGACTGGCCTAGCTCTACATTGGTGGTAACAGCTGATCACTTTCAGTTCCAGCACTGTTCTGGTTAGGTTTGAATCCTAACATGAACACTTCATTCCTTCATGTGGGAAGGTTGTCAATGCTGGTAACCATCTATCTGCCATCTATCTAGGAACAACAATCATTGTTAATATACAGTCCGACCCCGGTTATTCGACAACCCTTTATTCGAATACCCGGCATTATCCGAAGTAGATCGGCGGTCCCGTTTTTATCTCTATATAAAACAATATAAATACGAGCGTATTATTCGAAATGCATTATCCGAATACCTCCTATTTTTCGAAGTAAAATTTCGGTCCAGATTATACAATTATGAAAGAATTTCACACCTATTATTCGAAGCCAGCCTAATTATTATTCGAAGCCAGACTAATTGGCGCAGATCCACTCGCTGACCAGTGGACTTGTGAAAAATATCCACAGTCATGCGTGTAATTAGACAATCATGATAATAACTCTTTGTGTGTTCTTTAATCAACTTTAATTACCGAAAATGAATAGCTATGCACCGTGTCCGATTTTGTTGAAGATGACAGCAATAATTTTTATACAATCTGTATATGTGAATTTGTCAAAAAATGCAAAACATTTTTTTCATTAATTGCAACGCTACATGAGAGCCTTAATTTATCCTAATCGAAAACACCAGAGTTTAGCTGTAAATACCGTAGTGACGACACGGCCATTATCAAGGCTTTGCGCGAAACGAAACGATACATAATGTAAAATAAAATGCAAGTATTTATGTCTTCAATGTCAATACAATAATTTTTACGCATCTTTTCTTAAATATTTATTTTTCTCAATTGATTAGAGGAAGCAAGTGTGTTGTAAACGGTAGTTTAGCGATGATTGGTCAAAGTGGAGTAGTTTTCGTATATCACAATATTTCGATTTTGATTATTCGAACCCATCGTAAATATACAGTCCCAGGCACTTCGAATAAACGGGGTTGGACTGTATTGCAATGATCTGGAAACCAAAAGAACTTTAAAAACTTACTTTTTCTGTTTAACAAGTAAGCTCTCAATAAAATGTTTCCCATCATTTGATACACTATCAAATTCCTCTTCCTCAAAATCAAATTCTCCCTGTGTTACATTAGAGAGGGTTTCTGCATCGGAATCACCCATAAAGGGAGACAATCCAGTTAATCTAAAATAAAACAAGTTCATATTGCTAAAGTATGGAACAGAAGCACTAACAAACACAAAAGTAATCTCACTTGTGTACATGAAAGAAATGATCTTAAAATTTACAAATCTACAAATATAAAAGCTATTTTACACTTAAATTTTTCAGAAGTATTTGGAGGCAAATTGCTGAATTTGCACAGAAAAATCCTACTATTTTCTTGAATTTGTGCTAAAAATGTTATGCATAATTATGATAAACATGATAAAGTCTAAAATGGCAGGAGAAAGCTATGTACACTTAAAGTTTTTTTTCTTATAAATAATATATACCTTAATAAAGTAAATAAATAAAACAAAGACAATGCTTACAAAACGTAACAGATGACCCCTATACTCCACATATCTGTTGTAAATCCTATTTCATCATAGTTGACAACCTCCGGTGCAATAAACTCTGGTGTTCCAAACATTACTCTCACACTTTCACCTTTGTTATAATACCTGTAATTTAATACATTGTACATGTAAAGTAAATATCATCAGTTAAGCCTCATGAGAAAACATAGTCATATTCTGAGGCCCACATGTAAAATCGGGAGATAGAATGTGCCAGCCTCGTAAAATAAAGGCGTTACTTACTATAGCCAAATATAAACTTGAACAGATAACTGGTAAAAAGCAGAAAGCTAAATACAAGTATATGATAAACATTAATTATGATAGTTGTTATCATGAACATTCATAATTTCTTTACTTTCATAAATCTACTGCAATTTTATAAGTCATAATTTAAATATACAATCTTAAATATATTATGAGTTTAAGCATATTTATTTATCTAGATTATGATAAAAAGACAGAACCTATACAGTATATATAAAAACCCCGCTACCACTTCTCATAACTTACACGAGGGAACATGGCCATTAAAACTTGGGGCCAGATAGGGGTTTTAACCAACTTCCCCTTGTTTGTGAGGCAGACACCTCAACCACTTCGATTCCCTTTTTCTTTTTGTTGGTTGGGTTTTATGTTGCACCAACACAGTATAGGTCATATGGAGACTTTCCAGCTTTACTAGTGAAGGGAGACGTCAGGTGCCCCTCTGTGCATCAGGCTGAAAAGGGCATCTCTCCCTTTATCTATAAATGTTATAAATGCATTAAATAGACATATAATTGGTATATAATTCTTCAATTTACCTTGCTAAACCAAAGTCGATGATTTTGACTTTGTTACTTTCATTTTTGATACATAAGATGTTTTCCGGTTTAAGGTCAAGGTGAAGAATATTTCGACCGTGCATGTAGTGGACTGCGTCACATATCTGTCGCATAAACTGGATGCAGTCTCGTTCAGTGAGCTCAAAGTCATCATCAATTACACGCTCAAATAATTCCCCACCACCGATACTATAAATAGAAACAATCATCATCATTTTAGATATAGGACAAGGTGTCAATACTAGCAGAACACCACTGATACACAGATTCTTGTGGCAAAAACAAACAATATTAACAATTTGATAACCAAATCCATAACCAACTGATACAAAGTCAATACATTTTACCTAATTTTGAAAGACCCTGACCTAACTACTTAAATGTTTTATTAACAAGAGCGATCAGTAATCACATGTGTCGCCTCATGATGGCCAATTTCATGTTGGGACAAATTTTGTGACAGACGGACAGACAGACGGACAGTGCACAACTAGACTTTGTACTGATAATTCCTATAAAGTTTGGATAAAATTGCACCAGTAGTTTATGAGGAGTAGTCCTGACAAGCTTTTGCGTATCTGGCAACACACAGAAAAAAACACCTTTTTATCAAAGGGCCATAATTCGGCCAAAAATCATTCAACCAGAAAACCCGTGCAATATGCGCAAGGACTTGAGCTACAGATCAATCCTGTAAAGTTTCATTGAAATTGCATTAGTGGTATAAGAGAAGTAGTCTGGACAAACTTTAAAAATAAAAATTATTAAAGGGCCATAACTCAAACAAAAATCATTGAACTGGAAAAGGCTGACAATATGCACAACTAGACTTGGTACTGATCATTCCTGTAAAGTTTGGATGAAATTGCACCAGTAGTTTATGAGGAGTAGTCCGGACAAGCTTTTGTGTATCTGGCAAACACACAGAAAAAAGAAACCTTTTTATCAAAGGGCCATAACTCGGCAAAAATCATTCAACCAGAAAACCCGTGCAATATGCGCAAGGACTTGAGCTACAGATCAATCCTGTAAAGTTTCATTGAAATTGCATTAGTGGTATAAGAGAAGTAGTCCGGACAAACTTTAAAAATAAAATTTTTTAAAGGGCCATAACTCTGACAAAAATCATTGAACCGGAAAATCCTGAGAATATGCACAACTAGACTTGGTACTGATCATTCCTGTAAAGTTTGGATGAAATTGCACCAGTAGTTTATGAGGAGTAGTCCGGACAAGTTTTGTGACGGACGGACAGACAGACGGACAGACAGACGACGGAGAAGTGATCCCTATATGTCGCCACTACTCCGTAGAGGCGACACAAAAATCGTATATTATCAAAACACATTCATTCTTAATATCTAAAATACTTAATAAAAATCTATATAAACCTGCCAATTGAAGAAAAAAGAAGCAAAAAAGAAGGAAGGAAAGAAATTTAATCCCTTTATTTACTGATGACTTGTTACGCCATAATTTGCTAGTATATTATAAAAATCAAGCAAAAAATCAAGCAAAGTATGTAAAATTCACTCACTATTCCATTACAAGGATCATTTTTCTCGGAGCATCAAATACGTCCCATAACTGGAGAATCTTTGGATGTTTCAATTTGTTCATGATCTCCACTTCTAGATGTAGTTTCTTCTTTTCATTTTCTCGACATTTGATGATTTTTGCTGCCCAAATTTTCCCAGATGACTTCTCTTCACATTTGTAAACACTTCCAAATTTACCTCTGAAAAAAGTGTTATATACTCATATAAAATTTTTTGGAAAGAAATAGTTTAAGTGCATGTAACCAATTCTCAATTTCTGTACATCACTCACTGTTAACTGTGCAAACACTGTCTTTTCTTTTCTTAGCTAATTGAATAAATTAGAAAACAAACTTGTTTTTTCATGTGTGACTGCGTGGCTGAGTTGTTAACACATTGGACAAATTTTTTTAGGATTACTGGCTGTGTAGGTTCAGGGCTAAGCTTTTGTTTCCATGAGCAAGAAACTAATTTACACTCATTCTTTAGTACGGAATGGACATGGGTGTGTTTATATAAGCTTATAGCTTCCAACAAAATCAAACTAAAATAAACTAATATAAACTAAACTTGTTTTTTTACTATAAAATGTTTTTTTTTGGTTTCATTTTTTTTTCTAATTATTGGCAAGAATATTCGTCAACGAGATATTTAAGTAAAGACATAAAACTATTGTCTATCAGTACTACAGCTGTAATATTATCGTCTTACTTTCCAACTTCCTGTAAACAGTTGTAGAAATTTTCAAACACCCGGCCCGCTAGAACTGTCACTTCTCTATGTTCAAATGATACTTCATCTAAAATATTCAATGTTATCATTAAAACACATATACTTTAAAATAAATAAAATAAAGATTTGTCTTTGAACAAATCAATCAGATGTAACAATAAAAATCACTATAAACAGAAAGAAATGATAATTATGATTTTGAAAATGGATTAGAAATGAATAATTTCATTAGATTATTGTAGTATCATAAATGTGTACATATAGTGAAGTGTATAAAATTAAAGAGGGTGACGCCTGTATGCATTTTGCATGTTAGCAAGTGTAATAGTGCTCAAACGGAGTTGAAAATAATTAGTCCAATTAAAGGAACTTCACTCCTAAAGAAATAAACTCAAAAATAAATTAAAAGTAGTGTTTTTGTGATATTCTTTAAGCCTGATTTTAGCGAAAAAGCTTTTCAATTTTGGTTAATTTTTCACTGGGGTCCTAAATGAAGTTTATTCAGTCTAAATGGTGGGTATCATTGAAATTTCCCTTTACAATTAATGGGTTATACTTAGATTTTTTTTCAAAATGGCAGGTAATATCAAAATTCATCTGTCTAATGTATAATAATGAATTTATTCAGTGTAATTGGTGGGTATAATGTTTACATTCTCTTGTCAAATGAATGGGTTATGATGAATTTATATTCAGTCCAATTGGTGGGAGAATTTAACATTCTTCTGTCAAATTAATAGGTAGATCTAATATTCAATTTTATCAGTCTTATTTCTATGTATTTATGTAAAATTAACAGGTAATACTGATCAGGCAAACCTCTTGGCATTTCTGAATTTCATTAATAACATTAGTGTGGGCAAGGTAAATCTGCTAACTGATGAGGGAATATTAACATTGTATTAGTCAAATCAATTTTACTTTATATATTTATACTAATTAAAATCTAGAAGAAACTAATCTCTAAAACTTTTATTTATTCTAATAGCTTTATAGTATTACATTATTGACTGTTTCTAGTTTTCTACTAATAGCTACATATTCAATGCAATCAGTTTCATTCAACTATATATTGACTTTAATGTGTCAGGCTGCATGCAAATTATTCTACAATCAAATATAACATGTTAGTCAACATTCCAACTGACTTTTTATTATTGTTATTTGTAATTGTAAAACCTTATACCTTAGTGTAAAAAACATTTTGTGAAAAACTTCAATTTAAAAGTTGTGTCCTTTTAAAATCAGTAAAATAATTTTTCTGACTTGAAGTCCGTGCAAATTACTGGCAATCAGATAAAACAATACCAGCATGAACCATTGCATAATTGCATTGATACCGATAGTGCTTTAAAAAAGCACCAAGATTTTCCCCACATAACATTTAATGTCCCTTGAGTGAAACAACCACAAAAATCACTAAGATTTTCCCACATAATATTTTGTCTCTTGAGTGAAACAACCTTCACCAGTCTCCCACAAACCCTTGTAATTTACCCAAAATATATCATACCAGATTCTAAAACTGTTAAGGAAAAAAGGTAAAATTCAAATTTTCAGTCATTAGTAACTATGAATATCCACAAACTGCAGTAAAACAATTATTGTTACATATAGTAAAATACAATCAAAATGCTAAAAGACATATTTATTTTATGCTTCATGCAACTATTCTTGTATACATATCAACTCAACTTCTGTTCTTTAATATAAAGGAGAGAAAAGTAAAAGATTACATGTTGACATAGAAACGAAAGAAACTTCAGTACCTGACAACTTCTTTTCTGCTTTTGCTATGTAATATAAAAGAAAACCTTCAGATTCTCATAAAATTATTTGATGTTAAACGACTTGAGCCCAAAAAAATGGTAGCCTTATATTGAGTACACAGCTTGTTTTTCATTGAAACTGCTTAAAAAGTTGGACATCAAAAGATTGTCATTTCAAGCCATATAATTATTTCAAGATTGCCTGCAGGTGATATAGAAATTAAGGGACTCCCCAGTTAAAACTAAAAATAGAAAAGGTTTCCCCAGCCTCATTTTCAAAACCTTAAACTAAAATAGAAAGGGATTTCCAAGCCTCATTCTGTGACCTACCTGGTGATAATGGTGAAACAAGACCATACTCAGACATTGGTGTAAACAACTCGGAATTCTCGTGCGTAAATACATCTGTAATGTTAATCAAGGGTGGAACACACATTAAGCAAACTGCAGGCATTACTAAATATATCTTACTGAAATATCCACTCAGTCAAATGTTTTGAAGTTCTAAAATTTACACATAATCTAGAAAACAAATTTTGCCTTTTACATGATAATTAATTATTTATTCATTTTGAAAGGATAAAGAATATAGAAATTAAATTAAATAAATGCTTCCTCTTGGAAAGACTAAAAAACAATTTCAACAGCAAATTTAATGAAATATCCTTTCATACATTGATGACTTCAGGAACAATGTGTTCCCAATGACATCAAGAAATGTCATATATTTTACAACAAATTTCACTGGTTTAAAATTACAATTTAGAACATATGACTGAGTGAAAACAGTAACTAATACTGATTTTGTAAACTGGGTACAATTTGCTGAAAGTTTATAAAGTAATAAAAAATATTTGTTTCAACATAGATCATATGTACATGAATAAAGATCATATGTACATGAATAAAGATCATATGTACATGAATTAAAATCATATGTACATGAATAAAGATCATATGTACATGAATTAAGATCATATGTACATGAATAAAGATCATATGTACATGAATAATAAAAAAAGTATTTAACTTAGTTTTTCACAATGTTCTGCAAAAGTTCAGCATATTGTACCCAGCCCACAATAAAACTATCTAACAGCATTCTTAGTGCACAATGTCAACCTAGTTTGAAGCTGGCATATTTATGCACTTAATTAAATGATAATTTTCTATTACAATAAAACCTCTGTGTATGACTTTAAATAATTAATAACAAATAATCTATTACGCAACTCCAACAAAACAGACAGGGCTTAGATGAAGGAAAGCGCCAGATTTTAGAAATTTTAAGAGGAAATTACTACTTTATAAAGTTATGTTTTAAGTTTCAAAACAAGCCAAATCAGTTTGTTCTACAATAAATGGAGAAAAAATATAAATACAATTATTATGCATCACTGAGCAAATGGGTGGTCACTAGCAGAGGTTTGACTGTATATTTCTCTACATGATCATAAGATAAATACAAGAAGCAGAATCTGTACTCCTGTCTCAATATTGTTTAGTAAAAAACACAATGAAATTTTTTTGAATACATAATTATGTATTTGTTTCATAGCATAATTATGTATTTGTTTCATAGCATAAAAAATTCATATTCATGTCTTACATACATGGTTAACTTTTAAAGTGGCACACCTTCAGATAAGCCAAAATATTTCAAGAAAATCAAACTTTAGAAAAATGTGCTAAGATTTTGAGAAAAGTAAAAAGATTAAAGATTCAAATAATAATTTACATGCTATGTGCGATTAATGACTTACACTGCATTATTAAACACCATATAACTACTGTTTTGCTAATGCAATAAAGACAAATTTGTGCAAATTTTGGCCTCTTTTCCAGTAATTAATTTGGATTATAAATGCTGTTTATAATGCATGAATTACATTTTTGTTCACTTCATATTATTTTACTTTATGATAAATTTTCAAAATTTTCATTAAAAATTAGCATGAATCTGGAGCCATGCGGCTTTAAAGATGAAAACAATTACTATAAAAGACATTATAAATGTGTCAAATTATTTTATTCCTGCAGCAGCTAAAGGAAGGAGCAGATTATTTTATATGTAATATAAAATTATATATAGATTGAGACAGAAGAACAGATAACCTAGAAAGTGAGTTATGATCATATAATGTAGCATTGTACAAACTTTACACATACATGTATGATGTGATTTATGTAAAGTTTTGTTTTTGCATTTTTACTAATCTGCAAACTATGCATATTTTACACAGCTGTATTTTATAAATACAATTTATATAGTATATGAAATATAATTATATATGGTTCACATTTTCTTAACAAAGACAGTGGATGATTTTTTAGAAAAAAAACAACAGTATTCTTCATTTCTTCAAAATAAGAGAGGAAAAATGGAAAAATGTCATTTTCTCAAACAGGATGTTTTCCCAGACATGAACACTTCAAAAAATTCTTTTTTGATATTAACCTATCTTAACCTGCATAAAAAACACTTGAAAAATATGGCGGGCCATTGTTGCAATAATCAAAATTGATAATGATTGTTTGGTTGTTGTCTCTTTCAAAACCATGATTAATATTTACATATTTAAAGTACAAGGAAACCCAGTCATTTACAAGTACAAATTGATTTTCATTATCTTTACAGTCTGCTAAAAATATTCTGTAATACAAAAGATGATGCATTAATGAAACATTAAATGAAAAGACATATTAACATTTTGCCTGTGAGGTCAGATCATGCTTTTTATTCCATGAGAAAGACAAATAAAGAGAGGAAATGCAGCCATCGAGAATTTTAATTAGAGAAACTAAATTAATAAGGTACGGCATGCAATATTTCTGAGATACGTTTCACAGAATAATGAAGTGTAGAATTGCGATTTGAAGTCACGATCGTGTTGTATATTTCAATGATATAAATATATACAAGTACTGATCACACAAATACAAAGTAAAGCAAATATACAATGCTGCTCTATTAATGCACTCAAGCTTGTGTGCAAAATGTCTCTTTTCATAATAAAGCATTAAATCCTTCTGCTCCAAATGTCAATGAACGAATGCTTCCATTTTCCAATTTTAAAAAAGTACATTTTAAAAAAGCAAAATAGGGTGAAATATAAATATGCTCTGATAAAAAAAACAACTAAATACAAAAACTCAAAAATGCAGTACCAGTACCATGAATTATAAAAAATCACAGTGACCTTGACATTGAACTCTTACCATCTGATTCTGTACTTGGTAACCTCAATAATGCTGAAGGTCGTCTGTCACTGGTTACCGTGACATCTGGGGTCAAACATGGTTTACTTAGGCCGTGTTTATTCTCGGCAAACACTCTAAAAAAGTATGGAGTATGGGCCTGTAATTTCTCTACTCTATATGTGGTGTTCTGTAATAAAAGAAAGGAAATTATAGTTTTTTTCACATTACTTTCATTAAAGTAGATTGACATCCTTTTATCTGCATAGTTCTATAATTGAAGGTTTGGTGCAAAACAGCTATAACTGATATTACATAATGAAGGAGTTACTACCATTTTGCACAGATCCATCCATATATCTTATCATTAAGATAATTTATGTTCTTAAATTATATACAATATTTTCATCACTCAAAAAAAAGAAATGAAAAGAAAAAATTTTTCAATTTAAAACTATTTCATTTTAAAAAAGGCAAATTTATTTTATTAAACAATATTTTCAAAGAAAACAAAAAATTTCGGGGGTTGGGGTATTTTATTCTAAACTGAAAAAAAGATTAAAGCTTTTTTCCAATTTTAATTAAATTGTAAAAGGAAAATTAAAATTATATATAAAAAAAAATAAAAACCACTGCCCAGACTTTTTTGTTTTCACAAGTGTCCACTTTTTTTTCGGCGTCACCATTTAAACCCCGAAAATTATTATGGGAAAACCCCACCTCAAAGCTGGCCCATACCATGAAAGAGTGCATATAAATTTAATCACTAACACAGGGATGACCTACTGGTGACGGCACTTTCTAAAAATAGAACAGTTAAAAAACACTCATAAATAGAACACTTTACCTTTACACATCTATAAATAGCAAACTCAAATCTTCAACACAGCTATAAATAGAATTACTATTACTTAAACATTCAAGTAAAAGGAAATTATTGTTAATTATGAATATATTATATAACCATGAATGTATGAACAAGAAGTAGTGTTTTGATACTTGATATTGATGTTATGCTGTGAAGGGAGGGGTAGCATTTTGTAGATAGAGCTTGGGTCCTGCAGCCGTGGGGTTTTGCAGGGTGAATAATGATTACCTTCAACAGATAGTGAAGCAAATGCCTCGTCAGATCCAAGTTTATTTTCCACTTTAATGTTAAATCTCCCAGAATCCTCCGGCTCAATGTCAACAATTGTTAATGTACTAAAACAATCTGTGGTCTCAATTTTCATCCTTGCATCTGAAACACAAATTTATTATCATATGATAACATGTACATGTAGTATATTGTTAGAAAATTCAAAAACATTATTTACATATCAAAGTATCTATTTTAAATACATGCACATTCATATGATACAACCTAGCGGCTTGGGTTATATTTCCTAACAACTGTTTATATAGGGCCATATAACTTGTCAAAAATCTTTATAACTAATAATATAAGGTTGGCTAGTTTTTAAAATTCTGTTATTTAAGTACCTTTAACTAACAAAATATAGACAGTTATAAATTAAAAAGCATGATAAATCCATGACACAAATCTAGGTAGGTCAAGTTATTCACAACTTATCACCTTTGTGCAGTAACAGGTTAACTCCTATTAAATTTTCAAAGAAGTTACTCAGTTTCTGCACTAAGGTGACAAACTGTATAATTTTTTAAAAATATACATGTACACATTCATACCTTGTTTTAAGTCTTGTTTTCCACGAGACCATGTGACAGTCCCAGGTGGTACTGAAGTGTATGAGGCTTTAAACTCAATGGTACCTCCTCGTAGTATACAAAACTCAGCTGGACATATGTTGTATATTTTAGGCCGGGTAGCAGTTGGAGAAAATGGTTCTTCTATTGTATCTGTTGTATTCTCTGGTGTCCCTGGACGATCTGAAATATATACTTATCTATTGAATATAAATTCTTATAAATGTGCTTATAATGTTCATAGAATTATAAATATCGAAAAGACTTTATATTAACAAATAATCCACACAAACACACAGCAATTACTATTTTTTTAAAGAAATAATCATATCCAATGTAGCGTACCTATAAGAAATAAAATTATAATAAACATTAATTTTTGTGTTTTAATGAAATATAGATCTTCATATTTAAAAACAACTTAAATAATGATTAAACTCAATGAAAAATATATTGATTAAAATGTATAACCGCAATTTATCCATAAAAAAATTACCTCTGAAATCTAACCATACACAAAGAATAAAATATTTTATAACAAATTCTCCAAAATAACCATCAAGATATTTTCTTCTCTTTTGGATTTTCATCAATGCATTAGATTTAGAATTTCAAATGTATTTCCTATAAAAAGAAAATAGGATATTGTCTTCTAAAGTATACCTTCTATTGTAAGATTGCACGATGTTATTGCCACTCCGGCTGTATTTTGAGCTGTACATGTATATTCCCCTTCATCCTCGGAGAATGCCTCGGCAATTACCAACTTGGCTTGATCATCATTGTATGACATTCGGAAAAATTTGGATTGCTGAAAATATTATACCAAAAATTTAAATTGTTGAAAAAATTTGGATTGGTGAAAATATTATGTCAAAAATTTGGATTGCTGAAAATATTATATCAAAAATTTGGATTGGTGAAAATATTATGTCAAAAATTAGGATTGCTGAAAATATATTGTTGAAAATTTTGGATTGCTGAAAATATTGTATCAAAAATTTGCATTGCTGAAAATATTATATCAAAAATCTTGGATTGCTGAAAATATTGCATCAAAATATTGGTTTGCTGAAAATATTATATCAAAAATCTGAATTGCTAAAATATACTAAAAATTTAGATTGCAGAAAATATTATATGAAACAAACTACAAAATACGATGACTCATATAATCATATATAATATCCCAAAACAAGCTCCCCTCCCCCCACTCAACCACATCAAAGAATGATAATAAATTATGCTATAGAAACCAACAGGGGAAATAAAAAATAAAAATCCAGAGTTTCACTACACCTATAAAACATGTACATAAAAGAGTTTAACAATATCAACATACATTATATCAGTACATTCATAGTAGTTTAACATATAGAAGTAAATAAAAAAAACCTGATAATTATGTAATGTACTTTATACCCTTCTGTATATAAAACCAGCTGCTGAACACAAGAATAGGAAGATATTCCTAACAAAATTAAAACCCTTTATTTATCAAACTCCTACAACTATTTCAAACATTCCAAATTATGTCTATACACTTCATTCATTACATAATCTTATCATATAATAAAATTCATATTTTTTGTTCAGTTGAATGAACATAAAATTATAGTTCCCTCCCTATACTAAATACAGGGTAACCATAGTAAAGATGTCATGCAGAGAATCTGATCTTAACTTTGATAACTTTATCATATAAAAGAGTGTAACTCATCTCTTAAAATTTTGAAAATATATTACAAATTATTCAAATATGAAAATTTTTACCTTAATTTCTTTATCATTTATGGACCAGCTTAATTCTGGTTTCGGTGATCCGGTGACCTGACATTGTAACACTACTTCGCTCCCATAATCAACTGACTGGTTCTCCAATTTCTCTTTTATTTCTGGTTTTATATCCATTGCCAATGGTTTAGACTGTGACAGTCTCCTGGCAACTGGTTTTATAATGTCACCAACAGATTCTTTAGAATTTTGTCTTTCTGGTCTAGTAAGAACACTTCTGAACTCAACAAGTTGAGGTTCAGATTTTACAGTTTTTGGTTTCACTACTGGTAATTCCACTTCAGATTTATGTGATCCTTTTAAATCCTTTTTAGCATGTATATCCTGAGAAGGTCTAACAGGTAAATCAAATGCCTTTTTCTGTTTTGGAGTTGGTATTTCAAATTCTTTCTTCTGTTTTGGTGTAGTAACAATTTTATCGATACTTTTTTTTCTTACATTGACAACTAATTCAGCCCGCTGTTTCTGAAGGCTTTTCTTTTCAAAACTACTATCACTCAAATGATCTGTTCTGAATTCTGATTTCACTTTTCTGTATTCATTACTTTCAGGAACAGATTTTGTTTCAGTTTTCTTCTTAAGAACATTTCTGAAATCTAATTGTGAAACTGATTGTTCAGTTGGTTTCTCTATAATTTTAGTTTTGTCTGCTAAATGCACTTCAGTATGATCTTTTCTTGGTTTTAGTATATTTCTATAATCTGACTGTACACCTGCTGTGTTTTCTTCAAATTTTTTCAAGGCTTGATTCACCTTTAGTCCTTTACTGACACTTTCTGGTGTTTTCACTGAATGATGAGATTTTGGCACTGATGTGCTTAAATCCTTTTCAAAAAGTTGTCGCGTTCGAGACAGTTTTTGTTGAAGATTGCCTGATTCAGGATTTTTCTTTTCAACTGTGTCATTCACATGCTTTCTAGACTGTCCATTAATGTCTCTAATACTGGAATCTTTAGTTGACTGTTTCAGTACTCCACGGAAATCAACTTGACTGACTCCCCCTTTCTTTTCAATGACTGGTTCTCTACGTTTTTCTGGACTTTTTGGAATAGGTAAACTAAACTGAGAACCATTTGATTGCTTAACATTTACTGACTGGATAAATTTACTGGCAATATTTGTCTCTCTATTTTCAAACCTTTTTAATGGTTTTTCTCTGCATGAGTTTGAGTTAATTTCATTTGAACTTGTGTTCACTATATTTACCTCTACTGGATTTCTTTTGACTGGCGCACTGACTTGCCTTTCCAGTACAGTTTCATTCACTGACTGTTCAACATGGAATGGTTCACTGTTTCTTTTTAAAGCAGACTGTGTACCATGGAACACTTCACTTTTTGTAAAATTAGACTGTTCAATATTGAACTGTTCACCATTTGTTTGAAAATTTAACTGTGTACGATGAATAGGTACAGTTTTAGCTTTAACAGCCAAATGTGCTTGAAAATGTTCACTATCTAGTGACGATACATCGGAACTCTCGGATTCAGTCCCGTTATATTTTGATGAATGGTCTCTGTGTATCCTGAAAAGTTAATAAAAATTTCTGTTTAATTAATCAATTCTTGATATATCTTAAAAATGTTATTGATGGCCATGTTGAAATCAAGTCACATAATAAAGACCAACATGAAGTTGTTAATTAAAAAATATATTTAAATTCAGTGAAAACAATAAAGAATAATGCGGCAGACAGCACACAACGTCACAATGGTGCGGCTCAATGACGTTAAATCACTTCCCTTGTTTTGTCTGAATACAATACGTATTATAAATGCCGCTAAAGAAGGCCGAAAGCTACAGCAAATTCAAATTTGCGTTTTTTAATTATATACACCAAATTTAATATTATATTTTAATTCAAGTGCATATACATGCACATAAATACAAGTTAAAATAATGCAGCCTGTAAATAAATTATATCAATATTACAAGTCTGTACATGTAAACCATCTAAAACAATCTAAACTTGAAGAAAAATTATTACCTAATTTTATGAGACCTTTGACTATGTTGAGTTGGTTGAGTGGGAACGTCACCGACGGAAATGTGACAGTTAGCGCTGATTGTTCCAGTAGGGTTACACAGTGTACATGTGTACGGTCCAATATCTTCTACGTTAGCAGAGCTGATGTCCAGAAAATGTTCTTCTCCAATGCTACTGATCTGAAAATAGCAAATACAGGTAATGATAAACTGACAGAAAAACAAACAGCTGTAAAAAAATTCAAATAAAAAATTTTATCTCTCTGGTGCATAACTTTCATACTATACAATTATAGTAATGTAACACTTTGTATGGAAATCAAATTACTACAATTTGTTTACATTTTACTTCTTTTATGATAAATACTTTCACATTCAGCACTACTTTCTTCAAGAGATATGCATCTAAAATGTTTAAACAACCGTTATGTAATCATTATAAAACTCACGTTTGCCCTCTCTAAAAATCCAGAAACTTTAAATTTTTAAAGCCTTTTTTGAAGTTTTTTCCTGGTAAAATTTGTTAAGGAAATTTTGATAACCATCAGTCGAGTGTAGATTACAAAACTGTTGTAAGTCCTTCTTTATTTTATATAAGTTACTGCAGTTTTGCAGATAATAATCTATTTTTATACTGTGATGAATAACTCAATTTTTAAACTTCAACTAAACTATTGCCTATTCATTATTACATCAAAGCAATCTAAAGATTACTAGACAAATTCAGACATTTCTCACAGACTGCAGTGTTGAATAAAGAATAAATACATGAATAATGTCATTATATTATTTATGCCATTTCTTTCCACACAACAGATGGTTTATTCAAGTGTTGTATAATGATATACCAATTATATTATACAGGAAACAATAAGTAAAATACCTGTGGCATAAATGATCATACAGGTTTGTATATATTATTAGCAGTCAATATCTGCTGTCTATAATATTATGTAACACATAAATTCTTCTACAGCATTTCAAATAATAATTCTGAATCATGAATTATTTGCAACAGTTACTGTGAAATAATCACATGACTTATTCACAATTGCAATATGAAAATTCAACATTTACATTTTCATAGCTATCCAACATAAAATCAATGTATTTCAATATTAAAAAGTTGAGAATTACATGTTCATGTATACAAACTGACCAGACTTGATAGATAAATCACAATAAATGCTAGCTAGCATTGAGATCAAGTAAGAAAGAATATATTATTAAGTCTTTACACCGACTGCCATTACAGACCGGAAATTCTAGCTCGAGGGTAAATGTTTACGACAGTAACGAGACTCTGTCGAGTTTCCGTTAAGATATTCCGGTTTGTATCGAAGCCAGTGTAAAATCCTTTTTCTTGCATATTACATGTTTATCATAATTCAGAAAGAAATTGCAAATAATATTTTCATTTAGCACTTTTTTCTTGTAGAAGTGTATGAATTTACAATTTCAATCATAGCCGCAAATTGATGTCATTCTAAGAATGCAATTCATTTATAAAAGGCGCGCCGGAATAATGTCATTTAAACCATGCAACCTGTCTTACATGGGCAGCTGTAAGGTAGGTTTTTCTAGCTATGGTGTGAACAGTAAATTGCCCTGTCTGATAATGTAAGAATGTAGCAGACTATATAAACAACTATTACCTTGTACTTTGTTCCGTGTCTCAGTATCTGTCGACCTCGTGACCATTGAACAGATGGGGGAGGATTTCCATTGACGTGACAGCTTAATGTAATATTAGCTCCTTCTTCAACATGTACATTCCTCGGAGCTACGATAAATTCCGGTGCTTTCTGCGATATGTTCTGGACCGCGTCTCTTTCTATTATTTTTTTTTAGTAACAAAAAATAAACACAAAAACATGCATTGTTTCTCAAAAATAGTCAGATCCAGTTAAACACTAGACCATTGAATGGAATGTCACTTTATAAAATCATTATGTCACATAGAAAATTTATTCCATTTGTAAAAATGTCACTTTATAAAATCATAATGTCACATAGAAAATTTATTCCATTTGTAAAAATGTCACCGACATAAAACACACATAAAAGATAGAAATAAGCATAAATGTTCACTTTGTTTTTACATAACAAACATACACATAAATAAAAGAAAAAGAAAGAAAAGATAGACAAACTAAAAAGAAAGAAGTTTTGAGGTTATTTTGTTGTTCAGTGCTTTGGTTTCAAGAGTCGTGAGCGAAGGCCCTCTGAAAAGAGACAAAAGGGAAACAATTTTGAGTAAATTTTATAAGAGTTACCTCAGGTCCTGTAAAACCATACCATGCTATTGGAGAGGGGTTTCTTCAGATTTGAAACAAGACACCATTCAAACAGAATTTAACAGATTCAAGGGGAATGATCTGGTTTAGTAAGGTCATGCCATATAACAATGTTCGGGAGAAGACGTCACAGTTAAACACACTATTTCCTAAATGACATGCAAAACAGGGGATTTCAGGGAACAGTCCAAAGTGCACAAAGATATGCATGCAAAGGAAGATTTGTTGAAAACATAGACAGAAAAAAACATGTACAACTTCTTATAACAAAACATAAAGAGACATTCCATTCAATGCATTAAAACATGAAAAACAAAATAAAACAAACAAAAATAAAAAAACTTACACAAACCAGTATTTATATAATCTTTATCTCTCAGAAAACTTTAAAATAACATGTAAAATCCATCAAGCTAAAATCCTTTTTGTAGCACATGTACTAGGCAATAATTTCAAAAATTAAAATCAAGTAAAATATAAACTTAATAATCAAATCCAGCTCAAAACTTAAAAAAAAGAAAAATCAGTTTCAGTTATAAAAGTTATTAAGAATAACCCTTTAAGATATCACTGATAAAACTGCACCTCTTGCAGAGCGTCCCGACAAATTGTACAACGTCTCTACAGATTATACAACGAGGTTTGCTGATTCACGCTACATATCATTTGTGCTATACAACAATAACGCTTGAAAAAATCATCTGTCATTTTTCATACTGTCTAATCCAAATATCTTTTCATGGTAATTGTACCAACCATATAGAGTATTTACAACATTTTACTATCTTCATTATCCTATCTCTTGAAAGTACTCCTATAGTATCACTCAACTGAATAAAAACATCTTTAATAAGCTCTCCCTCCATGAAAGTGTACGTTTTAATGGTAAGGTTTAAAATGCGAACAAATTGGAATATGTACATCAGCCAGATGTCACACACTCTATCAAGAGTAATTTACCACTTTTATGATGTGGTAACAATGTGACAAAAGTATTCAGAGACATATTTTATACAGTATTTTGTTCAACTTTTCTTTTCTGAAATGTCAGTCCTGTGGTTTTTACAAAATTAAGTAAAGCAAAAATCCTACAGATTTTTTTTTTTCTTACTTTATTTAGTTAGGTTTAATGATGGCAAAAGACTACAGGTGCTTAGTATGTTTTAGTACTAACTGGTAAAAATGTCTGTTGAAGAAAAATCGGTCTTCTAGTAAACTTAATTTGCAATAGCTTCTTCAGTAAGGACAAATTCAACATCTAATTATCTAGCTAAATTTGGAACCAACTAATGTAGACAGGGGTAAGTCATATTAACCAGCCAGCCATTTAGGGACAGCACTTATACATGAGATGTGAATCAAGTCCGTCTGTATGTAAAGTGTGACCAAATTTCCATTTTAGTATTAAATGTAAAACTGAATCCCCTTAAACTTTATTAAAGTAAGTAGGGGTGTCACGTTTAGATAAATATTAAGTGTTTAAACAGTGTTTTAAGAACTAAACTGTATCACATAAAATGAATAACCACCAAATTGATATGATTTTGTTATAACTAAATCATGGATGGCCTTGAGTATTAATAACCTTGCTTATTTCAAATTTCAAATTATGATAACAGATTACAGTAGTTGTGGCATAAAAATTGATATCGCGCATTAAGAGTACAAGATAAGCTGATAAATAACCTTTAAAAATCCCCACATGAAACCAAAAACTGAAGAAATCCACATTAAAGATATGTATTCTTAAACTACACTACAATTTAGCCAAAACTGAATAAACAGGTTTTTAAAAAATTACCTGTAATATTGCACGTCTACCTCAAAGGGACTCGGCACAGTGTTTCTATAGTGTAAAAAAGTAATTCTAGAGAAGAATATATACTGTATATATTATAATATATATTATATATACATTACATTTTTTTTCTAGAATTACTTTTTTACACTATACAAACACTGTGCCGATCAGTCCCTGTGGTCTACCTTATTTTTATTTTATTTTTTTTTTCTACAAAATTGATACATCATTTTATAACTCCACCTTCTAAATAATGAACAAGGTATTAATTATGAGGATTCAAAAAACAGAGCCGGAAATATCTGGTAAATCATCAAGTTTACATCTATGTTTATAAGATGCCATAATCATTATAATGAAGGCAAGTCTTTGTGAAAATAAATAAAAAAATTGTATCTGACTGAACAAAAATCACATACCTTGAAAAGTGCAAGAATTTTGGACACACACTGTCCCAAGAACAAACAACTTCAAAAGTCTATCACATTTATTTTCTTAATATTGATGGATGAAACATTTAAAACTAAGTCCTCGATTTTTTTTCATTTTAGATTTCTCCACAATGTTCATGACTTGACCTAACTTAATTTTAAACAGAACACATTATATTAAATGAACCATATAACTAAATGCACATTCCCCCTTCAATGCTTGAATTGACTTATATCTACTTTTTAAATAGGTAATGATATCAGATATCCAAGTCTTTACCTTTATTTATTTAAATGAAATATTCAAAGATTTTATCAATTTGGCATCAATTTGGTTTACCAAATTTCTCTTAAAAAATCTCTATTTTTCTCCATGTAAATGGCCCCTCCAAAAGTCAATATTTCAATAGATGTTTTATTTGCAGTGGACTTTTAATTAATCAGAGCTAAACAACACTGACAATGCTATCTATAAGTGATATCTTTAATCGAATAAATATTACACAACTATTTCAACACAGTCTTTACCACTTCACTTGAAATCTCGATTTTCAAAATATTATATCAAAATGGTAATGAACATGTAAAACTTTCACATAAAGCCTTTAGGAGTCACTAAAATCATTTAAATATTTTAATTTAACTTTCATATCATTTTTTTCTTTGTCTTTTTTCACCAAGATCTTTTAAAAGTATTATGGGAGGAAAAGTTTTCTCTTGAGAAACTAGAAAATATTTTCATACATCATAAAAGGTCATTAAAATCATTCTGTTTGCAATTTAAATCTTCATTAAAAAGCATGCACTACTGAATTCCTAACATGGTTTTACCTAATTGAACTGTTACATATTAATATATACATATATTTTAGAAATACTCATCCTTTATGCATCATAAAAAAAAAAGTTCCTTCGATTTTCTTTCATTTTTCTATATTTTATTCAAAATAATTATAGAAAATAATCAAGAATTCTTGTTATCATTGATTTCTCATTATCATAAAAGCATAAAAATGAAAAAATTTAATTCTTTTACCTTTCCTTGTTTCAATTTTGTCTTTAAATCCCAAGTTATGTTTATGACATATATCCGTGTACAGTACAATATCATTCCTTCCAAATAATTTTTAATTTACAATGTTCAATAAAATCGAGTCTCGTAAATTCCAGTCACTGATATAAACGATCAGTGTTTAAATAATTTATAACGTTTTAACGCATCTTGACACAAAATTCTTGTTGTTCACGATTTAATATTATTAATCTACGATCTAACATCTACCAACAAATACCTGGTTGTGCACATTAAACACTTAAATTGCAACTTATCCATCATTAACCACTACTCAGCAAATATTATATATACTTTTTTCTTCACCAATTTATTTCTATTATCACCATACACAAAAAAGATTTTTTTTCCAGCATTTATGAAGAGCAGTATTTTATTCACGCCATTATATTCTGGCTTTTATAGACCATCTTTGTTCATTGTAAGTCAGTTCTCAATTTTCTCTTTTATCTTGAATTATAGGAAGATTTTACACAAGACCCCGGTATTAAGTTTACATTAAATTTATCAATCATATCAATAAAAAGGTACTATAAGTTACTATTATAGTAAAGCATGTAATACCATCTGCGTAATAAGTTAAAGTCAATGTACCATTTATTTGTATTCATGAAATCTGGTCTATATTCATATGAGGAATTTCAGCTAAAATTGTTAAAAAAAAATGGTTACGTAAGGAGAAAAAAACAAAGTCAAAGGATTCTATTTGTGTAATAATTGATTTTTGAAGTAATTTGTATTAATGGTATAAATGTGATTCAATATGACAGGACTTAACACAGCGTTGCAATGGTCATTTTCACAATTATGATACTTGTCCTGGAAAAACGGAGTGAGCTAATGATCTGAAATTTTTCACACAAGTTATTGGTCTAGACCTACAACAAATGAAACATTAATCTCAAAAAAAAATCAAAGTCCTCTCATGTCAAAAAACCTGCAGTCAAGTCCCTTTAAAATAGTCTTCAGTATTAATACTAACTTTTATCAATTTCTGATCCAAGGAATAAATCGGGTATGTCACTAACATTAATACATAAATTAGCTTTCAAACTATTTAAATTTAGATGTAAACAAATCAATTTATTTGTCACATTAAAATATTTGGAAATATTAGCTATAAAGTACACTGGTTTAACCTTAAATCATGTATTTGAGTAAGGATTTTGAAAGATTAACTCAGATTGATGTAAGATCTGACCATTTTTTGACCACTTTTAAACAACTAGAATATCTCCATAGTAAAATGCATGTTTATCTGTTAAAAATCTCCAGTATAAAATGTTTTGACCTCTTAATATCAAAAATATTTATAAACAAGTGGAGAGTTTATCGATCTATAATTATAAAACACCATTATAACTTTTCATTTAAGTTTAGACAGTAATTTGATATCAGTAACTTCAAATTCAAATATGAATATGAAAAAAAAATCTCATGCAAATAAAGAAATAAAAAAAAAAGTAAAAAGGGAAACAACTCTTACATGCTTATTTCACATTTTTCATGAAAGACAACTCTGAAATGTAAGTAATAAAAATACCTTCATGCACATTTAGACGACAAAATGTGTCCGTGTCACCGTAATCATTATACGCTTCACAAACATATTCTCCGGCATCTTCCGGAAATACTTCTGGTATAACGAGCATGTGCGTGTTTCCTTTTGTTATCATGCGGCATACTGGATCTAGGGGTGGGATTTCACGATTATTATGAACCCACACTATATCTATGGGTGGGGTACCTACATAACAAAATAATAAATAAAAGCATGCAAAAAAAGTTCTAAGTATACAAAATACTAAAAACTATAACATATTCTGTTAAACAGTAAAAAACATCTGTCTTTCCATTGATAATTTGTTACACTCATTAAATAACATTGAAATACAGGGATGCGTTATAAAGTGGAATCAATTAGATCATTCATTCTACAAGAATACACTATTTTTTCTTATTTTTAGATCAAGAACAGCTGTCGACAGAAATGAAAAAAATGTTATAACCTAAAAAATAGCACAATAATTAATAAAACCCCACAAAATAAAACTGCCCAGAAAATAAAAAGACCACTGGGAGTATGGTGTGTGTTTCTAGGAATAAAAATTTTACTTAATCAGATCATTGGTTATTTCCTGTTATCTGCCATCTAAACAAAAAATTATTCAAAACCTTCCCCTCCCTCTAAAGATTTTGCACATAGATCTGAAGTAAATATAAAGACAGTACACAGTTACACTACTTAGATAACTTCTTCACAAGAATACTGTGTGGAAATTTCATATATAACAATATTCTTGGGTGGAAATTTCATGTGCAGCAATATTCTTGGTAAAGCCATATTTAATTACTTGAATCATTCAATTGGGGAAAGTTCAAGTACAATAATTATTGTTTAACAACATAAAAAAACAGTGCTTTAAACCATTATGCTGTTTCGATAACATCTTAATCAAAGTTAAACAGGTAACAAAATGTTGTTTGAAGGTACATTAAATGCCAATACAAGGAGGGAGGGGGTCTATTTATGACTAAATTTACATCAAAATTATATCCATTTCCCACCTGCATTTTTGTTTGACACTTTACAACCATGCACTTCATGCTACTTTTAACTTCATTAACATTTTAAAACATACAGGATTCATATGCACGCCCAAAATATTTATCATGCATGAAAAATATAAAACAAGGGGAAGTTCAAAGATATGCTAATTACATATATAAACAAATTACCATAAAAAAGTGGTTACATATCTATTAAACAAAACTGTATTTATCAAAAGATAAAAATTTTAATACTGAAATCTTTATTTCTTGATTTCTAATAAGATGATAATGAAAATATTAGATTATACTTGTCTATAGATACAAAATGTATATATTTTAAAAAGAATATAACTAACGAATATATATGAAGAGAAAAAATATTCAACTAATGAATATATAAAGAGAAAAGAATTTCAAAGTTTTAAAAAAATACGCAAAATCAAGTCTGACTCTAACCTTTGACCTCCACGCTCATTTCGACCCTGTCCCCGTCAGAAACTTCCATGTCTTGTAATTCCTTTGTAAATATGGGGGGTTCTCTAGCTTCAGCCGATCCTGTCAAGTAAATAATAATTACCAATTAAATTACCAATTAAATTGCTTAATTAAATTTCTTATTTGAATTGCAAATTAAATAAGAATCTGTCAATCAGCAATTCAATATATTACTACCTACATCAATATTACAATAACGTTATCATCGGAACCTTCTGTAAGATTAATATTATGTTATCGCTAAAAAGCAAACAACTGTGTCCGATAGTATTCATTTTCTATGTTTCTTCATCCATGTATAAGTGTATAAACATGAGTGAATTAAATGAATGTATTTATATGGGTTATTTTTATGAGTGTTTATTTTATATGAGTGTATTATACATGTATGAGTGTATGATACAATTGTTATCTATAAAAGTGTATTATATAAGTGTTTTATATGAGTGGATGACACAAGTGTATTATATGAGTGTTTTATATGAATGAGTTATACGAGTGTGTTACATGAGTGTTTTATATGAGTGTTTTATGAGTGTTTAATATGAATGATTTATATGAGTGTTTTATATGAATGATTTATATGAATGTTTTATGAGTGTTTTATATGAATGTTTTATATGAGTGTTTTATACAAATGTATTATACAAGTATTTGGTATGAGTGTTTCATACGAGAGTATTCAATGAGTGTTTTTATATGAGTGTATTATACAAGTGGTTGTGTTTTATGAGAGTGAATTAATGAGTGTCTAATATGAGTGTAATAATCGAATGCATTATATTAGTGCTTTATAAGGGTTTACATTACTTTATACAAGTGTTTTATATGAGTGTATTTATTATGCAGGTGTTTTGTATCATAGGGTATATTATACAGGAGTCTATTTATTGATTTCTTTAAATTTCAAGTCAGGCTGACACAGTAAAAGTTTCATGACACCATGTTAAATGGGCCCCTAGGAGGAGTCACTGACCTAGTCTAACTGTTGCATGTTAAACTTTCACTAATAACATAAAAAATATACTTGTTTTTCCCTCTTCTCACAGACCTCAATGTCACAAAAATTCATTTTGTAAATTACTTCAAAGATCAAATTCATTTTGTAAATTATTTCAAAGATCACACAGTAATATGGCATGTTGTGAATTCATTACTTGAAGTTATAAAAAAAGTCACTGCCCTATAAAATCTCCTATATTACAAAATTAATGCCCCATACAAGAATGCTTTTATCCTAATGAAATACTGTCATAATCAAAATGTCAAATCAACATTTCTGACAAACTGCAATAATTTTATAAATTATCATTATACTAGTGCAGTAAACCCTTACACTGCTAGTTTTATTAAATAGACATTCATGTCCCCTGACCATTGCTATACCATAGTGCAGCAAACTTCATATCTTAATACTTTAAGGCCCATAATGCCTCAGAAATGCTTTATTCAGATTCCTCAAAAGCTTTTTATTTTTGGTGTATATTTATTGTTTCCAAAAAATTACTTATTGGCCAACTATCTCAGAACCATCATTTTCATCTGTTGCTTTTTGGCAATTAGTACAATAATAGTGATTTAGTATTTTGTATGGGAGTCTACTTTTTTACTCTTTTTTTTTCAAGTTTATGACAAATTATTTCACATCTAATTCTATTTTCTTCAGGTTATATGCATCTTTCATGCTCTAAAACCATTATTTAAATATTATAAAATTCATATTTTCCATTTCTAAAAAGGTTCAAATTTCTTTGTTTCTGAAGCATAATGTGCCTTTAACATAATTTTTCAGCACTCTTTAATACATAATAAACTTGTCCAGTGGTTTGACTACTATTGAAAGATAAATGTCAACAAGTGGCCAGCATTATATAGTTAGAGTTGACAGGCCATATTCTATAATAAAAGGTGACAGAAACAATAAATGTACAGATATATTATACAGGCTGACCTGACCAAGGTTGTATAAACTGACCGTGGTACTGTAACCTGACCTAGTTATTATAACCTGACCTAGATTCTTTATGCTGACCTAGATTCTATATGCTGACCTAGATACTATAAGATGACCGAGATACTATAAGATGACCAAGACACTATATCCTGACCGAGGTACTATACCTGACACAAGCAATTCTGTTACTCTAAAACTTTAAATATTCAGAAACATTTAAAATTTCATAGAACCTGTTTATTCTTTATTGCAGCTAAAATAACAATCCACCTTATCTTGTATATTGCAGATTTCCAAAATATAATTTTTTGTTCCTTTTTAGAAGGCGCTCTACACTTGAATCATTTATCAAGAATTCCTAAATATTTTAAGACAAAACAAACAACTTGATTTATATCATGGGTGCATTATACACGCATATCTGTCAATACCGATAACATGGGGAAAAAAAGTTCACAAGTATTTCAATTTCCTAAAATTTCACACACTTCTGAATCTTGCTATTACATGATAAGAATTTTATATCAACATTTCAATATAAAAATATTCTTGTATCATACTGTCAAAATAAACAGCTGTATATAATCATATACATCACATGAGTGGAATATAAACTAGTTTTATAATGAACCTTGAAATATATGCACACACATTTCATTCAAATATATTAAATATCCACTATCCTGCATAATTTGATACAATTTACTTTTACTGTTTTGAATCTGAAACAGTCTGTAAATCAATACGGTATTTTAAGAGCCAGGCCAGCTAGTGTATCTATACGGTAAATAGCCAGGCCAGCCTGTGTATCTATACAGTATAGAGCCAGGCCAGCCTGTATATCAATCAATACAGTATAGAGCCAGGCCAGCCTGTATATCAATCTATACAGTATAGAGCCAGGCCAGACTATATATCAATCTATACAGTATAGAGCCAGGCCAGCCTGTATATCAATCTATACAGTATAGAGCCAGGCCAGACTATATATCAATCTATACAGTATAGAGCCAGGCCAGCATGTATATCAGTCAATACAGTATAGAGCCGGGCCAGCCTGTATATCAATCTATACAATATAGAGCCAGGCCAGACTATATATCAATCTATACAGTATAGAGCCAGGCCAGCCTGTATATCAATCTATACAGTATAGAGCCAGGCCAGACTATATATCAATCTATACAGTAAAGAGCCAGGCCAGTCTGTATATCAGTCAATACAGTATAGAGCCAGGCCAGACTATATATCAATCTATACAGTATAGAACCAGGCCAGCCTGTATATCAATCTATACAGTATAGAGCCAAGCCAGCCTGTATATCAATCTATACAGTATAGAGCCAAGCCAGCCTGTATATCAATCTATACAGTATAGAGCCAGGCCAGCCTGTTTATCAATCAATACAGTATAGAGCCAGGCCAGCCTGTACATCAATCAAAACAGTATAGAGCCAGGCCAGCCTGTATATAAATCTATACAGTAAAGAGCCAGGCCAGTCTGTATATCAGTCAATACAGTATAGAGCCAGGCCAGCTTGCACATCAATCAATACAGTATAGAGCCAGGCCAGACTGTATATCAATCTATACAGTATAGAGCCAGGCCAGCCTGTTTATCAATCAATACAGTATAGAGCTAGGCCAGACTGTATATCAATCTATACAGTATAGAGCCAGGCCAGCCTGTTTATCAATCTATACAGTAAAGAGCCAGGCCAGCCTGTATATCAATCAATACAGTAAAGAGCCAGGCCAGTCTGTATATCAGTCAATACAGTATAGAGCCAGGTTAGTCTGAATATTTATACAATATAGAACCATTCTAGCCTGTACATCCTAAATTATGATGGCAAAGTATTTTTTAGCATCCAAAATTAACCCATTACCTGATATACACGTCTTTTCACACCTTTTTACCTCCCCCCCTTTACTGTGTCTCAAATGGTGAAGAAATGCCCTATTTTAAGGCCCCAAACACTTGTTTTTGTTTGAGAAATGTTGTTTAAAAAAGTGACCACTTTTTCGGCACGGGCCCCCCAACCAAAAGATACTTCAGGGGGGTTGCCAGAAGGGGGATGTGCCCCATTCTGTTTGGGGGGGTTTGAAGGGGGGGGTAGTCCCTCATCGCCAAGAAAATTTTGGACTTGTGAGAGGCTAAAAATGTCCCCAGATCGATCATAAGGTAACATGTAACCAACTTTGAAAAGCATTTGACTCTATCTCAATCCATTGAGAAGTTGCAGCACTTTGAAATCAATTTTGATGGAAAAAGCAATGCAAAATAGTGATTTTTGACAATTTTGAGATGTCCCCTTGTTGCCATGGTAACAGGAAATTTAAGCCTTGGCATGTCGTTACAAAGTGCAATGGTCCAGTCAACATTTGTGCCAAGTTTGATAAGTATTGAAGCAGTTTTTATAGTTTTATAGCAATTTGAACTTGTAACTGGAGACTTTTCAATGAAAACAGCCATTTTTCACAAAATGCTCATGAAGTAATAGGTTAAATGTGCCAATGAAAATAGCCAAAATATGACAAGAAATGGCTATACAGCTTTAATCTAATATATCAAAATACATTTTATAATACTCACTTGAAAATCTCCAACTTTCACTTCATTTATTTTTTCAATTTATTCCAATTTACAATGAAAAATAACTCCTGTATAAATGTCTGTTTTTTTTCCATCAAATTTTAAATTTCACTAAAAATGTCGAAAATTAAAAAATAAATGCTACTATAATGAAGACAAAGTTACATCTCCCTAACTTGCAATTGAATAATTGTTGAGAATGTTTATAATCCAGACAACAAGGTAAAGAAAGTAGAATTTAATCAGTTTAACACAACATAACTTTCTGACATTTGAAAAGTTTTAGGCGGTTACTTTCAGTAATCCATTATTTCTGTTCAGTAAAAACTCCCAACTCAAGTTTCAATCACGCAAGTTACTCAGTGTTAAAATATTTAGCTCAGATTTACTTTACGAACACTGGTTCCCTTTTATCGAAACTTTAATGGATGTAGGAGGTCGACCTCTGCCACCACAACAATTTCAAATTTCAATATTTTTCTTATTATAAATTTAATGCATGAATTATTTCTCACAATTTCATCACGGCAGTTAACAAGTTCATGCATAATGATTGAACTATCTCCTAGGTTATATAAAAGATGTGCCGGGGATATATCAACAACTGTATGTCAAACTACTGGTTACCATATCATTACCCAAATTTTTAAGGTTGTAAGTAACATTGTCGGCAAATCAAAGTGACAAGTTGAAAAATACAAATGTATCGAGTATATATTGAGTAAGAGTGGTGGTCCAGCGGTAAAGGTGTGTTGATATAAATATATATAAATATATATACATGTATAAATAACAAATAAAGATGAGTCATAGATATAATTGTAAATTCAGACGATAAAATTATGTGTAATTAAATTATATACATGATTAATTAACCTAGGATATCATTTATAATTAAGATGTCCTATAGTTATCGTACACTAGTCAACCAATGTAATCAAGCAGAAGTTTTCATTGATAAACAAGATGAATAAAAAAATAATTTATTTCATAATTCATATACAATTCATGATATAATGTACTGGCAATATAATACCATTTTTTTCCTTACAAGTTTCTGAATACCTTAAAGGATTAAAAAGCAATTAAACTAAAAGACAGGTGGTTTCAAGGATTAAAGTGTCTTAACGCCTTTTAAAAACATCTTAAGACCCACTTTAACAGTTTAGAACTTTATTCAATTTTATACACTATATCTCATTATGTTAAATATCATAATGAAACAGTTACTACTTTCTGCTGATTTATTTAAAATCTTAAAGGCCCACTGACTCTCAAAAATGGTAATACTTTTATTTTTTAAAAGCTTTTTATTTTTGGTGTCCTGTTAAAGTTTCCTAAATGTAACTCATTGGCCATGGAGCAAAACAATCTTTTTTAAATCTTCTTTGGTGTTTTGGCAATTAATACAGTTATAGTGACTTAGTATTTTATATGGAAGTCAAACTACCACTTTGTTTACAATTTGATACATTCATGAAAAATTGAATCCCATTCAGCACTATTTTTCTTCATGTGAGAAACATCTTACATGTTCTGCATCTAACATTACAACATTATATAGCACATGTTTGCTTTTTCTACAGGCATAGTGTGCCTTTAACTCCTAAAAAATGTGAGTGATGGACTTTGAAAAGGAAAGGTATACTGAGAATTTACAATAATGTCTGGTGATGATCTTTCATAAAAAAAGATTAACCAAAAAAATTTTTGTTACAAAAATGGTCATCCTTATTGAGCAAAAATGAATTTTAGGAATATCTATCTGCACATTCCTGATGTGAGTAAATATTTTAAGTTTGGACTTTAACAAAAGCTAATCGAGGCAAAATTTTTTTTTGGATAAAATGGCCCTTGACAAAAAGTTACCTGATGCCCACGCTAAAGAGGTGGTAATGACAATAGCTCAACTTTCCTTCTTTGAAAAGTGGAGCCAGAGCTGTGCACAAAGCAAGGGAGACATACTGGTACCTAGCAACATCTTTAAAGTCTTACTGCTACATTATAACAGGGGATCAAACCTGCAACCCCTCCCCCAAACCAGACACTTTAGTACTGCATTATTCATTTGCTATCAATGCACACTATATTTGCTGATCATTAACTTTTGATAAAACTGTATAGATTTACATATTTTACCAGGCTTAAGGTTTACTTCCACATAACTATAACACTTTAATGTAATAAAGTGTTTTTTTTTATTGCTTAAGGGTGAGCTTTCTATAATGTTATGTGTGCTCACTGATCATTTAAAAGTTTTTTTGTTTTTTTGTATTTATTTTCAGAAGTAAACTAACCTAAAATAATAATATAGCTCATGATAAAGATTTTGCTGCATACATAAATAAAATTGGTTGACAAAACATTACATTTCTATTTTGTATTAAAGCTGCATACCTCCAGATGAGGCAAAATATTTCAAGAAAATCAAACTTTGGAAAAGTTTTATAAGATTTTAAGAAAAGTAAAAAGATCCAAGAATCAATTAATGATAAATTCATGACTGATTTATAGTATATCACCAATAATTTTCACTTGTTGGTTTAACTAATGAATAAGGGCATATTTTGCATATATTTGACCTTTTAGTAGAATGCTTTGTGGATTGAAAGTGTCGTTTGCAATATTTAAGGTTACTGCTGGCTGGTTCACTTACAATATTTATATTAAAAGTCATTGTTTAAATTTTGCATGAAAATTTGCATGAATCTGAAGGCTTTAACACGTGACACAACAATTTTTCTATCTTTGTTGGAATGTTTTAAAAGCACATCAACACTTTAAAAATAATGCCATAAAAATGATTGTCATTCCAGCTATGCTGGTAGAAAGAACAGGCCTGGGCACCAGAATAGGACCAGTGACAAGTTATGTAAAAGAAAGATTTTCAATGTGCCTAGGAACAAATGGTTCACAGCAATATAGGGAAATTGAATTAAAGTCAGTGACCTAAATTTTCGTCAAGAAATAATAAAACAATGTCATGACAACTGAAACATACCTGAAAAATTGACAGATGCCATGGTTTGGTCCTCTCCTGCTATATTTTTAGCAACACAGCTGAACTTTGACCCTTCTGTAAGGTCAAGGTTATCTATAATGAGTCGACCTTTGCCCTCCTTAAATTCCATACGGATGTCTTGAGAGGAACCCAGTTCTTTGTTGTCTTTGTACCACTTGAGAGATGGTCTTGGTGTCCCTGAATATATATAACAACATTATAATATATAAATATTATAAACATATAAACAAACATGAAGACAATATGATAAATTTGTTTTAAAAATTATTCATATGACATCAGCCCATGTCTCTTACACCAATGCGTATTATTATATATGAATTTATTTTAATTAGATTGTATAGGAAGCTTATGTCTGATAGATACACTTTCTAATCCATTCCTAGAACCAACCAGTACTGAGCAATGAGTGCAAAGTTTCTTGCTCAAGGAAACAACGGCTCACCGAACCCACGCTAATAGCCATCCTTAGATGACTAGTCTGACAAGTTAACCACTTGGAAATGCCACCACTTCATCGGTTTTTTTTCATTTTACAAACATGATCATCACAATTTCTATAAACCATCTGACATATTATTTTATACAAAATTTATTTTAGTTTGATTGTGTTGGAAGCTATAAGCTTATTGAAACACTACCAAATCCGTTCCTGGAACCAACCAGTACTAAGCATTGAGTATCTAGTTTCTTGCTCACAGCTTGCCCCTGACAGGGTTTGAACCCATGCTGCAAACAATCCTTAGATTACTAGTCCAATGCGTTAACCACTTGGCCATGCAGTCACTGACATATTGATAATATGATAATTAAACGGAAAACTGAGAGGATATATTATGACTTGATGAATAATTAATTAGTATTTCTGTGGTATAAATATTTCATTTACTACAAAGGTATGTAATATCACACTGTAAGGTGTCATTAAACAATGACAATACAAACAGGCTGAAATAAGTTGACTTGTTGATGTATGTCCATGTCATGGCTAAAAAGTAACAAGATAATCTTTAACACAGACAGGAGAAGCTTCTGGAATTGGGGCATCTTTCTGTATCTGTATCTTGCATTATTCTCCAAAAACCTAAAATCACTTATATTCTTCTGGAGGACTCGCCCATATGGGCAACCAGTGGCAAGTATAAATGAACTGAAATACACACACGAAAGACCTCAGTAAGAAACCTGTCAATATAAATACATCTGAACATAATCAGATATTTAAAAAAGTTCACCCACCTGTGACTTGAGTCTCAAGTACAAGTTTCTCTCCGGTCTCTATGGCTTGGTCATTCAGGGTCAGAGTAAACTTTGGAGCTGTGGGTTTCACGCTTGGGTCTGTTCAATTAAAAAAACAGCAATTATGATATTTTTCACACATTATTGGATTATCTATTATATGTTAAAATAAACACTACATAAAGAATCTCTCATGCAAAATATCTTAACTCATTATGCAAAAACATGTTGGTTTTTTTCTGTACAACAATTTAATATATTTTGTAATCTTTTGTGTAACACAAGAACCCCTTTAATATATTTGTATTAATGTGGAAATTTTCACTCGATTGGATTTTCCAATAAATTTCACTTTATTTACAAATTTTGACACAAGACTTCAGCAAACATTATCAAAGGCTGTAAATGAGCCATAAAGCAAATTGAAGGAGTAATGAAATTTTGATAGTTTTGTAGATTTATCGCTTTTATGTTAAATTTCGCTCTAAATGTCTAAAACTGTTTCTTCACCTTTATACAGACATTAATGCACCAAGCTTCTGTATTCAAGATTATTTAGATATAAATTAATATTTATGTATTTAATGTATTTATGTTAAAGATGGTTAGATAAAAAAAAAATTGTCTTTGAGAAAAAAAAACAACAACTCTATATTAAAAACATCATACTCATCTCAGAACATTTTTTTTTCTAAGGAACTATTTTTTTATTAAAATTGGCTTTAACAATGTTATTTAACTTTCAAGTGTTGTGATATTATGGAACACAGTTTCATGACTGAATTATTATAACATATTAAGTTATTATAAATTCTGGCAAACAAAAAAAGCAGAGAAAAAACACAAACATAAAAAAAAATCCAGACACCATAATCCAGAAAACTCTTTCACTGTAGATGTTCAAGATAGTCAATTTCAATTTAGATTTTCTCTTCATTTTATTAAATATACTTAAAACGTAAACTACCAAATTACAAACTGACACATTTCATTGATAGCAAAAAAAGTGGACAAAATGAAATACCTTTCAACAGGAAAAAATAATTTTTCATTGCAAATGAAAGTAATGTTATCAAAGTTTCATTACATCTAAAATATGTGCACACAAACATACACAGTCATGTAATGGCAATAAAAAGTTTTAATGAACAATGCACACACAAGTATTTGCAATAAAGAAAACTTTAATGAAACAGACCACAGGTGTTCAATAATATACATGGTATGGTTGATGTTTTTAGATATTCATAAGAAAATGGTATGGGGGAGATATTTCATGTATTTTAAGTGTCTCTAATGTTGTTATGTGTTTACAACTAATGGAAAGTCCTCTAACAAATCAAGGGCTATCTACATATGTATGAAAAATGCATGATATAGCTTTATATAATGGATTTAACTCAATACAGTGTTGGAGCAGTACCTCTAGACATTTGCAGAAATCACAAAGTAGAAAAATACTGCTTTTTTTCACCGATTCTTACATATTTTAATATTGTATGTATATCGGTGTGAACATATGAATTAGATGTCTTAAAGTGCATTTAGGCGGGTGAAAAGATCAGATTTTAGCATTTAATTATTCGAGCGCCTTGTCCAGTATATACCAGAATACGGTATATAGCGTGGTGCTCTCACACTTCTTTTAGTCTCCTCTAAATTATATATCCCTAAATAACAACAGAAGCTTTCAAAGCTTCCCAGAAAATAATCATTAAAATATTCATTTCCCAAACTTTCACAAGAAAAAGTGTATTTAATAATTACGCTTTTCTTTCAAACATCTTCAAACAAAGCTGCCCTTCCCCCTAGATTCCTTTAAGAAAAATAAATTAAATAATGAAATCATATTTTACCTAGTAATGACACAAGAGCTTTTGTTTTGGCTTCTCCGCCACTATTTGTTACAATACACTCGTAAACTCCACAGTTACGTTTTGTGGCTTCTTTAAGAACAAGTTTGGCAGTACGTCCGTCAAAAGTTGACTTGGCTTGCCAATTGTTTATTTCACGGCCATCTTTGTACCACTTGGCTGTTCCATCAATTCCATCTATAATAATATTTTATTTATAATTATTGTGTAACATTTAGTCTTCCATTTTTTAACTTTATACAAACTTTTTTAGAGATATACCATGCTCAATTGAGTAAAATATTTTTCACAGAAATTTATTGAAATCTATTAAATTCTTACTGAATGTGTCTAATTTGAATAAAAACTATGTATGGGAAGCTGCGTCAAGTAAATTTGGTCTCTTTTAAAAAAAAAAAACTGCCATTTTTTTTAATGACACTATATATCTTATTCAGACAATCTATAAGGTGAAGATAATTAATAATAAGTCAAAATTATCGAGTTTTTGATATGAGTTATCGATTATTGATTGACAGAAAAATATCAACAATACATCATATTGTTTCTATCGATGACAGCTTTTGTACCTACTGTAACATATCTTATATTACAATATTGTTACTATACTAACTAACATATAAACTGTCAAATCATCATAGTCCCTTAAACCTCTAAGAACAAGTTATATAATATAAGAAAATTATTTTAACAATATTAAAAATACCTCAATTAATCCTTAGTTTAAATTCACATAAATTTTTATTTCCTTTTTTTTCAATAGCAAAATCCTTAAGCTATGACATATATCCACAAACATGCGTCACGTTTATTAACAAATATATTTATATAATTTTCACACGGTATTTCTTTTGTACGAGGTAATTTTTGTGAGTACATGCTCACATACCAAAATCAATATGTCAGTCAGTCAACCATTAGATACATAACAGAAAATTTTTACAAATAAAAGTCACTCTTCCATAAGATTAACATAGGGAGTATCGTTTTATTACCACCTTATATATCAAATAGTAATCTATCGACATCAATTTCATTACAACAATAGGAATATGTCGGGTTTACAGCCGAACCAAGATAAGATTTGATGACATAGATAGTAAATTATGACACCCATAAAATAACTATTGTATACCTTTTAAACACAATAAAAATTCGTAACATTTTCTGATATATTTTAAATTTACAATATCACAATGCTAAAAGTTCAATCTTCACATAAAGATATTGTTATGATTTTAAATGTTGACAAAATGTTTTCAAACAAGAACAGTATAAACAAATAGTGTGTTATTTTATCAACAAAATAAAATTGCTTTGTGTAAAAATCCGAAATTCTATCATAAAATACATTACTGCTGAAATTAACTTAGACGAAACAACACTTTGATAAACAAGATGTTTTAAATTTTGGTCTTATATTATACGTGTTGTGATGTTCCTTTCTAACCATATAAGATAGGGAAACAAATCAGCAGCCCAGTAGAATAGAGGTATCAAGGGGTGTCCTTATTGTTTATTATGTTATCATCTGCAAATTTCATTTTCCACTTTAATTCTTTTGATATGACAATAATATGAAACAATTTATCCAAGAATAACATATTTAACTTTGAGAAAAGCTGAAGACTGCTTTAATGTCATAAGAATTAGATGCATTGTTGGAAGCTATTGTTTGCATTTTTATCATTTCCACTGATAGTAATGTATCAAGTCATCAAAATGGTTATAAAATTTAATTATTTAACTTACTGTGAAACTTGCAAATAAGGGTAGCATTTTTCTCCTTGTCGGCAAACTCTGTGTCTTCTAAGGGGATGTCCACCGTCGGGGAAACAAACATTGATGATTTACCTGTCTTAGATTTTGGCCGCACTGTAATTCAACCAAAAATATACATCAAAATATTATAAAATAAAGAAAAACTTCATAAACAAAACAAAAAGTATGAAAAAAATCCAACATTCATTCATACAATAAAAAAACATAACTTTTGTACTTATTTTTCTTTTATTTCAAATTTACCAATATTTCTTTTTTTTTTTAACAGTTAACAAACTTAGAATTTATAATTTACCAAATGTCCTGTTAATTTGATGTTGAATTACCAACTAATTTCTTTTCCTCTATTAAGTCAATTTATATATATTTTTTTTTTTTTTGGTCTAACTATGACACATTTATCCATGAAATGATACTATCCACAAATCCAGGGTTACGTGATTTACACAGAAGTCACACTTATCGTTGTAATATATACTTCATTGCAAAACACTGCAAAAAATAACAATAAATAACCTCTATTGAGGAAATGTACTAGGAAATGGCCACTTATAAAATTTCGGGACAAAAATCATTAAAATATCGCAACAATCCACACATTGTTCTTAAAAGATCATCCTAAATAGTTAAAGCTACTTATAGCTGGACAGCTCGGCTTTTTCTCATCTTTGATCGCCAGTATCACATTGTTTGTTTTTTATCAGTTATCATGTCATGATATTAAAATGAATGCACTAATGATTACCTTAAGTTTCTCTGAATGATGATGAAATAATAGTTCTAAAGAAAGTACTATCTTAAGTTATGACCTCATTGAGTACTATAAACTTAGCATCAATATAACTGTAGCTGATTGGTGGATGTGAAAGTTTGAAATAAGTGTTTTTTTATAGAATGGGTTTTTGAATGCTGTCTTTTTAATAACACAAAAGGTACATGTACAATACTAAGGATGCAGGAAACAGGTGTATCCAATTTCAATAGTTATATAATACAAAATGGCATAAAATTTATAATTAGTACACTCAAAAAAAAACTGCCAAATCCCTATGAAAAAATGTAATATTAAAGTTCAGACAGTTGACAACAACAACAACAAAATGTAATAATGCAACAAAAAAGGAGGCCAGTCCATAGAATAAAACAGTAAATTGTGTGTTAGTGGGACAGTCAAGTTAATTTTGACCACAATTTTTGTTGTTGTTGTTGGATAGATTCAAAAACATTACAACATGGCTATATAATGTTTACTATAATGTGGTAATACAGGGTCAATCTTCCAGTGCAGATCAATTAAATGTTACATGCAGACAGCACTAATGAATCAGTGATTTTATACTTATTATAAGACTAAGTTTAAACAGTATCTTTTCTTAATAAAGTTTAAAACAGCTAACAAAGCAGGTTAAGATATTAAACTGCCCATTATACCATACAAGGATCTTACACCGGCTGCCGGTACAGTCCGGAGTATTTAGCTCAAAGGTAACTGTATATGGCGGTAACGAGGCTCTGCTGAGTTTCTGCAAACAGTTACCCGAGAGATAGATATTCCTGTCTGTGTTGACAGCCGATGTTTGTTTCTTTTTCTTGCATATTACAAATTAATGATATTTCGAAAAGAAATTATGAAAACTAATATTGTCATTTAGCACTTTTTTCTTATAAAAGTGTATGAATTTACAACTTCTTTCATAACAGCAAAACATTCTAAGAATGCAATTCATTCATGAAAGTTGCGTGGGAATGACGTCAAGTCATGTGACCTGTCTTACATGAGGGATAGTTAGACAAGTTTTTCTAGCACTGGTGTAGACAGTAGAAAATCCTGTCTGATATGCAAAAAATGTTTATGTTAATATCCCTACAACTGTCAATACACTGTTATAAAATGTAATTTAGTCAGTTCTGAATCAGGATTAAAATAATTTATTGATTACAATCAATGGATATCACCTCTCATCACATGCTGTCTATGCACCAATATGAGCAGTATTCAAACTTAATGTTAAAAGCTATATAAGATTTATTATACTCTGATTCAAAATGGCGGAAGTATTTCAGACAGGAAATAACTCATTTGGAATATTATGACAAAGAGAAGATAACTCACCAAAAACTTCCAGCTCAGCAGAAGCAGTTGCAGCCCCTGCTGTGTTCTCAATCTTACAATCATAGGAGCCCTGGTCATCTTGTGACACTTTAGACACTTCAAGAATATGGACATCTTTTTCAGTGTAGATCTGTCACAAAAACAAATTGAATTCAAATAAGTCCAAGCATATATACTTGTATTATTCCTACTTATATAACATAATACAATCATGTACAAAAATCTTTTTCAGTGCAGATCTGTAGCTAAGTAATATTTGTATTATATGTACAATGTATTTGAACATATCTTATTTGAGTTCCAATATGTAATATTAGTTTATAGAAACTTATTTAGATATCCTTCAATGTGATAAGTAGATCTACATTTCTTTAATATAAATTACTGCTTACCTTGAGTTTTGTGTTCCTAAATTGAACAATTAGTTTATACAGAATTTATTTTAGTTTGATTGTGTAGGAAGCTATAAGTTTATACACACACTTTCAAATCCATTCCTGGAACCAACCAGTACTGCAGAGTGCAAATTTTATTGCTCAAGGAAACAATGACTTGCCTCTGACTGGGTTTGAACCCATGCTGCTAGCGATCATAAGATTATTAGTCCAAAGTGTTAACCACTCGCCATGCAGCCACTCCTGCAATTGGACAATTGCACTCCCTGATACTACGAGTGACTCTGGCAGCTACTCATTTTCAACCGATTTTAGTCATTTTAAAACAAAAGTAAGTTATATATTGAAAGATAAACAACCTTGTATTTGTCACCATTGGTCAAAGTTTTTCCATTTAGGCTCCAGGTGAGTAACGATGATCCTTCAATCTGGACCTTGAACTTGGCAGTCTCGCCTTCATTGACAAACTGACGTTTGGGTTTCGAGACAAACTCGGGAGATTTTTCTTTCTCTTGGGCACTTAGAACAGAGTTAACCAACTTCTTTGTATTTGGGTCCACATGGAATTCAACTGTAAAACAAATAGAAGGAATATTAATTTCTTGATGTTGTTTTTTCTATAACCTTAAAAAGCATGTAAGAAGGGAGAATAAATAATAAATAAGCAATCATATTACATTCTTAAAGTCAAGGTCAAATTAACACTAAGTTAGACTAGTGACTATGTGAGGAATGTTGCACTTTTTCATTATCCCTTATGTGGGATAATCAATTGGTCTGCAATTTTCATGTAATTTTGTTCTGATTAATTTTCCAGTTTTTTTCTACAGTATGTCACAAGCACCACATAGTCTTGTAAGCTCAGACATACATGCAGTCTGACCAAGGTTTCAAATACTGGCTACTCAACTCTAGTACTTTGATAATGAAATCTTCAAATCTATACATAAAGAAAGTAACAATTTTTACATTATAAAGAGTCACCACATACAGTAATCAATTGATTGTCACTTTGCATGTCATAGGTTTTAATTAGGAAAAATAACATTTTACATGCTGTGTTACAACAAAAATAAAATCCATCTTATATTTTACAACAATATCTTTGAGGAATTTCCATTAGCAAACAAATAATTGATTATTGTTACTTGAGTAATATTGATATTAGCTGAATATTTTATGTGACATGTATTTTTCATTCTTCTTCATGATTTTGAAATGGTGGTTATAGCAATGAGAAACTTAAATGGGGATTAAACTTTTACTTTTCTAGTCTTATTCCTTTTTTTTTTAACTGATCAACATCAAAATAGGTATACTGTGGTTCAAGCACCCTTTAGTTGTGTAAGCTGGTCGGGCAACACTTGATAGTAGACTGATCAGACTATAGTTGTGTAGAGTGATTAAACAACACTATAGTTGTGTAGGCAGTTCTGATTATACTATAGTTATTTAGGCTGGACAGAAAACACTATAGTTCTGTAAGCAGGTCAGACTATAGTTGTGTAGCCTGGTTGGATTAACACTATAGCTGTGTAGGCTGGTGTAGCCTGGTTGGACAACACCATATTTGAGTAGACTGCTCAGACAATACTATAGTTGTGTAAACTGGTCGTACAACACTATAGTTGTGTAGACTATTTGGACAACACTATAGTTGTGTAGCCAGGTCGGACTAAAGTTAAAAACTGATGACACCTTTAAGATTACTTCACCATCAAAGTTAGTAATCACAGCTACCATCTGATGAAAGATTATCATTGTGAAAGAAGGAAGAACACTGTGAAAGAAGGAAGAACACAATCATATCTTACCAGATCCAGAACCTTCATCTATACTTCTGCTTCTACTTCCACCTGAAGATAGAAAGATAGAACAATATAAATTTATTATTTCATACAATAAATAAACACATTTTATTATTTCACTAGAATATAATACTTTTCTTGTCTACATTAATTTACTATGGATTTTCTGTGAGCCTGACTGGAAAGAAATGTCGAAATAACATAATCAGACTGGAAAGAAATATTGAAATAACATAATCAGACTGGAAAGAAATGTTGAAATAACATAATCAGACTGGAAAGAAATGTTGAAATAACATAATCAGACTGGAAAGAAATGTTGAAATAACATAATCAGACTGGAAAGAAATGTTGAAATAACATAATCTGAGACTTGAAAGATATGTTGAAGTAACATAATCAGACATTTTTACAACACAATCAAATTTTTAATGACTGATTTTTATATATTTACAAAAAGAAAAAAAGAATAATTAATGTAAAGATTCTCTTTTGTACTAGCAGATTTAATATTTATTTTCTCTTTAATCTATCTTACCAACTTAATATGAACAAAGTTTAAAAATTTTAGGAATTTAATTTCATAGAAAATATTCACTAGATAAAAATAAAATCCCTAAATGTGGTAGCTGAAGGTATGACAGTTGGAGACAACTATTTATATTTATATCTGTCACACTATCACCTTATGTTATATAAAGAATGCATGTTTACAGGTGGGATACTTAAAATTCCATCTACTCTAGGATATAACATATTCTACACTAAACTGTTTTAATCATTATACTACAGGTTTTAATCATTAACAAAAAACTGACTTTTTAAGCTATTATATAAAAATATATATATGTTAGTCATGCAATGAAAATGTTTGAGGTTTTAATAGATTATATCAGTATTTCAGTTAGTCAACATTTAGTTTATACTAATTTATTTTATTAGTTTGATAAAGGCTATAAGCTTATTGAAACACTCTCAAATTCATTTCTGGAACCAACAAATTGTATATTTGTTTGTTCTTTTCAGTTTTTTAATTCACTTACACTTTCAGTCCCTTTCTCACTTTAAATAAATCATATTGTACCCAAATTGTCAAAAATAGAAAGATATATTATCCCCTGACCTCAAATAACATCTCGTAAATTTCAGATACTCATTTTTCTTTAAGGATTTACAATAAAGCTATATTTTAACACTCTCTGCACTGTACAAATCAAACACAGCATATATATGACATAAGTCTGTTTATTTAGTTTATTATATCATCAAATATTATCTCCTGTTAGATTTTATTCTGCCAAGAAAAAATATAATCAACCAAACTATAAACAGAGACAACCTGATTTTAACAAAGTTTTTTCATTTAAAAAGTTCTTTTAGGTCATATTGTCACAGTTGATCCACCTCACCAGCTGTCCTGAAAATAACTAACCAAGTTGTCCCCAAAAGTGACCGACTACTAATCCTACAAAACTTCTGAATCAGTTATAAGCGATAAATAAATCTTAGACTCAACGTACGAGATCAACCATCATAGAGTTATTACGCCTAGCCCAAGGATCAAACCTGTGACACCCTGCTTACTTATCCTATGCTCTCCATATTAAGCAAAGTTGGTAGACCATAACATAAGTGAAATTCTCAAATAAAAGCTTTCAAAATTAATATTAAGCATGATTGAATGTGGTCAAATCTAATGAAATGATACAACCTATTCACAGTGCCTGTCTTAGACATATTTCTTTAAAATAAGTACAGATCCATTTACTGCATAACTTAAATTTTGAAGGTATAGGCTTACTTCTCAAAATATTTGTCATTAAATTGTCATGTGATAATCAGGACAATATAATTAGACAAATCAAGCTGTCATCTTAGTGCGATAACTAGTTAATTCCTATTAAATTTAGAAGGACTTAACCCCTTAGTGCACTAAAGTGACAAAGTGTGAACACTTCTAGTTAAAACAATGTAGACTACTAAGTTATCAAGACCTCAAATCTCAACTTAGGTGACATTTAATCACCATTCAGACAATTAAGACAATGGTTCCTAAACCTTGTTGAAAATCTGTGATGTCTATCTCCACACCTCAACCCCCCAACTCCACACACAAAATTATCAATAAGACTACAGTTTTTGTCATATTATATTGTTTGTTCGCCAATTTAACAAATCAAATAAGAAAAATTAAAAAAACAACCCTGATGCACACTGTTAGAAAAAATTCATAATCCAAAGATATCTGTCACTAAAGGTGAATTTTTTAGGAAACAAATTAAAATTATACCTTTCCAAGCCAACAAATCCATTATAGTATATTCAAAGTTTCATATTTTATACAAATAATTGATTCATTAATCCAAAACCTATTTTTTCATTCATACAAGTGACTCATATATGATTCCAATTCAAATTCAATATCAAAATTTCAAATCAATTCTATCTTGTCATAATCTAAAATGCTTTAACAGTACTACATGTAAACTTTGATAGATCAATTGATTTTAAATTTTTAATAACCCATTCAAAAAATTTTAATACTTCATATAAACATTGCATAATCTGTTGTTTTTACCTTAAAGTTATATGTATTAAAGACCCAGTATGCCTAAAAAATGCTTTTGCTTTTATTTCTTAAAAGCTTTTTAATTTTAGTGTGCTTTCAAAGTATCCAAAAAGTTACTCATTGACCAATTACCAGAACAATCTTTTTCATCTGTTGCTTTTTGACAGTTAATAAAGTTATAGAGAATTAGTATTTTGTATGGAAGACAAAATACTCTTTTGTTTACATTTTGCTAATTTTATGACAAATTATTCCACATTTATTGCTTTTTTTCTGGTAACAAATTTCTCTAAAACCATTATTTAAACATTAAAAGATTTGTATTTTGTCCTTTCTGAAAAAGTAAAAATATATTAGTTTAGGCATAATGTGTCTTTAAATGAAATTAGTACATTAAATTATAATATACAGATTATCAAAAGTAAGTGCCAAGTTAAGAATGTTAAACTATAGCTGGCACTTCATCAAAGTTTATGAAACTATTACAATGGTTATATGAAACCTGTGTTTAGAGACCACCTTAAATAATACACCTAAAATCAAGAATATTGCATATTGAAACAACTTGTGAAAGTTGCTCTTTTAAATGGATTGCTATAGATCTTAATTATAAATGATAAATTGGCATTACATTTATATTTCTTTTGGTTTATACAGAATTTATTTTAGTTTGATTGTGTAGGATGCTAGACACTCTTGAATCAGTTCCTGGAACCAACCAGTACTGAGCAATGAGTGCAAAGTTTTTGGCTCGGGGAAACAATTACTTGCCCCTGACAGGGTTTGAACCGTTAACCACTCGTCCATGCTGCCACTTATATTCATTCATTTCCTTTAGTTGAAAAATTTTAGTACAATTAAATGAAACACATATAACACGAAAAAAGAGGGCAAAAAAAAAATCCACGAAAAATGAGGGCAAAAAATCAAAAGCGTTATTTATTTCACTTCTCAATGACATAGGTTAAAGCTTTTTTGTTGGACTTCGTCTCATTTTCTTTTGTAAGAATAACATTTGAGTGATTTGGCAAAGGATTTTGACCGAGACCGATTATAATCACACTATAACCAGATACATGTTACAACTCTTAACATAATAACAATTCTATACTTAATCATAGTAAAATATTTTGAAAACAAATTAGCCGGTACTTAACAATACAGTTTGACCTGAAAAACCTCGAGGACAAATATTTTCGAGTTTTGTTTTCCACAATGCTAAAATAAGTAAACGATTAAATAAATATTTATTACTTTATGATAAAAAAATATAGGTTAAATGGGCAAAAAATTTAAAAGTGTATACAAAAATCTTGAAACACCAAAATTTAGAAACATAATTAAAAACATGGTCAATAGTTCCATTCATTGATTTAATAAATGTCTACAATTTATCATCTGCAAATGTAGAATCTGGAGATTTAATTAATGCCAACAATTAATTATCTGCAGATGTAGAATCTGGAGATTTAATTAATACCTACAATTAATTATCTGCACATGTAGAATCATGCATAAACAAAACCTCTTTAGTTTAGTTAACCGAAAAGCCTAATATAATAGGGAACAAAATCCTCTGATCATATTATATTGTATTCTATGTTAATTTCTAAGAATAATCACAATTTTAACATACCTTTCTGATAAAAATAACTAATTATTCCTGGCATTTTATTATTTTTAAAATTATATTGCCTGCATCAAATGGGAGACATTTGACAGAGTCAAAATAAGAAGTTTCTGTTGTGTAATTGACACACAATATTATAGAGAAAAGCTGTCATTCCTTGGATTATAAACATATTAGCACATTTATCAACTATTTGTTGAATTAATCTGTCACCTACATGTAAACAACTGTAGCTGGAGAATAACTCCTAATATTACCAATTATTACATCAAACTTATAATATAATAATATAATAATAATACCCTTCAATGATTTAATAACAATTATTTGTTATAACCTTTGTATTTTCATGCTGCTCTTTTGTATATTATATGAATGAACTGTTAAATTACATAAGACAGGTGTGACTTTGTCAAACGGTGTCAAGTCTTTTGCCATCTGTCTGTCTGTTCTTTACAAATATTAAAGAAGCATTGTTGCCCCACCCATTATTCAATCTCCAAAACATTTGCCACCAAATAGTCCTGAAAGCCCTCTCATCAATATTATAAGAAGTTACTGTAAGTGTTAACAATATGTTCTATAACTCATTCATTTTTATTGACAAAATTGTCATAATTCTATGGAATAAATATGACATAGAGAAGGATCAAACAAGAGTGCTCAAGTTGCTCTTTGATCAAGTCATTTAATGATTTAATAATGCAACCGCTGATGGTGGCTGTTGCTGTTATTAGAGATTTAAACGATGCTGTCATTTAGTCAGTATTAAATGTGTCAAATTTTCGGCTGTCATTTAGTCAGTATTAAATGTACCAGTTTTAACTGTGCTGTCATTTAGTCAGTATT